TCCCGCCGACGTTCGCCGCGTGGTTCTTCAGACACTCCCGGTAACGTATGGCGGATTTAACGGCGGAGAACGACGGCGGAGACTTGGATTGGTGGTGGTGGTGGTCTAGGGTTTGAGAGTTGCAAGAGACACGAGTGATGCTGTTGTTGTTGTTACCATTGCAATTGTCTTCATTAGCAATGCTATTGATGTTACCGGAAACACCATTGTTGCCATTGTCTTCTCTTCTTCTCTCTATCATTTCATGGCTTCTCATATCCATTTTTTTTTTCTTTCTTGGAGTTTAAAATTAAAAAAAAAAAAGAGAAATTAAAAGAAGAAGGATTTCAATTAAAGAGATCGAATAAAAAAAAAGGGGTTAAGGTTTTTTTTTTCTGGGGATATAAGAGAAGCTTACAGAGAATTGAAGTTTGTTAAATTTTATGCCTGAAAAAGAACATATTAATGAGATTACTAAAAAGGAAAGAAAGAAAAAATTAAAGGCAGAGAGATTCAGAGACTTACAGATAAGAGAAAGTACACGAGGAAAAACACAGTTCTTGCAGGAGGAACCGAAGAGGATCTTAAACTCATTAATAGCTCGAAGCTTTTTGCTTGTGAAGTGTTTTAATGGTGAGAGAGAGAAAGAGAAAGAGAGAGATGTGAAGAAGGAACTTTTGGGATTAAACTGGAAAAGGGTTTTCTTAGGGCTAATTGGATTTTAAGAGTGAAAGGGAGAAGGAACCATGTTTGATGTCTCAGTGCTCCCAACAAGCCAACTTTGAGATCCGATTATAAGAGACAGGTTGGTTGCTTGTGGTGAGGCCATAAGAGAAAGAGAGATAAGAGAAGAGCCCTTTGTGAGAGAGGACTAATATCATATACCCTACTTTATATTATACGATCCTATTAGCTTCTCATTACGTATTAGTTTATCTTATCTTAGCGTTTTCTTTTATTATTTTATGTAATTTTTTTTTTAAGATATAGTCTAGTTTTTGAAAGACAATGATAAAATGGTTTAGCTTCATTTTGGAATATATATAAGCTTAGTTACAGTAAAAAAATTATGTTAGGTACATTTCGGACTCCTTCCCGGTTCCCAAATTAGGTCCATTTGATGTTCCTCCCTTGGATTGAGACCGTTTCACTCATGTTTGTCCTCATAGTCATGTGTAGAACCTATTAATCCATGTTTGGGTAAGTATGGGTCCATCTAGTTCATCTTATACACTACAAGTGAGTTTCCACAATGTGGAGTCACAGAGGTACATTTCGGACTCCTTACCTCTTCCGGTTCCCAAATTTGGTCCATTTGATGTTCCTCCCTTGGATTGAGACCGTTTCACTCATGTTTGTCCTCATAGTCATGTGTAGAACCTATTAATCCATGTTTGGTAAGTATGGGTCCATCTAGTTCATCTTATACACTACAAGTGAGTTTCCACAATGTGGAGTCACAGAGGTACATTTCGGACTCCTTACCTCTTCCGGTTCCCAAATTAGGTCCATTTGATGTTCCTCCCTTGGATTGAGACCGTTTCACTCATGTTTGTCCTCATAGTCATGTGTAGAACCTATTAATCCATGTTTGGGTAAGTATGGGTCCATCTAGTTCATCTTATACACTACAAGTGAGTTTCCACAATGTGGAGTCACAGAGGTACATTTCGGACTCCTTACCTCTTCCGGTTCCCAAATTAGGTCCATTTGATGTTCCTCCCTTGGATTGAGACCGTTTCACTCATGTTTGTCCTCATAGTCATGTGTAGAACCTATTAATCCATGTTTGGGTAAGTATGGGTCCATCTAGTTCATCTTATACACTACAAGTGAGTTTCCACAATGTGGAGTCACAGAGGTACATTTCGGACTCCTTACCTCTTCCGGTTCCCAAATTAGGTCCATTTGATGTTCCTCCCTTGGATTGAGACCGTTTCACTCATGTTTGTCCTCATAGTCATGTGTAGAACCTATTAATCCATGTTTGGTAAGTATGGGTCCATCTAGTTCATCTTATACACTACAAGTGAGTTTCCACAATGTGGAGTCACAGAGGTACATTTCGGACTCCTTACCTCTTCCGGTTCCCAAATTTAGGTCCATTTGATGTTCCTCCCTTGGATTGAGACCGTTTCACTCATGTTTGTCCTCATAGTCATGTGTAGAACCTATTAATCCATGTTTGGTAAGTATGGGTCCATCTAGTTCATCTTATACACTACAAGTGAGTTTCCACAATGTGGAGGCACAAGGTACATTTCGGACTCCTTACCTCTTCCGGTTCCCAAATTTGGTCCATTTGATGTTCCTCCCTTGGATTGAGACCGTTTCACTCATGTTTGTCTTCCATGGAAGCATATATCAGATTAGAAACATGATAACCTTGGCAAAAGTTGACTTCAGATAAAGCGAAAAACTAAATGTGCTCTTTATTTGCTTATTGGTTTAAGAATGATATGATATACTTATAACAGAAGGGAACAAAAAGATCTGGTTCTGTGTTAATTCACTGCGATTTGGTGAGTAAAGTAAACAGAAGAATGAGATAAGGTTGTTCTAGGGTATGACTTACCGGAACATCCTCAAGATCCGGAGTTTGGCAAAGTATCTCTACATCCCGAAGCTTGGAGAAGTAAAAGTCTCTTTCTTTTTCCAAGAGCTCAAGAGAGAGCTTGAGATCTGTAAGCTGTATCGCACAAGACAAAAATGAAGCTTCAGTTACTCGTGAACAAAGGAGAAAAATAGTTTATATCTGACAAAAGCTAAGAGGCTAAGAGCATAGGCAAAAGCTAATAAAGAAGCTTATACAGTGTACCTCCTTTGACAAAGCCTTCACGTCAGCTGCTTTTGCTGGCTTGGGCCCTGAGAATTATGATTCCAACGATGCTTAATAAGAAAGGTACATACTATAACTATTATTGTTTGGATCAAGACTCTGATTTTGTCAGGCAGACCTGAGGCTTTGCTAAGACCAACCAAAGAGGAATTTGGTGGAGCATGATTGTTGTTTGTCTGCAGAGACTTTGGCATCTTGTTAGTTCCCTTAACACTCCTCTCTTTACCACCTTTAGATCTTCGTTCCACCGGATTATAGTTCCTATAAGAAACCATCAGTTTTAAACTGTTTGAGAGACAATGAAGGGGTTAAAAAAAATTCCAAAAATCAGACCGAGGAAACCACATACTCATTCATGATCCCACCATTTATGGAATCGCAGAAACGCTTCAGCCATTGAAGAAACTCCAAGTTATCCAGTGGCCGGCCTTTGACAAGCCTGTTAATTTCCAATGGCTGAGGTATTTACTCAGTAAGACAAACAAGATGAGTTGATAAATGCATCACAAGAAAGCTGACAAACTGAGATATGAATGATCTTACCTTCGTAATTTTCAGCTTGTTGAACACATCTTGCAGGACCTTGTAGTTTTGTATCATATCGTACTCGGTCTTTGCATCAAAATTAACCTTGCAGAAGAGAATTTGAGATATTACGCCACCAAGAAGCAAAACTAAATATGCAAATCATATATAAATGTATAATTACCTTGTGCATTGGCACTACTCCTGGAAATGTCATATCAAGCATCTGACATTGCACAGCACCAGATGCAACCTACAGAAAAACCGAGATAATCTTTACTTAGAACAAAAACAACAGTCTCTAAACAATGTCACTTAAGAACAGTTCAATAAAACACTAATAAGGCTCATTAGATCCTTCTGTTTGGTAAGCATTTTCCTCTCATACTCATAGCAATAACAACAGTGAATCTATGGCATTGCAACTTTTAACACTCAACACAACTAAACAAGTATACATTATCAAAATCAAAGCCAAAAGCCCTTTGCTCCTCTTGTTTAAACATCACCTTACTCTCATAACACTCAACATAACTTAGTCCCAATCTCATAACCAAATCCAATTGAAACACAATCAAACCTAAATCTGCAATTTTCGCAAAGTTTAAAACCCTAATTCCCAAAATTATCCAGCAAATGAACCAAATCTAGCACTACCACCATCACCAGGGAAATCCGCTGTATAAATCAATGGTCCTGCCGATTTACAAACAGAAAATCCTTGAAAGAATTGCGCAAGCATTTTGCAACTCTCTTCTCAGATGAGATAGCAGAAGGGAACTATAGAAGAATCAGAGAAAGGCACACATGCAGATACAGACTCGCCAAATCCAACAACATACCTCTTCGACGCGAGAGAGATTGAGCTGAAGACGATCGTTGATCCAAGTCAGAAGCTCGTTTCTTCCGACGAAGTAAGCACTGTCCATCATTCCGATATTCGTCGCCATCTGAGCTTGCTTGTCTCCTAAACCCAAAGGAAAAATAAGAACCCCCTTTATAAAATAGAGCGATAAAATGTTTGAGTATAAATGGAAAATTAGTAGAAACCGTCAAGGATTGTTCTTTGTTACGGAAAAGGAATAAAAATTCTGGTTCGATCTGCTTTGGGTTTGCTTGTGAAGAAGAGAAACGGAAGCAGAGAAAAGGGAAAAGGTCGGAGTGAGTGAGAGAGAGAGACGGAAAAGTGAACAAAGTAGAGAGAGGTAACGCTGGCAGCGGCAACCGGAAAGGTGGCAAATTTAATTTTTATTAAATTATATTTATTTTATTGGCATAGGCCATAGGATGTTAATGTTTTGCGTGATTGTTATTTGTTAACAATATTTGTTTTTTTAAAACTCGAAAATATATGACACCAATTTAAATAGATGTTTTTACGGGAAAATTACATAAAAAATCATAAAAGTGTCAGCCATTTACATTTTAAACCATAAAAGTTGTAATTTAAACCATCAAACTGAAATTTTTAACGCATATAATCTTTAATTTAATACGTATGTTTGTATTCGTATTTGTTTTGATCATATTTTCAACTTCGACAACAAAATAGTATTTTTCAACAACAATATGTATTAGTTTTCTGATCAATTTGCTTGATTTTATGAAAATTGAATCATTAAATTGAAAACTTAACATATACAACAAGATATATCATATAACATAAACAATAGTTAAATATGAAAATAAAGGCAATTAAAGCTGCAGGTGTGTGTCTTTAAAATCAATATATTATTGTTAGAGGATACTATTCCATTATCAAAATAAAAAAATTCTACAAACTAAGGGTTAGAACTGCTAGTTAAAAAATTTATATGTTTAAAATGCTAGTGGTTGCCACTTGGTAGGTTTTTATGCCATTTTCCTGATTATTTTACATTGAACAAACTTATAGCTTTTTTTATTTGGAAAGAATATTTCTATGATTTAATATTTATTTATTTCTAAAAGAATATGGATATTCTGCAATTAATTTATTTTTGTTATAATAACATGAATATTTTGCATAACAGATTTACCTTTAGTTAAAAGAGAAAAAAATTATGAAACATCTCAAATTTTATTATTTGGATGTCAGTTTTCAAAACTTTTTTTGTTAAAATCAATTTTCAAAAGTACACTTCTATGAAATCCATATTTTAAATTATACATCTTCTAATATGCTTATTAATCATTAACTAAGATCTAGGTTTTAGGTTTGTGAGTTAGATTATATGGTTTAGATTTCTCTTATTTATTAAAAATGTGTAGTTTTCTAAATTGATACCTAGATATATAGTTTTGAAAAGAAACATGTCAATTAAGGCTGTATTTAAAAAAAAAATGTAGCAAAACATTCTCATATGTATATTAAAACTAACTAAATTATTTTGCCCGAAAAAAGTAGAATAAGCTCTAAACTGTCTCGGATCGATGAGATACATTATGTTTAAGCAAACATTCAATCAAACCATAGAGTTAATATAATGTTTGGATACCAAAAAAATGGAAAGATTTAACATTATCTTTTAATTTTCATTTCCCATTGAAGTTTGATAAACATGTAACAAAAATATGTAATGCATAAATTGAAAGAGATGCAACTAACACTTAATTCAATAGATTTTGTTTAAGATTTCAATTTTTTTTGTAGATGACTCCATCAGACCGGAGTTAAATATTTTTAGAAGATTTAAAACTATATTTTTCAGTAGTGGAGAGTTTTATATTACAATTTCAACAAATAAATGAATATTTGTGAAAACCAATAAATAAACAAGTAATTCGTAATCTGATACAATTACACCGAAATTAGAGAAAGATTAACGAAATGAAATTTAATTACCAAACCTGGCTAGAAGCATATAGGCCATACCCATTGTCTCATATCTAACATTTTATGGTTAGCATTCATTTAGCAACTTTGATTACACACGTACGCACGCGCGTGTGGGAGCAAAAGCAAAATATTTGAATCTTTTGAGAGAGAAGACGTGGAAGTCAGAGATTCGTTGGGGCTCAATGGTACAAAAGTCCACATTCCTTCATTTGACTTTTCTCAATCAAAATCCCAAATCACAGATTCATCTTCTTCTTCCCATTTCTCCGATCAGAAACCACATTCGTTAACAATTATCGTGTTCAATGGAGTCGATTACCACCTTGAAAGGCTACGGCAAAGTATCCGACCAAGAAAACCAGATTCCTTCTCCACTCCCCAAACCATCTTCCCCTAAAGCCCTAATCGCCACCGCCTCCGTCGTATCTCTCCTTTTAATCCTCTCCATCGCCGCCTTAGCCGCCGGAGCCTTCACTCGTCCTTCCCACCATCCTTCCGTCTCCTCCGACTCTCTCAAGGAAGTCTGTGCCGTGACTCGTTACCCAGAGACATGCTTCGACGCGTTATCCTCTTCACTCGAATCGGATCGAAACTCTATCGAAAAATTCGACGCTGAATCAGTCCTCGAGCTAACTATTCGAATCGCTTCTAAAAAGGTATCGAGCCTCTCCATGTCTTTCCGATCAATCAACGACATGCCTGAGGAAGCTGCGGTCGGCGACTGCGTGAAGCTATACGCAAACGCGCTGAGTCAACTCAACGAGTCGGTGTCAGAGATCGAGACGGAGAAGAAGAAGGGAGGGAATTGGTTGACGAAAGAGGTCGTCGGAGATGTCAAGACCTGGATCAGCGCCGCCATGACCGACGGTGAGACTTGCTCCGACGGGCTTGAGGAAATGGGAACAGTTGTGGGGAACGAGATTAAGATAGAGATGGAGACGGCGAATCAGATGATGAGTATTAGCTTGGCCATTGTCAGCGAAATGAAGAAGCTTCTGACGATTTTTCACTGAAAATCAAAATCACACGAAACAAGAGGTTCCAACTTTTTTTTCTTTCTCTGTTTGTCAATTACGAATTCACAAGTGTGTGTTGTTCTCTGTTCTTACTCTGTAATTAGTTACTACGTTTGATCTATAATTTGATAATAGAGAAATCTTTCTTGTATATTACACTGAACCCCAAAATTCTCAAATCTATTCTAGTTTCCATCTCTTTGCTCTACTTTCATAAAGGTTTAAACTTTAGATCAAAACGAGCTTCGACGTTTCCTTGTCTTGTCTACTTCTTTCTTGGTCACGTCCATCAACTAGAAGAAGCAAAAAATAGTGAAATCTCCATTACAGGAGCTCGAGAATCATATTTAGTAAGACTAGCAAATGTGAATGTAAATGTACCTGCAGAGTTAATGACCTGACTATCTCCTCAGAAGATTTGATCTTCTCTGCATCATCTCTCGCCATTAGCATCGCAACTTCAAGCTTCTTCGAAGTCGTTCCAAGTTCGTCTTCTAGTTGTTTCGATTTTCGTGTAAGCTCTTCCACCTGAGTAGTAATAAAGTTTTATTAACCTGTTTTCAGCCACAAACTACAGACAAATTTTTCTTTGGACTCACTAACCTGTGCTTTGAGTAGTGATATTTCATTGTTGAGGCACTGCTTCGATTTCCTTGTCCCTTCTTGCAGCAGCTCCGTATCCGTAATGTCTGTGGTGAAGTCCGAAGTAGTCGCAACAGACTCCACAGGGCTCGATTTGATCGACAGAGGAAACAAGTCAACAGAGCCTCGACGTGAGAACGGGAGACCAGAAGTCACCGAGTGTCTTATAAGAGAGGACGTGTCTGATTTCGAAGCGCAGTGCTTGGCACGTTGCTTGCCTTCTTGATGAACCGAATCAAAAGAGGTAAGCCTGGAGAGTCGTCTCATCCCTCTCAGGTTGAAACTACCTTTAATGTCCATACTCGAGTGAATCGTCGACGAAGTGTAGCTTCCTCCTGAGGTCTCACCAATGGTTTTAAGATCAGGGATCTTGGATTGTCTAAAGAAATCAAACGAATCCACTCTAAGAATCTGACGCTGCGGTGTGATGCCTAACTCTTCCATCTCGTTACTCATAGATGGTAGGCTCGCGTTTGAGAACCTGGCGCTACTCGCCGGAGTTCCTAAACATTCTCTAACTCCTTCGAGTTTGACGTAACAGTCATCGCAGACGCGGTAAGGCCTGTTCGTCTTGGGAGCCATGGCTGCTGCTAAAGACTTCTTGCTAGTGCATGAGTTGCAGAAGACGCTCCCGCAGTTGTAACAGTTGTGGAGCTTCCTCATGTAGTTAAACGGATGTCGACAGCCGGAGCACCGAGAGCTGTCAGTACCCGTAATCGGTTTGTGAAGACAAATGGTTGCTGTGTAGTTAGAGCCACACACCACTTTCCTCACTTGTTTACCTTTCAAAGCTCTCACAAGAGTCGGGATGCGTCTGTGCTCTGTATCTCCGTGTCCAAGCTGTCCGTTTGATCCTCGTCCCCAAGTGTAGACCTCTGCTTTCGAGTTTAAGACAGCGATATGGTGAAACCCGCAAGCTACTTCTTGCACGAAGCTCTTCCCTAGACCGGTTTCAACGCAAGAAGGAGCTCTCACGACATTGTCTTGACTCGGATCAGCAATTCCCATTGCGTAAACTTGACCAGAGACGGAGAGAGCGACAGTAATGCTCTGGCCACAAGCTACTTGTTGAAAGCTAGTTGCATCCAGCTCAGTGACACACAATGGTATTAGTCTAGACTCTTTATCACCATGTCCGAGTTTCCCATCCTCGCCATCACCCCAAGTAAAGAGCTTCCCCGATGTCGTCGTCGTTGTTGTGCTCTCACCGAAAACATTGACAACCGCAGCTGAATGCCAAACGCCACAAGCTGTTTTCAACGTTCTACACCCACTTAACGCCTCGACTTCTCTAGGTATGTTTGTGCTTACACGATCACCATGTCCAAGCGCACCAAAAGTGCCATCACCGAATGTGAACAGCTTACCTTCTGATGTCACAAAAGCTGTATGCCAAAGTCCGCAAGAGATGGCTTTCACATTTATACCTTCCATCTGACCGAGGATCCGTACCGGTTTCCAATGGCTAGCTTCACTACCAATTCCAAGGAGACCAACATTGTGAACTCCATCACCCCAAGCGTATAAATCCCCTGAGGCTGTCACAGCACAAGTATGAAACTCTCCACAATCAGCTAACTCCACCGTCGAACCATCAAACTCATCGATGAGTTTCGGCTGTGGAACGTAGGAGCAAACTCCATGCCCTAACCTGCCACCGGATTCTTCTCCCCAGCTGTACATCTGTCCCTGCTTTGTGACCAACACTGCGTAGTTTGTGCCGCAAGAAATGCTCTGTGCATCAAGTGCCACATGTGATTTCAAGACTTTGGGCAAGAATGATTCAGCCATTAGAGAAGAGCTGCTTCCACTTTTGTGCATACCACCTCCTAACAGCCCATCTATAATGCTTTCTCCCCAGACGAAGACATCACAGAGAGATTTCAAGTCTTCAAAAGTTGATCCTTGACTAGATGAGCTCACTGCGCTGGAAACGCTGTATTTACTTGTGGTATCAACAGCAGGGGAGTGATTAGTATTGGTAGGGGAGTGATTAGTAGTAGCAGGTCGGCTCTCTAAAGTCTCTGGAGACTTTGGATTATGAGGTTTATGAACGAGATCGTCCAAAGAGAGTGCCTTTAATACTGCAGTTTGTGACAAAACCTCTGAGAAAACTTTCCCAAGTCTCTGTGGAGTGTTGGAGTGAGATCCTGAGGCCTTTTTTGCGTGTTCCTGCAGAAGTCCCTGATGAGATAATAGGATGACGTTAAGAAGGAAACAAACTTATGGTCTTCTCTTGAAGAAAGAATTAAAAAAAAGAACCTCGCAGCTTGTGTCACTGCTGACGGATCTGATGTTGGACTTGGCGCTCTTGGTGGAATTACTTTGTTCTCCATAGTCAGGAACAAAACTACGGCTTCTTGAGTGAAGTACCAATGGAGACGAGCTGTTTCTTGAGAGAAGAGCGCGAAGGGTAGTGATCCAGAACTCAGCTTCGTCCTTGTCTTTGCATACCTATCACATGAGGTATCAGTAAATGTTTCTCACAGGAACGACAAAAAAAAAGACCACAGAGAGAAAAAGTCACTAACCAAATCAAGAGAACGGTCGCCATATATAAGAGAAAAAGATTGATATTCCTTTGTGGGTTGAGGGTATCGCCGGAAAACCGCCTGGAAAAGTTGTTACAGTAACATTCCTTTGTTCAGAATCTTCAACCAAAGTGATTCAATACATGTATTAAACTTACAGTTCGCTGTCCAGGTATGATCCTTGTGACAGAGCTGAGTTTAAGACGTTTCTCCTTTTTGCCACAGTACCATAACAAATATATTTCATCCTGCGTAACACATTTGAGAGTCACATGACAATATTATTCTGCAGTTTGTTGCAAAGAAACTGTGAAGTGTGCAAGAAGAAGAATCGTCGTTACACTTGAAAGCCGAAAAGGGTAGAATTTAGGTTTCCCACGCCTGCCGTATTTCAAAAGATACGCACCTTTCTTCAGAATTGCTATCGCCTGCAATCACAATTCTTATAGCTAAACATTGAAACCACACACTCAAGAAACTGAAAGAGAATCTTTTTTTTTTACAAAGAAACTGTTATCGAAGCAAACCTGGTCATTCTCCCTCTCCGTGGGATCACTTCTGTTGAAAGAAGCCATTCCAAGTTTAGATGGGACTTTGATTTACAAGAGCAAACTTGAAAGTGAGCACCAGATGATTCCAATGCCCGCCCCATATAATTTAAATCCCTTTTTTTTATCTCCTTCGATTTTTCTGATGAAGCCCAACAGGTTTCTTTGTTTTTGTTTATCTAAGCATTTAAATCGAAAATGTCATCAAGATGTATTGCTTCTCTCCTACGGAACTGCATTTACGTTCATCATTTTCCATTCCAAAACCTAAATATCAAGTAGGAAGCATGTGGAATCGACAAACATTGTTTATAAATCGGTAATACGATTAATGTCACAATCGATGATCAATGATCTGAGAAATCAAGAGAAACGCACCTAGTTCCTTGGTTCGCACGCCACAATTCCGAAAATCTTTTTTTATGAAACAATTCAAATCGAATTGAAATTACACGTGAGGAGCTCCGACCAAATTTATGACCTAAGAGACAAACTATGTTCCTCGCTCGACTTTTCTGAGAATCAGACAGATTTGTCTTGAGTTTTGATATGAGGATAAAAATAACAAGGATATTGCGACCGAGCGACGACGACAAGAAAGAAGAGAAAGGTCTGTCTGAATTATCCTTTTTGTTGGTCTCAGATGCGTTTATCTGTTATTTACAGTTGTTCATTTTAATTCTTCTCTTTTTCTTTTTCTTTTTTCTCGTAGCTTCTGAATCATTCCATTTTTTTTTTGGACAAACGACTGAAAATTAATAAATTTTATTTCGGTGTACATATTTATATTATTCCTCAATAATACTGATTAACTTAACCAAAACCGATTTTTATCATATCAAAAATATCAGTTTTTTTAAATATATCATATCGAGTTTTGAAATACAATCAGTTGGATAAACAACAAAAGTAAACAATATCAAGAAAGAAGCAAGAAAATAAAATTCATCTGAAATATTGTCGTTATTTCGATATATTCAGGGCTAGTCTCAAGTCTCAACCCTTAGATCTTGAATCAGAAGAAATGGATCCGGTTGCGCATTTGTAACCCAACGTCGTAAATTAGAACTCTTTGTTAACGATTTAAGGGATTGGCTCAACGTAGTAATCCATTATTTGGTGGTGATTAAACGTGTGTTTAGAGAAGCGAAACACAATAATTAAATAATCTAGAGGACAAAGAAAAGAATTCATCAAAAGATTTTGCAATTGTTGAAAATAATTAGGTATTGTTTTCCAAATAATAATTACCAAAAATGTTTGGTATGATAAAAATCGGTTGACGATGACCGTAACGATGAACAATGACAATGACCGTAATTTAATCGAGACAAGTAATAATAACAATGGCATGCACAAATGAATTGCATTATACTCATCCTATGATTGGTTACTCGTTTTTTCTAAATAAGAGTCGATAGTTAAACAATTCTATATGAAAATATCATACGAGATACGGAAGTATCAACCACAAGTCAAATGAATCAACTATGAGCCCTTGTAAATAGCACCCAACGCACGTGTCATTTTTTGTAATAATCATAAGGGTTGTATTGAATTAGGGGTTTGGAATGATTTAGGGAATTTTTAGATGATTTTATGTGAATTATAGAAGTTCAAGTGATTTTAGTTAAATCATTCTAAAATCTTATAAAAAACCATTTTACAATAAAATCTCACCAAATCACTCTAAAATCAACTCTATTTTTTTTAAATCTACTATTAAAAACATTTCCAATAATAGTGGATTTGAAAATGGATTTTAAAATCCCAAGTTCAATAACACTAGATTTTAAACCAGTTTTTAGATATCAAGTTTGAACAAAATTAGATTTGTCATTTTAATACAAATCAACATAAATCACTCAAAATTCCAGTTTCAAATACACCCCTGTTTTTAAATGTATTAGAAACAAAACAAAGCGGGTTAAAATTGTTGAAGTATTTTGGTTAAACCATAAACCTACGTATATAACGTCTCCATCAGCGACGGAATCTGTTAACCCCTAAATTTCGGCGTCGATGGCTTATGACGATCTTATCGACAACTATTTTGCTTTTAGAAATCTCAAAGCAAAATCTGAGAACAAGGTTCGCCACTTCGACTTGTTATTTTTTTTTTTGGTTTTTCGTTTTGTATTACTTGAGATTTGAGAATCGAATCGTCTATGGATCCTATGTCCCTCTTGTTAAGTATTTCGACTAGATGATCGCATAGTTGTTTACATCGCTTTTCTTTTCTCTCTGATGATTAGGAATGCTTCGATTGTAGTGCGGAGGATCCGACATGGACATCGGTGACATACGGGATTTTCCTCTGCATGGCTTGTGCATGTACTCATCGGAGCCTCGGTGTTCATATCAGCTTCGTCAGGTAAATTGAGGAATTCACTATTTTTAATCCATTTGTAGTAATTTGTTGATTTTTACTAGGGTTTGAGTTTTTGAGGAAATGATAGGTCAATTAGTTCTCCACATTTTGATTATTTTTGAATTAGACTTATTCAGGTTATCGATTAGACTAGATAATACATACTTTGTTTTCCTACTGGTTCCTTTGTTTTTTTCCGGTTTGGTATAGATCAACGAAGTTTGACACATGGAGCCCTAAGCAGCTGAGACCAATGATGTTTGGTGGAAACAAGCGAGCTCAGGTGTTTTTCAAGCAACATGGATGGACGGACGATGGTGCAAAAGTGAAGGCTAAGTACACTTCAAGAGCTGCTGATTTGTATCGCCAGATTCTTGCTAAGGAAGCCATCGGAGAATATACTAATATGGAATTGTTCTGGAAGCATCTAATGGAAGAGTTACTTCCTAAAGAAACTTCTTCTGCCGCTTCTTCTTCGCCTAAAGCTTCTAATGCAGTTGGTGAACAGAAGCTGCCTACTAAGGCAAGTTGTTTTTTAGCATTACGCTTTCTGCCCTTTTTTCAGATTGAAATATATATCAGTTTTTTGTTTGCTAGGCAAAGGAAAATCCCTACGACCAGGAACAATTGTTTGGTACACAATTGCGTTGCCCTGATGCTCCAGCGAAGCTCTACCAACCACGGCTCTATGTAGATCCGAGAGTGGACCTCTTATCAAGCTGGTTTGCAGATTCCAACTCCAAGAAATCAAGCTCCAGCTCTTGGAAAGCTCATGTAAGCCTTGTGCTTATAGCATAGATCCAGTTACGCTAATCTTCTAACTAATCTGATTTTCTAGGTTGAAGAAGAATCGGATCATGTTGCAAGAAGGAAGTTCCCAAACGCAAAGTCCATTTCTTCTGATCAGCTTTTTGGTTATGAGAATATATCAAAAACTAGACATGAGGTAAGTAGATTTTTCACTAATATTATTCCCTAGCGAGCTATAACTATAGAATATATATCATACGTCTTGTCTGGTTTTTGAAAGGAGAAAGATATGTGGACGTCAGTGAAGGAGAAGATGTATACGACATATTTGGGTGTTGATGTCTATCGCCTCCGTAGGGAAGTGACAGAGTTAAAGCAGAGACTTGAAGCTCCAGAAGCTGATGCCATCCCTCTTGCCACCCGTAGGAAATGGGTCTCGAAACTGCAGGTGGAGGTAAGTTTTTTACTCTTACAAAACTCTCTCGGCTTCTTGTTCTGATGGTTGCTTGTTTCTAACAGGTCTTCAAACATGATCCCTCGACAGGCATCTTCGGTTGTGGCGCCCCATGCCCCATACTATATAGTGCCCAATTGGATGTGGTCAACTTATTCCGGAAATCAGTTGGCTTGGAAGAATACATTTGGGACAACTAGTAGGTTTAATTTGGTCCCTTAAAACTCAAGAAACAGTGAACAACTTGAGACCCGATTGTTGTAAGCAAATTTATTATTACAACTATAGCTCATGGAAAAGTACATATGATATAAAAACTATCAGACTTTTTTTAATAAATCATATCGAGTTTTGAAATACAATCAGTTAGATATTTTTTTGAAATACAATCAGTTAGATATTTTTTTTTTGAACAACACATACTTTCATTCTCATTAAACGTGGCCAACAACTACAATGGGTGGGTCCCACTGGGATAATGAAGAAGCAAATCTACTTTTTGCGACTTTTGCGAAATTATCAGCTAAAGAGTTTTGCGAAAGATAAACAACAAACGTAAACAATATCAAGAAAGAAGCAAGAAAAGAAAATTCATCTAGTTTGAGAACAGCACCCAACGCATGTGTCATTTTTTGTGATAAAGGAGGTGTTATTGGATACTGTATTTTGAAATACATTAAAAACAAAACCACTGTTATTGGATTAGGTATTTGTGGGATGTAATCTGAAATACATTAAAAACCACTGTTATTAGATTAGTTATTTGATTTAATAGAATTTTAGTTGTAAGTGGATTTTATCTCTGATTTTGAACATATTTCAATAAATAATTAATTAAATTATCCAAAAATTGCTCTATGAAGAACTTTGAGATATCTTTGCCCAAAAAAGTTAAATAACACCTTGGAGATTTTTTATGATGATCTAATAATTTTTAATTGGGGTTTTGATGGGGGAGAAAACAAAAACGGATCTCCGATCTCTTTCCAAATATCTCAGTGAAATTCTCAAATTCATGAAAACTAAAATTTTCAGCATTGTTGCCTTTTTCGTTATAAGATTTCTGATTGTCAATGGCATTGAATGTTAGAAATGGATGAGACCAAAAGTTGCAAAGTTTTTCTGATTCTTCGTGTTCAGAAAAATATCATGTTGAAAGTGATAAACTATTAATGATTTTTTTTTTAATTGTAAATTCGATAAAAAATTTCAAATACAATGAAATACAAAGCAATAACTGCATGTGAATTGTGTTGTCCAAAAAAAATTAAAAAAAAAATAAAAAACTGCAATGAATTGAAACACGTTAAAACACTTCTAAATCCAAATCCGTTAAAATACAATGAATATCTAAATCCAATAACAGTGTTATTATAACACCCCCAAAATTAGTCGTCGAGTATAAAACGTGGTCTAATGTTTTAAATGTATAAGTGTGATAATCATAATATTATACCCAACGGACGTGTCATTTTTGTGTGATAATCATAATATTATAAAACGTGGTCTAATGTCGTACATGTAATAGAAAAAATCGTGGAAGTAATTTGGTTAAACCATAAACCTACGTATATAACGTCTCCATCAGGCGACGAAATCTGCCTAAATTTCGGCGTCGATGGGCTATGACGAGGATCTTAGCCACGTCCTCCGCCAAATTGTTTTTAGAAAACTCAAAGCAGAATGTGATGAGAACAAGGTTCGACTTCTTTATCGACTTTCGTCGGTTGTTCTTAATTTCGTAATTTCACTTTTTGTTACTTGCGAATCGAATCGTCTATTCGATCCTCTTGTTAAGTTGTTTGGCTAGATCTCATAGTTGTTTACATGGTTTTTCATTTCTGTCTGATATTTAGGTATGCTTCGATTGTGGTAAGGGGAATCTGATGTGGGCATCGGTTACATTCGGGGTTTTCCTCTGCCTCAATTGTGGAGCTGCTCATAAGACGATGCTTGGTGAGCATATCAGCATCGTCAGGTAATTTGAGGAATCAACTATCTTAATCTAGTGTTTGAGCATTCGCAGCAATTTGTTGATTCTGGCTAGGGTTTGAGCTTTTTAATGCATGCATGATTGGTAAATTACTTCTCAATGTGTAGTAGCATTTCATTGTCAATTAGACTGATTCAGGTTATCGATTAGACTAGATAATAATTTGTTTTCCTTTGTCTTGTTCGATCAATTAACACCAAATACCTTCTCAAATTGCTGCATTTTTTTTTTCCGGTTTGGTATAGATTACCGGAATATGAACCATGGACCCCTAAGCAGCTGAGGGCAATGATATGTGGTGGAAACAAGCGAGCTCGGCTGTTTTTCAAGCGACATGGATGGACGCAGGATGGTCAAAAATTTATTAAGGCTAGGTACACTTCAAGAGCTGCTGATTTGTATCGCCAGTTTCTTGCTAACCAAGTTGCAGAAGATACTAGTAGTGTTCTCCTGGAAGCATTTAATGAGGTAAGTTGTTTTTTTTGCATTACGCTTTCTGCCCTTTTTTCAGATTGAAATATATATCTCAGTTTTTCGTTTGCTAGGCAAAGGAAAGTCTCTACCGACTCTACGACCAGGAACCGGGTGATTCCGTTCTTACAGCAATTAGACTTGCCGACTTGGAATGTGAAGAACAGAGCTGCGGTGGTACAGTGAAGGAGAAAGATATGTGGACGTCAGTGAAGGAGATGTATACGAGATACGTGGGTGTTGGTGTAAAACTCAAGAAACAGTGAACAAGAAAGACTTATCTGTTTGTTGACTACTTCTAAATGCTCGTGTGTGTGCAACTTGTTTGAGACCGATTGTTGTAAGCTAATCTGATTATTCCAGCCAGGGAAATAGACGGCTACGATAACATGTAGCAGATATATAGCAACTGCATAAGCGGTTAAGCCTTAAAGCAGAATAATGAATACTATTTTCTTTGATGTTCCAGCTTGGCTAGATATAGAGCTTTAAGCAAAGTACTAAATTACCCTATGTTGGAAAATCTTTAGATACACGCCTTGTTGTCCCAGCTCAACAAGCTATAGAATTTATCGTTACTTAATAGTAATATAAATCTCCGCTTGCTTGTGTTAGGCATAGATGAGGGACAGACAAATCTCAGAGAGAGGAGGTCACATTACACAACAAAGATAAAACCTGAAATGGAAGTACGAAACAGAAAACAGAGTGAAAGCTTATTAGAATATAAGCCAATGATCACATACAAGCTCTTACCGACTAGTTTGAGTAAAACTTCCGGACTCTGAAACTCATCTCGCCAGACTTTCAGACACTATAAGGTACAAGATAAGCTACTGTGACCTCGGAGAAAGAAGAGTGCTTTGCTATAGAAAGGAACGTGTTCTTGACTGTTATCAAGATCAATGTATGTGTCGAGTAAAACTTCAAATTAAATCACTTTAAACTTTTCAATAAACACCTAATCTAATAGTTAGAGCATCGTTTCAAACAATTTACTAGTACTGTAAACCTAACAATAGTTGGAGAAAGGAAGACCATGAAAATGTGACATACGCATCTAAAAAACAAACAACAGAGTAACAGAAAGATGGTGTGCAAATAACAAATAGTAAGAGTAATGATAAGACAGAAATATTACTTCTTCTAAGGTTTATAAAGAGTGTTTTTTTAATGATAACAGCAAAAGATCCCATTTTTTATCAAAACCCATTCTTCTTTGAAGCACTTCTACTACTCATCGAAGGTGCTCAAGAAACCACCAAGGAAGCCAGCTCCATTGCAGTCCCCACACAAGACCTCCTTTTTACCTCTGCCCACACAATAAAGAAAAGGACTTTTAAGTAATGAGTTTGTTTGTTTTGCATTGGAGGAATAAGAAATGAGATTAAAGATGGTTGCAAACCTGCAAAGCCAACAGAGGCCACCAGCTTTAAACTGTCCATTGAAATGATCAATCAAATTCACACCACCTCCTTTGCATTGAGAACATGCCACAGCACCTTTTCATAACATTTTTCACCACAAAATATTTGTCAAATTACTAAAACAATTCAGCAGTAGAAACTAAGTGGTTAATGAAGCTAAGCATTTACCATTCCCTTCACAGTTTTGACAAACTATGCTGCTCGTTTTAACTGTCTTAGTACCGTCTGTGGCCTATTGATTCCAAAAGATGAGGTTTTTTAATTGATTGAAATGGTAAAACTGAGTAAGCAAATACGAGAGAGAGAGGAACAGAGTTTCGTAAAAAATCTAACCTGAATCTCGAAAGTTCTGGATTTGGAAGTCTGAAACACTACTCTCTTCTGGGCCAGCGACAAGTTCTTGTCACCAGTTGAGAAGAAGTTAGCAGGTTTAGCATCTTTGCTCGGAGACTGGAAGCAAACGGTAGGAGGAGAAGCGAAGAAGCATAGTGAATTCGCCATTTTCTGTTTCTGATTCTCCTTACCCACTCAATAGCTATTGAGATAAGATAGTTTTATCTCCCTCTCTTTTTTGGTCTTGTCTCTACCAAAATATCCACTTAATTAAACCAATCCTAACCAGAACCAACTGTTATACCGGTTTTCTTTTGACCCAATTTCACATTTCATCTCCTTTTTCTTTTTTCTATAATTCCCTTTCTTTTTTTCAATTTTGGATGAGTATTTTTTTAAATGTAAAACAAATTTCATCTTTCTTTTTAGTATCAAATTTCATCTTTCTTTTTAGTATCTTAGGACAAGAAAAGACGAAGATTTTAGCTAATTTTCTTATTTTTCTCAAAACGAACAATAAGGTGCCATAGCTTCCTGATCCTATGAACAAACCGAGCAAAACAAGAAATGAAATGAGCCAAAGCCAAACGAATTGCTCTGTCTCTGTTTCCCGCCCAAAGATCTCATTCAGTAGCTCTCAGCCGCTCTCCAAGTAGCCGAGAAGGCCACGAGTCACCGGCGCTAGCATATCTCGGACACGGCTTACTCACATTTGAGCTGTTATACATCAAAGGCGCTTGTGTATGGAGATCAGATTGTATCGGAAGGACAACAACTGTGGCACCACCACCAGGAGCAGCAGACTGTTGAAAGCCGGGGGCTTGGAATATGGGAAGCCCTGAAGAAAACTGAGATGCAAGTTCTTGATGCTGTTGTTGATAGTGTTGATGATGATGGTGAAGATGATGGTACTCTGGTGCAGGGGATGTGTTCAAGTCGGGCTTAGACTGATTCGCTCTCGCTTCTATCTCGCTTTGTAGCTTCGAGATCTCTGTCTCGAGCACTGATGTTTCTTCCTTTAGCTCATTCTTCTCTGTCGTTACCTACACACATCACAAAACCCATTAAAGCAACTTCTTGATACATAAACACAGTGAATGTGCATATAAGAGTACGCGGCTTACATAGTTGGATTCAGAGAGGAGAGAAGTGTGCTCTTTTCTAAGGGACTCAATCTGACCAAACACGTCTTTCAAGAACCGAGTAGCTTCACATAGTATTGAAGCTTTCCCACTGTTCTGCTGATTCAGTTCTGAGAAGAACAGAGAATTTGACCCAATTCAAGCAATTGTTTCATTCAATCTTAATAGAAAACAAAAGATGTGAAATTTTTTACCAAGTGTATCGGCTAATTCAATGAAGAGCTCATTCAAATGCTCGCGTTTGAGCCTCTCTCGAACAGCCTTGTTGATCCTTTTGGGGACTTTACCTTTCTTAGACCTGTTGCAGCCAAAGATGAAGACGAAACAGTTCATACACGAACGAATCACCAGAAACAAAAAAAGGTAAAAGAGAGAGACGAATAAAACACTCACCTATCATCTACAGTAGTTGTAGTATTCGCTTCATCAGTCGATGTGGAAGGAGTTTTCGATCCCATCTTCTTGCTTTTGTATAGAAAGCAAAAGAAATTCCTCTGTCTAAGTCACCTGGAATTCAGAGAGAAAGATGATCGGTTCAAAAACCACAACTGATGAATGAATCTTTAAAAAACACAAATCCATCTTTGAAAACACAAATCCACCACGAAACTTAAAAGCTTTTTAAGAAATTTAAAGGTTGTTGTCGTGTGTGAATTTGATTCCTCAAAAGCTCAATAGGTACTCTTAGATTCTCACTTTATCACCATATTCTTGATAAATCGAATAACTGTGAATAATTACCAAAAATTACGGCTAAATTCTTCAGAACCAATGCCTAAATCGAAAAAGTAAACAAGTCAGAAAATATACCTCTCTCCGGCCGAAGCGGTAAACTATATCGTTCAATACTCCGGTGAAAGGTTCGTCTGGAATTGTTGACGATGAGGATTCGAAACGAGTAAGAGAGAAGAAGAAAAGCTGAGAGGGAATTGAGAAATTGGAGAGGAGAGAAAATGGAGGAAAGGAAAACACAAAAGAAGAGAGGAGGGCGTGTGGGGAGAGAAGGAGGCGCGTGGAGAGCACAGAGGAAGTGGTGCGTGTAAATGGGACACGTGAGCTCGACATGCGCCTTTCGCTTTTCTGCTTTTGTCGTTTTCTATTACGTCGCGTGCCACTAAGCTCAATGGTTACTGTTGACACGTCACCGTATCTTAAATATTAATCGAGTGAAGTGAGGTGAATTTTTCAGGACCAGGTAAAGTTATTATTGGGAAAGTTTGTTGGGTGTCTACATTGACTGATCACGATGCTCAGAATTTCTACAAATTAAAATTGTTTTTTCCGATAGCTCTCACTTCAATTTAATTATCTCCAAACTGAAAACTTTAACAACTAACAACGTCATTGAAAAAAAAATCAAAATTATTATCTCTCTTTTTTTTTCAATCAGAAAAATTATAAGAAAACAAAAACATTTCAGGCCAGTTTTGAGATTAGCGTGTGGGGTCCACGTGATGGATAGGAAAGGCGTGGAAATGGTTAGTCGAGAGTTTATGACGTACTCCTCCGCCGAGGCTGGCGTGTGCCTCCCACAAACTCGTGCTGATGGTTTATTCGGTCAATCTATCATTGCTGTCTGTTGAAGGTTCGAACTTCGAATTAGTGAATGACATTTTTAGTGGCGTAGTAAAAAAAGAAATTATACCTTTACACAAGAAAGATGGGCAAAACAGTCTCAAACTGAACCACATCTCATTAGTCTGAATCCAGATTTAAAAACTGATCGTTTTAGTTTATTTAAAGATGAATCATCAGATTTATGAATTAGCTTTGTTTTGGATTTGTAGGTATCAATTTTTTTTGGTTTATTTATCAAAATGATTAGAAAAAAAAATCCATTTGAATTTTTGTATAATAATTTTAAACTAACCAGTTTATGAATTTCTATAGTTATGGAATTTTAAAATTGAAGTCATTTAGAAATGTTAATTTACTTTGGAGAAATTTTTTGATTTACCATATCATTACTTTATGTAATTTTTATCCCTAGCATGTATTTTTTTGTTTAGCGTTCTAATAAAATTTAGTTGCATAATCTTCACACACAACAAAAAATATGCACGATTATATGAAGGAATCTAACAATGCATGATTTGGATTCATTTTCCATTAATTTAGAAGTTAACTTGATCGTGTATTTAGATTCTGTAACCGACAGTCACACAGAAAATTATGCCAATTACTTAATTTTTCCATTATATGAAATGTACATAAACATATATACACATGCATATAAGTAACACAAACACATAAACAGGACTGGAACCTATACAGTTTGATCCGTCATTGCCTACCTTTCTTCTTAATTATATTTTCAAGAATATAATATACTAAAAGTTGTCTAATAAGGTAGCGGCAACTATATACTACCGATCCAGGAAAACCTGACCAAAAAAGATAAATTTAGTGAAGAACTCCTAATCTCATTATCAAGATAGATGCGTGTTTCGATGAAAGAGAACTAATTTAACCCCCAAAAATGAGCTAAAACTAACTAAAACATAGTTTCCTTAAAGTTCATCGAACCTTAGCTAAATAAAATTTAACTTCTTTTAGATCATAGTTTTTCTAGGGTTTATTATGTACGACGGGAAACAAAGGACTAAATAAAGAATGTCAATGCATTGTGGTTTTAATTCTTAGATATATCTTGTACGTATATATACGAATTTTCTGATTTTTGTGTTTTAATGTTTACAATGTAGGTTATTTATATGAAAATTAGTTAAACCATTAGTATAAACAATAACTAAACAATTTTATCAAAAGTATTTATGTCATTATCTTTGTGAAAGTGAATGAGAGTGATTCTCCAAAATCACTTGCCAAATAATCGTATAAATAAACATTGCTCATATTATGCACAAACATTGCTCATATTATGCTAAAAATACTCACCTACATTCCTCAATTCAACTACATTTCACATTTACCGGTTAGCCAGTTAGGCCATAGTTGTTGTTACTGAGAAAGTTTATTGAGTATGTGCATTCATTGACTCATGACGATGCGCAAAAATTGTACACAAATTAAAATTGTTTTTCTGATAGCTAGCTCTTATTACATATTAAATTTTTCAAAACTGAAAACTTCGATTTTCATTGTTTAGCAAAATGTTTTTCACCTAAATTGTTTTAGGCAATTTCTCATATATTTTTCTAAGCGAGATTAATTGTTTGATAGATGCGTTTAATTCTGTGGACTCAGACTCAAACGTCAAGGTGTCTACGAACCAAATCCAGAAAGCACTTAATGGAATCGGCGTCTACGATCTGAACATGGTGGCTTGTTCAAGCCTTCTTAAAGCTGGCTTCACTGGTGGCTCTCTACATACATCGCCTAACGCCTCTGGCCACCACCGTTGCCACTAGAGACGCCTCTGTCTCTGGTACGTTGGATCCATGTACTGTCAGGCACTCTTACGCTACGCTAGGCCTAAGAACAATCTTTTGTTTGTTTAGTCTAAGAACAATTGTTTATTTGTTTATGTTTGTTTAATCTATGAATAATCTGGTCCGTTTGTTTAATGTTTTGTTTGTTTTTGTTTAATCTATCTTGTGTGTTTAATTTAATGTTTTGTTTAATTAAGAAAAACGAAAAGTCCATTGTACTTTATTGTGGTCCAAATGAAATCAATGTCCGGATTGTTACTATTGTTAGTTGTTGCCACTTTTTTTAATCGATGTTTTCAATATGAACCTGACCGGAAAAGATATGAACATATCTTAGGAATTATAAAAAGGTTTTGCACTTTGTCTTCAGGCTTGGGCTTAGCTATGGACCTTGGCCTTGACTTAGGCCTTGATCTGTACAGTTTTTGGTTTTTTATTCCGAAATTCATTTGATAAGTATGATTCTATAATTTTCGTTTGATCACAATTATTTTTGCAAAATTTTATTTATGCACACAGTTAAGCCTTTAAGCCTTCTTCTCTGCCCCAAATGATATCGCTCTCACTATGTTAGAACATCTCCAACCCTATGTCTGCGAACACCACATCAGTGATTCCATCTCCTTCAGTTCCTGGCAACCAAGCCGCCACCAAAGCTTCCACCTTCTCCAACACCGTCGGGTCCAAAACCACCAGTCGCCCCGTCATCAGTATCACCACCGTCGGGACCTTCTCAGCCACTAGTCTCACTACCTCAGCTCCATCGAAATGTATCGACGGCTCAGGATCATCCCCTCGAGACTCCGCATAGGGAGCTCCAAAGGCAACGATCGCGTAACAGAAATCGTTGCTTGTCAAAGTCTCCTCTGAAGGGGGATTTCTCGTAAACCACTTCCGTTTCCTCTCCAACGATTCCAAGAGCGTTGTTCCTACATTCGTTGTGAAACAGAGGATGTTAAATAGTTAGCTTGTTGCACACGAAACTACTTGTGTCGAAACAGAGTTTTTCCTTTTTTTTTTGTTGCTTACCATTGTGGTCCGACCACTCATACCCTGCCACGTCTTGGTCCAACCACCGCACTGAAACCCAAGATTGTTTGCGTGGGTTCCGGCAACCAAAACCTTTTTGGCGTTTCGATCTAACTGAAGAAACGGTTTCTGTGAATCTCTCCCATTCTTTAACAGAACTAAAGATTTCCTCACCGCTTCATGTGCTATCTCTCTGTGTTCCTGATCACCAAAATTATAAATATATTCACAAAGACTTACAAACAGAATTTATGGATTAACAGTGTCAAAAGCTGAATCTACGTACCTTGCAGCCAACAAACTTCAACAACGATCTGTCATCTGTCAGAGAAAGGGTGTTCGAAAACACCGGATGTGAACTTCATCCTCAAAACTCTCTCAACTGCATCATCAATCCTTGACATAGGTATTTCTGTTGAGAATCTCTGTCAACAGAAAACGGTCTGCATGGAGTTTCCGTCCGTTCCAATGTGAATAAGAAGGCATAACCGCGGAGACTCCTTGAGCAAGACAGTTCAAGTAAGGAGCCATATGGATCCTCTCCAAGTCTTCGAATGAAGCCACTGTGTCTCCTTCGTTCTTAACCTTCTACGTACCACCATCTCCAACAAAGTGCTTTGCACATGCAACCACATTTTGTCTGAAACACAAACCCAAATATAAGAATATGAAAAGTACATTACGTGCTTCTCAAGAAATGCTGGGTCAAATGATTAAGATAGACCTTCCGGCTACGAAAGGGTAACCAGCGGGATGTCCTTGCGGTGGAGTTCCTTGTAGACCGAAAACAAAGGATGTAATGTTGCATACACCGTCAGTGTCTTCGCTGTAGCTCTCGAAACATCTTCCCCATCTCGGATCTTTGCACACCTGTACCCCAAACCCCATAGACATGAATACATGATCAGATAACTGATCAGATAACATGATCAGCAGCACACCTTATTTTCGTTTGTTCTTACATTTTTGATTCTTCTGCTTGAAAATGCTGCAAGTACATCTTTATTACTGGTCTTTACCATGCAAGCTCCTCTACAAATTTATTTTGTTTCTAATATACATATGTTTTTCATTAATTGTAAGGTTATCTATTTCCAAATAATACAATAGAAGATTTATATAAAAAATAAGAAGAAGGAAAAAGGTGACTTTTTGAATTACTAAGAGGTTCTGGACCGAAGCCCGTACATCTCCATAGGCCTAGAACAATAGCATGTAATATTAGTTCCGTCCCAAATAATACTCCATCATGTAACCACTAATTAAGCTTTCCCTAAGAAGGAAAAAGGTGATTACAATTGAATTGAATTCTATCAAAGAAATCAAATCATGTTGACTTTGTAAATACACTCCATAAGTTTTAAAATTTAAAGATAACTCATTTATCTATAGAATGTGAAATGAATAATAAATCATTAATTGTAAATAAACCAAAAGTTAAAAAATCTGATGTATTTGAAATTATTGGAGTTGATTTTAATATATTAAACCATAACACTCTTTAAATTTTTAAATCTCATCTAGATGAATCAGCCGGATGTTGCTCGTTTTTTTGTATTAAAGGAACATCACCCAACTACTTCATCCAAATGGATCAGCTAGAGGAGCAAACATGACCATAGTTTCCCTCAATCCATCCTCATTGTAACATTTTAATTGTTGGTTTAATTGCCATTGACAGGATAGGAAACTCTCGCGATGTGAGTTGATTCAACGACTGAGAAGAATAACCGGAGATAGATTGCTGGTTCCCATCATCAAATCTTTCGGACAAAAAGGTACATTGTTATATACTTATATTGTAGTAAACACATGAACTCAAAGATATATTAGAAGTCGTTTATTAGCTTTAATGTTGATTACACTAGAATTTTGTGGTGTAACATATCATTGTTTTATGTATATACGTTTCTGGACCAGTCTAACGAATTTTTGTTCTCACGGTTTATAAAATGTTAATATTTAAAAACTAATACACAATCTATAAACGCTGCTGAAAATTTACTAAACACAGAACCTCTCCTTGTGAAAGTAGTCAGATATAAATCATACTATGAAATGAACATAACAGTATTACTATTTGTTTCTTATTTGGCTAAACGGAGTCGTTTCACTAATCACTGTCCCCAAATCGAAATTGACAGATAATTCTGAGAAAATCCGATCTCTTCCTAGCTTCCTCGATATCGATATTTGGTTCTTTTCTTCTGAGCATCTATCTCAAAGAAGACGAGTTTGAGTTCGTTGATGCGCGGGAACTGGCAGCTTAGCTTACAAGCTTCTACTCTTGTTCAAAATCATCATCTCCTCTATCTTCCCAATTATTTATAATCGGTAAATTCTGCTTTTGATGTGATTTTTTTTCCCTGGATTCTGTTTTTTATACTGCGCACACCACTTGTTCGATGATATGCCTCTATGAACTAATGAACATTTTAAATTATTGTGTATGGATTTCATATGAATGGTAGAAGATTCCATGTATTGGCATCAGTCAAAGTCTTGACTTTTTTTCTTAATTATGCTCACCATTGATGATAATGCGACGGTTCTTGCTATCCTGAGCCAGTAAGTCACGCCGTAATTCTCCAAAACATAAAGTAGTTATTACAGGGATCCTCTGTCGGAATGGAAACTAGTCAAAGAGAAGAGCTTGCAAGCTTCTTAACTGTTCTTCCCCCTGTTGATTTCTGCTGTGTTTATGGTTCCACATTGCATCCAAACAACCAAGATAAGGTAGCTTCTTCTCTTGGATCTCTGTGTGATGAACATTTCTTGTTTCTGCTCACTTCACTAATTGACCCGTCAAAATGCGATCTTTGCTCTTGCAGTCTAAAATGGTGGATTATATCCTTGGAGTCTCTGATCCCTTGCAATGGCACTCTGAAGTGAGTCTCTTAAGAAAGCGAATTTTTGTTTACCACAATCGTTAAGCCCGCAGATGTTAACTAGTGTTTGTCCTTGTGTTGATCAAGAATCTGAAAATGAATTCTGATCACTATGCTTCATGGATGGTTCACCTTGGCGGATCCAGGCTGGTATATTTCTCTCGATATCACATATTTGTGAGTTGGTTTATACGGCTTAATTAGACGCTGAACATACGCTTTTTTCTTTCCTGGAACAGATTACGAAAGTTGCAGATAACGTAGGAGTTGGAGTTCACTTCAATCCATTTGTCAATTGGAACGACAGGGTAAGATTGTTTAAAACCTAATGAATAGATTTTGTTAATCCAAGTTGGTAGTTCTATATTTCATATGTTTACTTTCTGCTCAAATTTGATCATACTGTATGTAATTCCAAGCCATGTTTCTTGAATGATTTACTTAAGCTCTTTGCAGAAGCTAAAGTATGGTGTGGTTCGGATGCATGACCTAGTACAGGACATACTCGACTGGAACAGATTCTACTTGAGTGGCCGTTTACAGAAGCCGGTACGTCACTTGCTTGGTCTTCTTACTGATAACCGTGGATTGTGAGATGTTTTAAGGAAGTGCCTTTGGTTTGCAGGTTCATTTACTTGTTGATAAACTGGACTTAGAAGAAGTGAATTCTGTTAATAAGAGAGCCGCAGTATCTGCAGCACTTCTTCTCTTGCCTCCAAAATTCACCGAGGTCGGGTTTCTGTTCAGTGCTCATCAGTTTTGAAGTTTCATGAGACTGTAACATTATAACTCACAGAAGTCTTATGCAGGAAGATCTATACGCCAAAATCTGCAGCCTTTCTTACATGGGAGACTTGCGGATGCTTTTTGCAGAGGACACTAATAAGGTGAGAGAAACATGTAAATACTACTTTACTTTGTTTCGGGTGAAGAGACTCCTGATTCCGTAAGTTCAATCCCTTGACTTTTAGGTGAACAAGATTGTGAAGGGACAGTTTAATCTTTTCAAGTCAATGTATAAGCCTTTTCTTGAAGAGTGCGAGACCAAACAATTGCTGAGATTCTTATCCGCTGAAGCTAGTCAAGCTAAATTAGTTCAGGTATACACAGTTTATAGCTTCATGGATATATATATATGGCTCAATCTTTAAGATTGTTTCAGTCATTTTTCTGCTATTGATCTTTACCAACTCGTGGACAGGACTCTGGCCTATCAGCATCACGCTCTCTGGTCTCTTCTCTTCCTGCATCAGTAAGAAGCCAAATGGGGAAGTTACTTGGGGAAAAGAAAACCTTGAGTGAGACAGGTATCAACTCTGACCTCTCTCTCTCTCTCTCTCTCTCTAGTTATATGTGGTTCCTGTGAGAGGAAATGGAAGGATGATTATTGATGGTTGAATTGGTATATGTATAGGTAGAGTTTTGGGAGAAGTTTGTATAAGTTCAAGAGAAGAAGCAGCGAAATGTATGGAGAAGGTAATGAAGCGAAGGGTAATGGTTTCAAGCGCAAGACAGGCTGTGTCTGGTTTCTTGGCTGCTGGAGCTGTTAATGCAACCATGTATCTTTCTCAGAAGATGCGCAAAGCTTGGAACTCTCAGTCATGACTTTGCCAAGAAACTCCTCACGAAAGTTTAGATGAACAAGTTGACAAAAGTCCAATAGTTGATCATTCTTCCTTCTTACGTTTTTGTTCTTTTCTAAGTAATAAGTAAGTTTTGTTTTATTTTCTCAAGGTTTATTTTGTCTTCCGATGTCATGATGATAGAACCATAGAAGCAAACGCATCAATTTCATTTTATCTCTTTTTGTGGTCTAATATATTATTCGAGCAATGGCAAGAAGTCCATCTATAGCTATAAGTTTGTACATCTAAAGAATTCACCTCTTATACAGAGATGAAAGGTCAAAAACTTTGTATAGAAATTTTGTGTTGTGAGCGTCAAACTTTTTGATTAATTCATCATTCTGAAAAAGTCATTCTTATCAACCACATAGTACCAGACTACTTAATCTTCCATGTAAGCCAAATATTTAACTTGTGTCCACGTTTTGGGAATCCTCACGGCTTATTAAATCCGGGATTCATGACATCACATGTAAAGAATATTCACAGATCAAAGCCTGTGTTTATTGCATCATATGTAAAAATGAAAATAACATACTCACTAGTAATAAGGTAAGCATATTTGTTTGAAAGGATAGTTGGAACATTTATATATTCGTTTCAAATATGTATATATTTTTAGAAACAGCAAACAAACACATATGGATTTCATCTGACCCCGTGACTAGTTTTGAAGGTTGACACTTTTAATCGCATTCGTACATTGCTACTTTAATGTAATTTTCCTATGGGGACCAATATTTTTTTACGTTTCCGTACGATGGCATTCGAATATTGGATCCAAGTGGCTCTATAACTTACCCCATCAACACTATTTTAGTTGTTTGAATCTCTGTTCTAGAAACAAGTTGACTTTGCGTTGGGTTGAATTGTAGACAAATCTGTTTTACTACTCGATAGGTATTGCACTGTTTTATAATATGGCTCAGAAGTTTTAACAAAATTTGTTCAGAAACTAAACATGTGGTTTAACAATAATTTAACATATATGATTTTGTTTTGGAACAACGTAACTTTATATTATACATCTGAACGCCATATTAGTCAAAATGTATATATCCAAAAATAAAATATTATGTGTGACAAAACACTAGATAAAATATAAGAGAAAAACAAACTACTGACGGACTGACCATATCTAACTACCAATTCGCAGCTGACTAATCTGTATACTCCCAGAAATCTTAAATTAGACCATCCTTTTAGTCCATCTATAGCTATAAGTTTAAAAATTCTATTCGCATGGGTCTTGTAAGGTGATGATTGGTTCTCCCGCTACCACCCGCAAACGCAGCGTTTGCGGTTCGTAGCGGTTCTTAGCGTTTTATAACAATCACGACAACCGCTTTCAACCGCTCTATACCACTCTGTACCGCTCTATATCGCTGAAAATCAAAAGCTCCTTTCCGCAAGCGTTTGCGGTTGCGGGCGGTTGCGGTTTGAAAAAAAAAAAAAAAAAACATAATATCTCCAAATTTGGAATAAGGGTATATTTTTTTGAAAAATACCATAATTATGTTTAAAAATTTCGAAAATACCCTAAATTTTTTCTGTTTTGAAAAATACACTTTTAAAATGTAAAAAGTATGTTTTGACGTGATTTAAACAAAAAAATAATAAATAATTACAAATTATAAACGAAAATTTAAAAAAATAATAAACTAATAAGTTTTTTTTCAAATAAATATAGTATATGTTAAACTGAAACAAATTTTAATATTTTGGATCTTTATATAAACAACTTAACCTCATACACATTCAAACCAAATGAAACTTTAAATAAATTAAAACTTTACATATATTTAAAGTTTATAAATTATTAAAAATTTAAAAGTGGAGAAATATATCTTTCATTTTTAATGTTTATCTTTTGAAAAATTTAAATATTTTTGAAACTTTGCATAAACAACTTTAATCTCACCCCATTTAAACTTTATATAAACAATCTTATATTTTTATTAAATTGTTTAAAAAAAAACTAAACAGGTAATTAGGATGTTAAAATGATACAAAATTATTATCAAATATTAATATTTTATATTTCTTATTTGAATTTCGTTTTTATTAAATTAGGAATAATCATTTTACATATAAAAAGTGTATTTTTCAAAACCAAAAAAAAAGGGTAGTTTTCAAATTAAAAATTCATCAAAAAATATATTTCAAAAAAAAAATTATTAATATGGTTATAAATGTTTTGAATAATTATATATTATTTTTATTTTAGTAACTTTTGGTTAAACCGCTCTTGCACCCGCTGGCTAACCAGTCAAAAATATCCCGCAAACGCAACCGCTATGAATTGCTATACCAGTCGTACAAACAGCTTTTAATCGCAAACTCCCGCTTCCGCAAACTCCCGCAGCCGCAAACTCCCGCAACCGCAACCGCAGCGGTTAAACCAGTCAGACCCTAAGTCCATCTACAATAACTAGCATGTCACCTATTTACCAATTTACGAATACAAAACATTATATGATCGGATTTCTATTTTGAGAAATGATCGGATGGATTTTGCTATTGCAATTTCATGATGACAATGCGATCATTTAGAAACATATAAAAACAAATAATGTTGAAGTTTATTACTGTATAGTTAGATTATTACCTTAAGCTTCCCGTCGAATGATGAATATACCTACATTTCAGTAACATATAACCTTAGCGAAGTGTTAATTCAACAAAGATTTTACGTTGATTACTACAAGTAGTTGAATAGTTTTACTACAGCGAGTGTAAGGTGAAAAGAAAAGATTTAAGAACTTGTGTCAGTGAGAAAAATAAATAAATAATTGAACGTTGGTTACGGAGGGATAATCAGATGGAGTGGGGTCCACACGACAATCACTGCACCTGATAACGTTCTGGGTCCCACGCTCCTTACAACACTACAGTCCTCATGTCACCACCACAATCAATCTCTCTCTGTCTCTCTTCTTTCTACTGTGTAAATGTTTCTTTATTATACTATCCAATGATATATTATATAGTCTGCACTGCAATAATACTAATTTACATTTATTATTATTTTCATGTCTCCATCCTTTTGTGAACTTAGAAGACCCATGCGAGTAGATTTTTTAAACCCTAGCGATCAGTAGATTTTAGATAATAAGTTAAGCTCTAGGAGTATATGATTTTTTTTTTTAAAGGAATAAAAAAACAAGAATATGTTAGTAAATACAATAATACTATACTGAAACAATCAACCTTTTGTAGTGCCTTGTAATAATGTTTGCTAAGAATAAAAGAAAACTCAGCAAATCCTTTTCTCAAAAAAAAAAGAATAAAAGAAAGTTGCGAGGGTCATCAGATTATAAATTTCAAACTTCAAACGAAGGTGGGAGAGTCTTTTAAACAAGATCAGAGCTTAATTTAGACTTACAGAGAATCTAAATATAGTCTTGCTTTGGATGAGATAACATATTATTTTGAACATCATATACAAAATCAGATCGATTTTTTCGGTGGGGACAAACGACAAAGAAATAAAGATAACATATACGATCAATCGAGATATTTTTATGTTTTATGTATCGTTTTCGTTCGACCATGTAAAACAAACGAGACACTTTGCTGTTTTCTATTAGCTTTGAAGCAACAACTCAAGGGCCAAAGTGAGAAAGAGATTGGTGGGCCAAGACATGAGAGAGGCCCATCTCGTTCCCCCATAAATTAATCTATCATGTTTGTTTTACATATAAAAATGCAAGTAGCCAAGTACACTAAAATAACAATAAGATTGAAACATGTTAGACTATGATGCAGAAAATAAACATATGAATCTATGATCATAGAGGAAGAGGAGAGGAACCAGAATTGTTTAGTGGACACTAGATCTTTCTTTGCATAATTAATTTTCTTAATGGATAAAGAAACCCAAAATGATTGAGAATCGAGACAGTGACACTAACAGAAAAATAAATAACCATTAAAAATAATAATGATAAAAAAGTGTCATATTCTCCTCAAAATCCCAAAAACCTGACAGAAAAAATCTCGTGTACTATTTAATCACTCACTCACAAGAAAAATAAAGAAAAAAAAAACTCAAATTTAAATAAAAGTAAAAATCAAATAAAAAATCTCACGTGTTTTTGTTTTTACTTAGCAAAAAAATTACTACAGAACATAAAAAAACAATCAACGGCGAAACAAAAGTATAACACAGTCGCCGAACGCCGTCGCCGCCACCGCCGCCGACAAATCATGGATTCCATTAAATTGTTTTTGATTTCTCTTTGTGTGTCTAATCTTGCGGATCCTCATCTCCAAGTGACCCACTAGCCTGAGATTCGCCGGAAACTTGCCGACCGTACTGATTTAAACCGGAGAGAATATTATGATGTTGTTGTTGATGATGATGATGATGATTATGATGTTGTCTCTGTGTACTGTTATGATCACCACCGTCACTTCTTCCTCCTTCATTATTATCTTCATTGATCTCATGATTACTACTTGTTGCTAGCTGTTGTCCAGTAAGAAATGCCATTGGCGCTGCGAAATTCATGAAATGCAAACCGCTCGAAACCGCGCCGCCTGGAACGCCCGAAACGCTACTTCTGTATAACGCGGCTGCCGCAGTGTTAATCGAAGGAAACGTCCAAACAGGCTCTCCACCGCCGCCGCCTCCACCGCTACCAACAGAACCTCCCGTTTGGTTGTTACCACCAGCACCACCCGCCGCCGCCGCAGCCGCAACCATCCAGAAATTTCCCGGTATTTGCGCGGTTGTAGCGGTGGATCCACTGTTGCTAGATTGAAGACTATATCCACCGATTTGATCATGTTGATGTTGATGCAAATCCGTCGTCGTTTGAAGTCTTCGTTTCTTCTCTGAGCTTAACTCTTCTGAGTCTTGATCTCCTTCTTGCTTTGTCGGATTATGGAAGTTCAAAAACGACGTCGTGGGAGTGAAGTTATCGATACCGGGAAACAGAGACGACGTCGTTGCACGTCCCTGTAGAGGATGATGATGAAGAAACGCACCACCACCACTTCTTTGTTGCTGTTGCTGCTGAAGTAACGATGGAGAGAAGATGTTGTTAGGGCTAAAAGTCGAAGCAGCGTTGCGGTAATGAGAAGGGAGAGACATGGATGAGCCTGAAGAACGGAGGGAGATGTTTAGAGAAGTGAAATTCGCAGGGATTGTTCCTGTTCCGGTGGCGGCGATAACGGAAGGCTCGGCTTGTTGAAGAAGCCACTCGATGGTTTCTCCATCGGATTTATGGCCGAGCTCTCTCGTGAGCTGGAAAACCCTAGCTGCGCATAACGCCGGCATCCTTATTCTTCTCCCTCTTCCGTCTACTTTCGTGTGTCGATCTTTCGTCGACGCTCGTTTTAACGGCGGCTTTTTAGCTACTACTGCGGCAGATTCCTCTTGCGTTATTTGTAACTCTTTCTGCGTTGTTGTCTGCTGTTGTGGCTTTTGCTGTGATTGTGGTTGAGGTTGGGGTTGCGTTTGGGATAATTGTTGGTGTTGATGGAGGGAGAAGAGAGAGGAGGAGGAAGAAGGAGAAGGTTGTTGTTGTTGCTGTTGGTTGTCGTCGGGATCTCGTTTTCCGAGGAGTTGGAAAGGGAAAGTAGGGCGGTGATGGTGGTGGAGGTGACGGTGGTGATCGTCTCCTCCTCCGACGCTGTCTCCACCGTCCATTATGACATTTAAGACAGTAGATGGTGGCTTTTGCATATATAAGTGGGGAACTGTTTTATATTTATAAATTAGGGTTTTGTTTTTATTTTCTATATATGTGATTTTTAAATATAAGAAAAGATGTTTGAAGAATTTGAGTGAGAAGGAGAGGATAAGAGAGAGAGGTAGAGAGGGAATGGGAAGAAAAGCTTAAAGAAACAAAGATCATGAGTGAGAATTATATGGGTGAGCTTTACAAATCATTTTTAATATTAAAAGAAGGTAAAGAAAATAAAAACTCTCATTGCATCTTTTATTTTTTTCAAACAAAAAAAACCATTCATTGCTTCTTTGTATATGCTTCCATCTCTCGCACAATAATATAAAGAAATATATAATAAGAGACACATTTTTTTTTGGTGTAAAACTAAAGGACACATAATAGAGAGAATTGTCAACAATGTGAGTACCATTTAATAGCTGAAGAAAAAAAAAAATTGATCAAATTGCCGTAAATTTGAAACGTTCAACATTATAACTCGAGCTATGTCAATCAATCCGTTGGAGTTATCTTAATGCATCTTAGATTATCACACAATGAAAAAAAGCTCAAAATAATTTCGGTAAAAAACTTATGAAAGGCTATTTAAAAGTATTTTCTTATGCTACGTTCGCTCCAATAATATGTCATTCTTTCTATCACAGCATCAATAACATGCAAAGAAAAACTCTGCGACTATACCCAAAGATTTGTGTGCTTTTTCGTTAGACATCAAATCACAATAACAAGATTTATTTCCTTCTTTTTCATTTTTTTCCTTACTTTAAGTATTGTTTTTGTCAACCAACTTCTTTAATAATAGAAATACACGAATTCTTGACTTTCTGTATAATACTTTGAATAAGAAAAGAGCCGACCGTAAAAATGGACTACGATATTAACCGTACAATATGAAAATGATTTTTCACGACTAGTTAAAAAAGGAAAAATCTGAACGTTGTGCTAATAAATGAGATGAAATTGTACAATATCGTCTGTCTTGAATGTATGTAGATATATATAAGAAAAATATAAAATATGAAATCATAAAATTATAACAATAGTATAAAATATTAACAATATAAGAAGATATGGTTGGAGGGAGTCGTTGTGGCTGCAGAGTCCACGTGAGGTGTCCTCTTTTATCATTCATTCCATAAAGACAATGGAGAGGTCGACGCGAGGGTGATGGGCCCCACACTCCTCTAAAAACCCCATTTGGTCAAAAATTATAAAATATATTTCAAAACCTTTGGGTCCCACATCATTCACGTAATCATTCTTCCCCTGCTACTTTTGCCGGAAATACATTTATCGTAATTATTCATATTTGTTTATTTATTTACTTTTTAAAAATTTATCAGTAATATTCTCTTTTTTTGTTTATAATTTATTCTCTTTCGTTTAATCGAGTAGCCAATCTTTCTATACAAAGACTACTACATACGTAACATTGTAACACCACTAGCCAAAAAAAGTTGAATTATATTTTAGAGTAGGGTTTATGACATAACTACTGAAATAGGAATGATGTATATATATGTACATGAACGTTTTAGAAAATTATATTAACTAGCATATTGGTACTTATGATAAAAGAAAAAAATTACAAAGCAGATGAAAATCCGATGATACTTATATCAAACTGCAAATGGCAATAACAAAACACAAAATTGGAGTATTACTTTTAATACACACTTTTTGTGTAAATAACAAAACGCAGTAATCTTATACTACAAATAGTTTTTTTCTTTCTTATACAAATAAAATGTTTATTCAGGTAAATGATGTTACAAATCATACCTTTATCAGCTATCATATGAGGTAGGTATAGTATTTGAAGAAATGGTATAGTTTAGTTTTACATATGCATTACAAACTTTTTGACTTATTTTATTGTAGCATATTGTATTCTCTAATTTGTTTTACAAAAAAAGTACCCTAAAAAAAGATCAATGATTTTTGTTGTTTTGTTAAAAGGCAAAGTAAACAAAATTTCTACTTCAATTAAGAATATAAAAAGGGGACATAATGAATCAAAAGTATGGTAGAGTAAATGTGGATGATGATATATAGCTTTGGGATTCCCTCTCTTGTTTTATTTATACAAAAACTTTGATAAATATGAATGATTATATATGATGATGGTACTTTGCTTTCGTCTAATGGGATCTTAATTAATTGTTTGGTTAGGGTTTTATTTTTAAAAAATGTTGGGGCACTAGCTAGGGCTCAGCCTTGAATAATTACTTCCTTTAGTTAATTACAGTACTTAACTAATTCACTAATCAATTGGTTTGTACTATTAATTAATTATTGTAGATTGAAGTCTACTCCCACCTAGGACGGAATCAAATGGATTGTTCATATTCATAAATGTAAAATGACAGAAACACAAGTGGTCAGTCTAAATTATATAAATATTGCTTATTATATGTCGTGTAATTCCTCTATATAAGAAATTACGCCCCCAGTATCCAATAGGTACTTGTATTATAATTAATTAACAAGATAAAATATTTCGGGATACTCTTTAGGCGGATACGAATCCAAATATAATTTTCCAGGACCAGGATCCGTCTTAATTTGCTAATACGCTATGTACCCAATATTCAGGATAGATCAAGAATTCAAGATGGCTATATATAGCCTATAGCTACGTTGATCAAATAGTTAAAATTCCTAGCTAATCAATATTTTTTTAAGTTACTTTTTTTTGTTTTGATTGAATCGATAGACAAGCAGGACGATCTACAGGCAACAAAATACAAATGAGGGTTTGAAATTGAAATAAATATGTTTCATTTTTGTGAAACAGTTTACTTTAATACAAAGAAATTGATTGGTCTCGTTGATGTAACAGATCTTCGCTTATTGTACAAAACAGGCTGGGCATGTTTCAATAACTAAATGTATGATATGAGAGGTGGGTCATCTTGCAAGTTCCTAACATATATCTCATGTGTTTTAGCTTATTTTTTGTCGCAAGCTCAATTAGTTTATATTCCATTTTGTTTATATATAAGAAACTTGTCTATATAATGAAACTTTATTATATTTCAAATAAACTTAAATTTTCTAGTTTAAATCTATGTAAAATTATTAGAGTTTGTTTAGATTAAATTGTTCTTCTTAAAAATCCTTATAAGCACCATACAAAATGAAACCATCTGATACATCAAACATTTGTATTTCATGAGAAAATAGTCGTATTTCTTATAGAAAACACTTGCGAGACTAAATATAATAGTTTATATAGAACAAAATAATGCTCAAGATAAAACCAGGAAACTTATTAAAAACTATAAGAAGTCAGAAAAAAGGTAAAAAATGGTTGTGACGCCGAATTTAAAAGAAAACCAATCGACGTACTCTGGTTTTAAGATATTTTTTAAAAATAATTTTTGAAGATAGATTAAAGAAAAAAACTAGAAATTTGTAAAAGAAAATTGTCAACGGGACTATTTGTCTATTTGCCATTTTCTCAGCTTTCTATGAAGAAGGCATAGACGAATTCCGGAATCATGTAATATTAAAAACGCTAGTAGATCCAAGCGAACATGTCAAAATTTAACTCACACTGTATATTACCTTAAATAAAACTAGTAGTTCAATACGTTTTAACATATGTTTCATGATATTCATATCCAACCTGATTCAGAAGTTTGCTGCGTCAGTTTGTTATGGCTATTAGCTAGTGGAAGTTTTTGGTAATGTCAATCAAACTTTTCCATATTACCTAGGTTTTAACATACACAGCTCATGCGGTCATGTCCCAGCGATTTACTTCTTCTTAAAGTACCCCACGTTTTTTTTTGTTTTTCCTTTCCTCTGACAGAGAATGATGTTATAATTCAGATTCCATTAATTTTCTCCAGCAGTTTATTAATTATATGTATTTTTCCTACAGTTTCTTTGTTTTGTGTCACAATAGTTATTTTTTCTACTATATTCTCGTATTTTAAACAACGAATCAGTTTGTCACATGTTTATATGATAATTCGTGTTCCTGATAGGTTGTAGGAAAAATGGTTATAGAATTTTCTGTATATAAACGTATATATACGTTGTATAGGAGTAGATTACAACCAAACTATACACACCTTTTTATACAAAAAATCATTATACTAATATGAAATCATTATAAGTAACATTTAGACCCCAAAAAAATCACAATACTCAAAGCTCATTTTTGAATTGACTATTCATTCTTCAAGTTTTTAACATTCTTATAAATAATTTCAAAATTAATCTACGTTAGATATGATTTTCCTATTATAAGAAATAGACGAATAAAACGCAACACGTTTGACAAAGCATGTGGATTATGGATTCATGGGTACCCTCCACGCAGGTCTTCTTCGTAGATATTCCTCGGAAGTTGAAAGCATGCATGAGGTTTTCGACTAGGGACTCTTAAAACATAAATCCGATGGCTCAGCAGTTGAATAGTATGAGAAAAAGTCTACACTAAAGTCAATTTTTTTCTATAAAGGGCTTCTCTACACTAAAGTCTAAAGATACCATAACTATATTCTAATGTTTTCTAAAACTTGAACATTAGAGTGTCATCGACAAACACCTAATGGTCGACGCGCATGTCTATCTACTCTCGAAGTCACTTATATCGTTGGTATTTTGAGTTTGCAGTTTGAGAAAGACTTGTGTTTTAGATCACATATGACATATCACATTCTATATTGCCGAAAGTCTAGATGACAACACAGACTGCTCAACTAATTTGCTGTCAATTAATTTGAAAATATCATATGTACTATAATATCTATAATTGTTACATGCAAATTGATCTCTAACCAAGTACTAGCAACTACATGTTTTCCAAAATATATACAACTTTTTGTAAGCGCCAGAATTTTATTTTAATGATAAAAAAAGAAATACAATACAATATATTCTAAAGGAGAAAACTAATCAGTGTTGATGTTTTAAAAATTACAATTAAGTAGCGAGGGATTTAGATATTTGTTTTAAAGGTTATGTTGAAAGGCTTAAAGTGTGAACTTGCAGGTTGTAACCAGCCAGCTTTTACAGACAAATTATATCTTTCTCCATTTTTTTGGACCCACTTGTCTCTAACCTTCTTTTATTATTAATCCGTTCTGCTCAAGTTTTAACATTTTAAAATGCACAAAAAATTAGACACATGAACGTACGTATTACTCACCATATCTAGCTCATGTAATACTTTGTATATATGTTAGTGGTACACGTTAAGTTAATGCATATTAGTCAGCTATATCAAATATAATGGCAAATGTACAATGCTAAGTAAAACAAGCAAGTTATAATGTATATATATACTCGGGAGATTGTTACTCACTTACTCTTTATAACTTAAAAATCGTAATTACATACTCGTATTCTAAATTAGAGAAATATTGAATTCGACATAATGTTTAAGAAAAATAATCTATATAGTGTGACATTACTTAAATCCTAGTTAACAAAACAAATAGGCTAAATTCTATAATTTTTCATAATCTTGATTTGTTAATGCAACAGTATTTAGTCATGAAGTAATAGTTAACAAATACAGTTTGAGGGAGGTCAGGCTGAAACGCGGTTGCAAGTCGCAAAATGTATACATCGATTGGTATAGCTGGTTGTTTGGTTTCTATTGATACAAAGTGTTGCGTTTGAAGAGACCACATGGCGTTTGCGGTATCGTTTGCACATAAATGTGGTTATTGACATAGACATCTTACCATCTAACATTTTTGCCAGAAGCTCTGGTGGCATCTTTTGTCCAAATATACACCTTTAAATTTCTCTTCTTTTTCTGTGTTTATTTCTTTCTTCTTTTATATTTCAGCATTAACATATATGTATGTAATTCATTTATACAATCAATATCCTGTGAGTTATGATTTTGTTTATAAGAGTTTTCAAATATTCATTACCTTTTTATCACTTTAATTATAGGGTGTTATGGATTAAAAAATACAGACATTGAGATATTATACAAATTATCTGTTTTATTCCTAGATGAACCGAGAAAGAACTTTAGCTTGACTCTTCGAATGACGACTACCATATCTGAATTTTCTTTGTCAATATACTAACATTTATTTATGATTGGAATGACAAAATAATTTTACAATACTGCAGTTGTTTAGTTTCCGCTAATTTTTTATAGCAAAAATAGGTTATTGTATACGGTTTCACAAATGAAAACAAAACTTTATATGCATAATTGTATATACAATTACGTATATGTATGTGTGAGTATAAATGAGCTAGTTTTCCGATTTTCTGGTAGGGGGCAGATGGAATCTTTACCATTATAAGAAGTCATGGGTGGGTGACGTCATAAATGTTCTTTTAGATTAATTTAGAAATAAAAGAGATTTTGGGGGGAAAGGTGTGGATAACAAAGGGACTTGTGTCGCATCATATCAATGTTGCTTTTTTCATCGACCTTACACTATTCATTTGTTTATTGTCTTAATCACAATTACGATATTAACACACTATCAATAATGAATTGTTATTTTTTTGTCAAAGAATAATGAATTGTTTATTTCACCACGATGGGTGTGGATTCAATCGAACAAAGCTCAATTTTGCAAATATATACTTTTCCCCATTTCAATAAAAAATATATATTTCGGTGATAATTTTTTGTGTAGGGATTATTGTGTATGTTATAATTCGTACATATATAGTAATGTAAATAGTTAAATACAAATTAGTCTTCTATTTTCTTCTTTCTTTGCCGGCACAAATTAAAGTTCTCTATATAGCAACAATAATATTATACCTTTGATTGTACAAAAGTATTTTATTAAACCAACTTCCATTACATTTTCGAACATATTCTATTCGCCATGACGACGAATTCAAATAACAAAGAAACAAAATAAAATACACATAGTGCTCCAAGAAAAGGATTTTGATAGCTGGGAACACGTTACACGTGGAGACGAATAATCTTATCTTAATAAAACCGAGAGAATTTAACGATATCCAATCACATCTCTCCACGTAAGCACGTGAGAAACCCAAAATTTCCGAACATGTGATTCTTAACCGACGGCGTATCTTTCATTCTTTCATCTAGGCCTAGGCGTTCGGGTTTCGGTTCGGGTTCGGGTCGGTTCTATTCGGGTTCGGGTCTTTTCGGGTTGCTAAATTTTAGACCCGTTCGGGTTTAGGAAAATTTCGGTGGTTTCGGTTCGGTTCGGGTTCGGGTCGGTTCGGGGCTAAATTTTATGGACCCGTTCGGGTTTATACAAATTTTGGTTCTTATTGGGATCTCATTCGGTTCTGATTCGGGTCGGTTTTTATCGGTTTTTTTAACCGAATATCCAAAATCCTACAAAATAACCGATAAAATCTTGTTATAATCCATCTTCTACTAAATATTTTTGGACTTTTCGAATATTTTGGTTATTTTGTTCTAAATATAACTATTATATTAGATTTATAATTGTAATTTTAGTTATTTTTTAGTATTATAAGCTATTATAAGTCTAAAAAATAACTAATATTTTGGATATATAATTATATTTTGGATATTTCGGGTACCCATTCGGTTCTCGGTTCGGTTCGGATTCGGGTTCGGTTTTTCGGGTATAAATTTTTTGGACCCATCGGGTATTTGTCTTGGTTCCGGTTCGGTTCCATCTTTTTCGGGTCGGGTTCGGTTCGGGTCTTTCGGGTCCGGGTAAAATGCCCAGACCTACTTTCATCCAACGAGGACTCAACAAGAGAAACATTGTTGACTTTTAAACTGAAGAAAAAAGTACCCGGTTTGGTAAACCGGAAACCTTGAACCGGGTCTTCTATATACGAAAAACCATAAATTTCAAGCGAAAAGAAAAATCATGTTTAAAATGAACGAGCGAGTCTTGAGGAAGAAAACTCAAAAAATATTCAGTCTGTAAAAACATTCACCAACATCTTCTACGTGAAGCCCATCGATCACTGATGATGGATCGGCTTGTAAGTACTTAAGCTCACTCCTGTCATGTTGCACTCTTCCTGTTATCTCAAGACACAGCCCGTTGCGGTTTTTCTAGATGTCTCTCTTAGAGGAGCTGCCGTCGGGTTCGGTTTAATCCTGTTCACGTTTTTAGTCTCCGGTGATCGTAGAATCCTGTTCCTGTTCCCTGATTCTAGTTCTGTGTGATATCATCTTCGTTTAACAGTACATGTGGTGTCAAAATCATGAATCATCACCACTACTTCGAACGAATCGTTTTCTCTAATGCAAGTTAAATATTTGGCTACCATGGAAGAACAACAAGTAGTCTAGTACTCAAGAGAAGCTTCAATGGTTTTTTTCCGGTTTGTCTATGTGGTTGATAAGAATGACTTTTCAAAATGATGAATATAATTAATCAAAAAGTTTGACGCTCACAACACAAAATTTCTATACAAAGTTTTTAACCTTTAATATCTGTATAAGAGGTGAAATTTTTAAGTGTACAAATTTAAAGCTATAGATGGACTTCATTGCTATTGTTTGAATCATATATTAGACCACAAAATGAGATAAAATGAAATTGATGTGTTTGCTTCTATAGTTCTAATTTTATCCCAACCTAAAAACTTATGGTTTCGGCTATGGTCGGTCGGCCCGTTTCTCGTCCGTCATGTTTTTGAATCTCGAAACATTAAAGGAAGGGACTAAGCGAGGGACTACGCAAAAGATAAACTCAAGATTGTGTAGTGAATGATAGCATCTATGTCTGAGTCATATGTATTGATAATTAGAGTAATGGGTGGTCAAGTAAAAATTCACCATATTGACCACTGTATAGTCATATGTATTCACCATATTGATAATTAGAGTACTGGGTGGTCACCAGATTTGATCCTTGGACACATTTTATCTCTAGACACAAGGGAACACACAAAAGAAATAAAACCTCTGTTTATAAAAGCATTTTTGTATACATCAAGATTTTTGATATATAAAGTTTGAAAACTTTTGTAATACCTTTGGGGGAAAGAAAGAGGTGATTGGTGTATTAAGATTGAGAAAGAAGAGTTTGGTGAGCATTCATGTTGGATGTTGTATATGGGGAGGTCTGAGATGAAAGAAGCGTCCATATAATTGGTGTATGCACGCAAAGATGATGAGCCCTGCGCACATATTATAAAGTTGGAGAATCAAAATGAAGCGAACACATAGAAGTAGATTCAAGAATTTACCAAGACATAATTGGCTAAATCTCCATCAAGCTTTGATGAATTGCATGCTATATATGTTTGCCACTAGAGCTGAAAAAAAACCAAACAAATTTATAGAAAATCAAAAACAAAGCAGTTACAAATATTTCATTTCGGGAAAGGAGAAGATCCATAGGGTTTATACTTTTTCCGAGCGACTGATTATTCCCGGTGAAGAGGAAAGCTGCAGGGGAAGTACGGCTCGGGTATTGTTGGGTCGCGGCTCGCTATTGCAGTAAAGGAGTACATTTGTGGTGGATTAGGAATGGCGCAAAACGCTGCTTTCTCTGAAGTCGAATAACGTAAGCCGCAAGTTTTCTCATTTAAGCAGCCACATTGACCATGGACATCGTTGAATTGAGTGTCAAAGAGCATCTGAACAACAAGGAGGAGTAGACAGAGGGAGGAGTCAGGGCCGGCTCAACATTTTTGTGGGCCCCTGGGCGAAATTTTTTTTTAGCCCTATTTAAACCATTAATTTTACATATTTTTGTAATTTTATAATTTTTATTTATTATTTTGGACATATTGTTAGTAAGAAAAATAAAACTACATATTTTGTGAGGTTTTTAATGTATTTTTCAGTTTTATAAAAATAAAAATTATATTATTAGAGAAATTAGGACCCTAAATTATTAAGACATGAGACTCGGCCCCGTGCGTCGCACCTACTGCACCCCCTATGAGCCGGCACTGGGAGGAGTAGACAGAGGAAGAAAGGGATTGTGATGAGACGTTGCTTCATATGTTTCGTTTCTGCATCAAAGAAGAAAACGCAACAAAACTTCATCGTAATTCGTAAATATTTACTCTGTTTTAGCCGGTTTAAACTCTACTCCTGAAAAACTCTGTTTTAGCCGGTATAAAGTAAGTCTCTGAGGAAATTTGAAAACCTGAAAAACTATCTGTGATGTGTATTTATGCCTCCTAATATTCATATACAATAGAAACTTTATAAATTAATACTCGATAAATTAATAAACACGATAAATTAATAAATTTCTCTGGTCCCGAGTTGGGCCGGTGTAAAATATGACACAATTCGATAAGATAATAAGATAATAACTTTTTTTGAACTCCTATGTAAAATATGGTCCCAATAATATCATAAATTAATAATTATTTTTATTTATATATATATATACACCTAAAATATCTAACTACTAAAATATGAATCTCTCACGTACAAACATATATGGAAATTAAAAGCAAAAAAAGAATTTTAAATAATATGGCAAGTATGAGAAAATGTGAACAATAAAGTAAATATAAAACAGAAAAAAAAGTTAAGAAAATATACGTATAAAGGAAACTTCTGATTTAATATTGAATTTTCTTTTTTTTTTGAAAAATATTTTAGTCAAAATCTATATATTAATAACTCTATAAATTAATAAAATATCAAAGTCCCGACATTATTAATTTATAGAGTTTCCACTGATGTGTCCTACAAGTGGTTTTGGAGTTTTTTTTTGTTTCATAATATAAGGGATTTTAGAGTTTCTAGGCAAAAATTAAATGTGTTTTTATTACTTTTGATTATTTATATTTTTCAGATTATTTTGTTATTGGTGGAAATTTTTTGCAATTGATGATAAAATATATTTTATTTCAAAATATACAAATATTAAATAGCTTCTTAATTTGTATATAAAAACCTTAAACAGAGGGAGTATTGATTGAACTTATATCATACATTTATTTTGACTTAAACAACCGTTATAATCAATTCAAGCAACCGTACTTGGGTTACTTTCCTCTTTAAATCATAATGAAGAAGCTATAAATCTTTGATAATTATCCTTTAGTGTGAGGACATTTATTTATTTTTGTATTACATGCTGACAGTAAAATAAACAATCAAATTAAAATTAATGAAAACCTAGACATTGCCAATTTAAAAGGGTTTACTTATCTACAAACTAAACTATATATATGTGTGTACCCATTGATACTTATTAGCAAACACAAATTTTAAGGAAGAGTCTTAACTCAGACATAATATGGATTTTGTAATGCTTATTAACTTTAGAACAAGAGAAAAATAATTAAGGAAAAGGAAACAAGTGGAAGATGAGCATTAGTTTAGATCTAGTTTAGCAAAAAACTAGAAAATATTTATTGTTAATTTAGACCTAATTTAGCAAAAGATAAGCAAATATGTCTTATGTTTTAAATATTTTTCTGATATACGTGTTTTTAATATGTTTTTCTATTGATAGATAAACATTAAAAAATAATTATACTAACATATTAGAAATTAAAATAAAAAAAAATATTTTTTCAACAAAATATGTAACAAATTAATAAAAATAATATATATTTCACAAAAGATAAAATAAATATATTCACCCACATCATACGAAAAAACAAGGTGAAAGCATCATTAGCACAATGAGAACGTTGTGGCCATGCATCATTAGTCTTCAAAGGAGAATAGCCTAATGGGAATGCTGTGACGGTGCTGTTCGCCATCACCGCCGTGCTGTTCGCCATGTTGGGATTTATAGTGGAAGATTTTGGCATGAAGGAGAAAAGCTCCATGGCCATAGTTTCTAACAGAAAATGGATTTATCATATAGTTTTAGTACGATTTTGGTGCTATTTTATTTTAATATAAAAATAAAGGTAAATTGGAGATGAATCACATTAAAATAGTGTTTGAGGAATGATTTAATGGTGGGTTAGAGATGCTTTAAAGAGGTTTAGAGTTTTTTCGGTTTATATTTCAAAGAGTTTTATAGTTTATATGTAAAACTAAATGTGTTTTGTTGTTTTTAACTCTTTGTATTTTGTAAATTTTTTTTTTATTGGTTGAAATGTTTTGAAATTGATGACAAAACGTGTTTTATTTTTAAAATTACAAAATTAAATGTGTTGTTAATATCTTTTCAAAAAAATTTAAACCCAACACATGAGAAATGATATCCAATCACATCTCACCACGTTATCACATGAGGAACCCAAAATTCCCGAACACGTGATTCTTGACCGACGGCGTATCTTACTATCTTTCATCCAACGTGGACTTAACAAGAGTAACATTGTTGACTTTTAAACCGAAGAAAAAAAGTACCCGGTTTGGTAAATCGGAAACTTTGAACCGGGTCTCTTATATACCAAAATCCATAACATTTAAAGCGAAAAGGAAAGACATGTTTAAAATGAATGAGCGAGGTCTTGAAGAAGAAAACTGAAAAACACTTCAGTCGTAATCTAAGGAACATTCACCACCATCTTCTACATGAAGGCCATCGATTACTGATGATGGATCGGCTTGTAAGTACTTAAGCTCACTCCTATCATGTTGCACTCTTCCTGTGATCTCTAGACACAACCCGTTGCGGTTTTTCTTGTTGTCTCTCTTAGAGGAGCTGTTGCTGTTTGGCTTCTTCTCGGTTGGTCCAGGATCTAAGAAGATTGGGATGAGTTTTGCCGTCGGGTTCGGTTTAATCCTGTTCACGTTCTTAGTCTCCGGTGGTCCTAGAATCCTGTTCCCTGATTCTAGTTCTGTGATATCATCTTCGTTTAACAGTACCTGTGGTGTCAAAATCATGAATCATCATCACAACTTCGAACAAGTCGTTTTTCTCTAATGCAACAATAAACGATAATATTTACCTTTCGGCCTACTAAATCAAATGTCATGACCACTTTGCTCTTTTTAGCTCTTTCCGCTTCTTCAATCTGCTCTCTCTTCTTCCTCAAAAGCTCTTTCTCCTGAGAACAGAACTCAAAATAATTAGGTCGACTGGGTGAAAACAAACAATTGAGAGTAGAGACTTATATATATACCTCTGCAGAAAGCCAAGTACTACCCTCGCTTTCATAGTAATCACTCTGGTCATCAATAACAGTTGTACGTGCGGCAGAGTTTCTATCGTACTCCACAAGCCTCTTCGCGTACGCTTCAGCTGCTACATCAGCATCAGATACTGGAGTGTACCCTTCTTCAAGCCCAGCGTATGTGCTTCCTTCTTTTAGCACGAGTGCTCCGCAGAAACTGCAAGGCCCTTCTCCTTCTTGCTCACACACTATCTTCCCACAGGACAAGCAGTTGCTTACTAAGTTGTGTCTACGAGCTTGACATGCACAGGGTTTCCCTTGCTGAAACACTATCGATCCTTTAGCTGCCTCTGCTAGAGAAATCACTTTTCCACCTTTTTTCTTCTTAGGATTGGCTTTAGGGGTTGGAGCTGTTGCTTTTCCGGTTCCAGCTTGGTGATTAGAAGATGTTCCCTCTTTCGGAGCTTTGAAAGGTTTTCTGTTTCCAATAGAAGCATTGTTATCCACTTTTGGCTTCACGTACATTTGCAGTTCGGGACCTGAACTGGAACTGGCTGCTACATGGCTGGATGGATCTTTGTATCCTCTTCTCTGTAAATATTCGTCAATGATGCTTTTGCCTTCTTTTCCGATAATATTCTGGACAAAAGCATTAATAAATTCAATCAGTATACTCACTCTGGAACTAGATGAAATATGATATTTTGGGACTGAAGCTTAAATTCTCAGTCAGACTTTGGCAATGCACAACTCTCCTCAGGCCTGAAGTGTTACATTCACATTTAAGTACTCAATGTTTGAGCTAAGAAAAGCTAACACAATGAGCTCAATCTTAAAATTATTTCAACAACAGGGCAGGTGTATGAAGACTAGCTAGATTTTAGTAGCTGCAAGCTAGTACGGTATCAGAAGTTTTCAACAATGTAATTCATTCGAAGTGACAAGCTCGTCTAATCTTTAGTGCCTATAACCTTTAAGGAACAATGACATTGACTCTTGAAGAGATCATCAAGCGATTCTCATCCATCCATACACATTTATACAGTTCGAGTTAACGAATGGTCATTTTGATGGTGATTTGTAACTTGTAACCTATATGTACTGATAATCCCCTGCCTAATCTTAAACTACAATCAAGAGTTATAATAAATGTTGAACCTCAATCTCATTTAGCTCCGTAAATCAAACAAACAATGGAGATAAACATAAGCAGCTCGGAAACAGTGAGAAAAATCCCCTAATGCGATGCTACAATTCATGAACTACTCTTCTCCGATTCGTACTAAAATCTTATTCCGGAGACTAAAGTAAGCACCTGTATGTATAAAATCAGTTCTCCAATGATTCACAGAGCTTAATTACAGAAACTAACTATTCAATGGAAATCACTACCCCCGATCCAAAATCAGTGACCAAAACTTGATGAAAACCGAAATCGGCAAATTCAAAGAGCACAAGCATCGAATGAGAATCAGTAATTCGAGGTTTTAGGGGGAAGAGGGGAGAAAGATTACGTCGAGATACTCCTTGGCATCAACAGGCTGAGCGAGATCGCAATAGGAGACTAAACCGGAGATGACATCACGATCGAAATTTAAACCGGACTCCGTATTCCCGCAGAGATCAACCAGCGCTTCCTCTAGCCACTGCCCAACCGCCGTTCCCATCTTCTTCTCCGATTCTCCGGCGCTTTTTTGTCTCCTCGAAACGACGACACCGAACGATCGATCAATCTAAAACCATTTTTAAAATCACGCGAAGTAAATCGACTTATGCGAGGGTAAATAGGCCCATTGTTTCGAGTTTGGGCATTTTGGTCTTCACAAACTCGGCCCAAATTTGGATGTTCAAAATGAGGATTGTCGGGCACAGGCAGTGCGAGGTGGGGGCAAGATATCAAATCATATTGGGACCATGGGGCCATGGTATTATGTGTACAAAACTTATTACTTTCGTTGCCCACTTCATAAAAGCTATGCCAACTTTTTTTTTGTTTTGATAAAGAAAGCTATGCCAACCTTATAAGTTGATGAATTAAAAGAGGATGATGGTACTTCTAAAATTCGTATAATTTGCTTGCTTGATTAATGCTTTTAGTCAAACAATTTAAACGGTGGAAAATTTGCATTTAAGGAATCATTTTATTGTACAGTACTGAGTTTACAAATCACACTTGCACACTATTGAGTTTGAATTCGATTTATTATACGATTCCAATACTATTACGTACACTACGTACTAAACTATGAGTTTATGATGAAACTAAAACATTTGTAGGGCTAATCATATGATTGTGTGAGAGTAAATAGGGTACATTCGTGGTAGTGATCATTTTTTCTTGTTTACGAGCTGATCAAAACTGATTTTGGATTGAAGTTTTATGAAAGTAAATTAATAATTGTGTTATTCTAAACATCCAATTTGTGATTAACTTTCTGATCGTTAGAGTGTATACAAAACTACACTTCAGTTGAATTCCTTGAATAAATATTTTAAGATTTTAAATCGAAGGAGTAAACGATATCGATCAACCCTTCGAGATACCATTAAACACAATATGAACATATCCAAATGAAAATTGACTTGCAGGTTACAGACCTCAAGCTTATGATACTTGCAAAGTGGTCAAACCCTCTGGGATTATATGTGTCACGTTGAAGAACTATAACAACACGTGTCATCATCATAGTCCTATATAATTCGAAATAAAATGACCAAATAATTTGTATAAATGTATAAATCCAAATATGCAAGGTAATAAATACAGAGCCCACGCCATGCATATGCAAAAAATAAAAATAAATAGCAAGTTCTTATTGAAAGATCGAGATTCTTTTTCCTGTCGACACGCTCCAACGGTCAAGATGGAAAGAGGTTTAAGTATAGAATCGTCCAAGTAATAAGATGAAGACACGTGACAATTAAAGTAGGGACCACGTTCGAGCTATACGATAAAATATTACTTTTTCAAGTGGGACCCATCAACATACCCAACAAAAGAAAGCAAAGTGTTGCTTGCTTTTCTTGATTGATATTCGTTGCCATTGCCAATGTCTTGTCCAAGATCGTCGCTTTCTGTATCGGGAGAGAGCTTAGGTGGTTGCATCATGACCGTACACGCCTCTATGCCTCCACACCGATGTAGTATTACGTAACAATTTATTTTGACGTGGCAATTTTTTGTCATCTGGATTTCATTGCAAACAAAGATAACGAAGACATGGAATGAACACACTAGATCAAATAAAAGCAAACAGGGGAGAAAGATACAAAAGAAAACATTTAACGCTTTACCAAGAAAAAGAAAGGAGCCATTCATCGCAGAAACACTAACTGAACAAGGGAACCGGAGGATGATAAACATTCACTGATAAAATAAGTTGCCTTGTGGTTGATTGTTCGTTTGTGAGTCTAGACGTACGAAGTTCAAATTCTCAAATACTTATAAAGTTATAATTATGTAATCGGATGCTAAGAAAAAAAGAAGGTATTTGTGCGTTCTATATATATATATATGAGAGCTAGCATACACGTCGATTTTAAAAAATGCAGTGTGTACAATAGCATGCTGATGTATACACTTGCAACAGGCAGTGTGAAAACTAATTAAAAACCACGAAACAACTAATTAAGAAAATAAAACCAAAAAGTTAATTATCAAAATAAATAAGTATGAACTGGACGAAATAATTGAAATCCTGTTTACTCGACCCATAATGTGGCCACAAAAATAGATTTTGCTGTGAGTGCTGTCTTTGTTTTGTGCCACAAAATTGACAACTCAACGTTATATGCATTCATATGAAGACCGCAACAAAAGAATTAACAAAAAGATTTGATTGGTTAATCTACGATATGAGAAGATACAAACCATATCGACAGTGATTAGACACTAAATTAAGCACCAAAGGAAGTTTTCTAATTTTGCAGATATGGTGGCTGGTGTGATCGTATTTCCTGAAACAATATACTATTTGGACTCTACACAATAAACAATAGAGAGATCAAACAATTGTGAACATAATCGAAACAATATTCATATTTTCTATAAGTAATTATATCGAAATAAAAGTAGCACGACACAGAACTCCCACAGAATTCATAAAAAAGTATTTCAATCACGACAATAAAAACATGTCATAAGAGAAATTTGTGATTATTTTTGATTATTTTTACAATGGGATATCATCTTATTTTGTGATGAACAGTGAGAGATTTGGACCTCCAGCTCATAATCTCTTTCAAGACCTAGATTCAGTCTTTAGATATTCCAATTTAAAGAATACTCCTCTGTACCAAAAAGAATTGGAATCCGGGTACAAGGTAACCAAACTTCTTATATTATCACTACATATCCAGTGTATTTTTCATAAAAATTTGGTGGCATTTTTGGTTTTAGCTGGCGGTTGTCGTAGTTTTTTTTTAAAGGCGGTTCAGGTAGTTTTTCTATGGTCTTCATTCGAAATTCATTTGGTTTGAACTTTAGACTACGATCTAAGTTAGACAATAAATTCCGTGTATTCCTTTTGGTTCAATTTTATCTTCTTACTTATAAAATCTTCATACCAAACTATAGTTTAAAATTTAACAAAAAAACTATTGACGCGGTCAATTTCTCCACGAGGCCGACATGAGAAACTGAGAGTGATGCTTTGTAAACAAACCCCAAGGATAAAAAAAAAAGAAAAAAACATATTAAAATATTAAATGTGCTAAGACTTGGGAGTTGGATATCAAATTACGGTTCGCTGAGCTATTTTTCAACGTATGATATTTATGCCGGTACTGTGTTATCAAAGATAGTAAACTAAAGTGAATCATAATTCATAGACCATATAATTACATACTAATCAATTAAAAATTTCAATTTATCTAGAATATTGATTGCCAACTCTGATTTTTTTTTGAGTGAGATTTAAAGTCTACTAATGAAATACTCTAATGGAGTAGTAATTTTAGCAGTATTTCTAGAAAATAAATCATACAAAAAGTGCGTGTGTCACGAGATACGCTTTTTTACTTATCAACCCATTTTAAGGTTTTGTTGATAGACTAAGGCGAACTTGTAACCACTACGCGTCAATGACAACGAATTGAGTAAGTCAATAAATATATGAAATTAGATGGATTGAATCGTTTAGAATTTCATTCACTAGATATATAAAGTCAAAGCTAGAATTTCATTAGCAAATGGCTAGAGAAACAGCTCACACCATATTCCGGAATAAAGTGTTTAGTAAATCTCCAATCACAATGTTAAGTCAAGAATTAATAGGTTTAACCTATTACAACCCGGAGTTTAAAATCTCTAGTTATAGTTAGTTATATCTTTACTAATTTAAAATACCTGTTTGGGGTCTCTGAGAACACCTCAGAGATTCTCTCATAGAATGCCACGTGGCATTTTACAATAACAAGTTAAAAAAATCATCGCTTCCATATATTATTTATATGTCTAGCATGTAATCAATTAGCTCTAGATCAAGTTTAAATATCTTGCTTTGAGAGATTTTGACTTAAAACGCATTTCAAACAAAAAGAGAGAGAGCAAGTTGGGAAAAAAAATAAATATATAAAAGCTTCCTTAAAACTAAAATATTTGATTAATTGATTTTGACAACATGGAGTCATGGCCTATCATATGATTGCTCCCGTTCATAGCTTTAGATATTTAACCGGCGAAAATTGACGTTTCATTGTAACTAATATTTTCATGTGTTTCTAGATCGAATGCATAAGACTCTGACCGCCATTTATGTATTTACCTCCATTATTATATCGTCACGACGAAAACTATAAAAGTTTATTTTTTGTATGTGAATATCCTCGCACCGTTTAGTTAAAATCAGCAGTTAGTTATATTAGGGTTTCGTATTTGGTTGATAATTCGAAATATAATATACCATTTTCGTTTTGTTGCAAAAGGGCACTGATAATATACTTTTAATTTTTCTTTTCGCGACTTTCTCGCTGATAGCAGAAGATTTATCAAGGAAGTAAGGAACCGTGTGGCTTATGTTCCGTGACAGTTACATCGGCTGGATTGCTGGATTACACCAAGACCTATTGTTATTTTGTTATATATACTTCTTTATCATTCTATCATGCATATCATTTAATGATGATTACTCGAATTTTAATATTTTACTGCTGTTTGTATTATTTCTTGCATAATTTGACACGTGCATCCCATTTCCACATAACAGTTTGGTGGTTAAAATAATAAGCCTAGGTTTAGCCTAGGGTTTAACCTACGAATTATTTAATTGTATATCGTATAAATTAAGATATGATCCAAAGCACGTCGAGATCCAAAAGACGACCATAGTCGTTGACTTGTACTCACTCGTATATATATATATATATATCTCTTCTAGAACTGTAGGAAACATCGAAGCACTTTCAGTTTTGATCGAACGAAACAAACGAAGCCCTAGCTAGGCATCTAGCTAGGCCTAAAAGATGCAGAACCAGTATTATATATACGCTACTTGACAATTTAGTCAAAATATGACTTCTGATAATTATTACTACGTATAATTTAACTTTTGTGTACATTGACAGTCAAAAAATAAAAATTGAGTTACTGTACGTTTTTTAAAAACCTATAACTACCATATGACATTCGTTTCAAATAACAATACTATTGCTTTTAAAATGTTATAAATATTTATTTTATGATTTTAAAATGACTTGTCTCAAGATTTACAGTATTATTAATCATTTGATTAAAAAAAAATCATCTTGAGTTTATATCATTACATTTAATCAAATAGTAATAGAGACATTAACACATTTCAAACAATTTATAATATGTGTAGAAATGCTGAAACGACACTATTTATAAACTAGGAAAGTATATAAAGTCAACTTCCCCATATAACTTGAATTTTTATCCTTTGATCAAGTTTAATAAATTTTACGAGTACTAAATTACATTTCTAACTTTGAATATAATTATTGATATTATACTGTTTAGTAAAAGCATTTACACTAATTTTAAAGCCTTTGTGGTATGTTTTCTCGCCATCCTACCTTATTGTGCTTCATCACATATGTAGCTTGTGGTCCTGCCATCACATTACATTATATATTTTTTAATCAGTATCATATCGTGATCTCGATCATCCTATTTAGTCTTTTTCATTAGATTTTAGATCATTGCAGTATCCTAAAATCTACAGTATTGTAAATAGAACACAATATAATTTTATAGGTTTTTTTTCAACCCACATGAATCTGATTTAATCTTCTTAAAACTTGTAAAAAAGCATATGAATACTAGTTTAACAGAAATATGATTTGGTAAATTTCGTATTTTTTTGTATTTATTATTCATTTTTATTTTTATGTCTATGCATTTCGAAATATTATGGAGTGTGTAAGTCTTTTGCAAGTGTACTTTGTAGAAAATGGAATTTGGACACAAAATAGATCAAGTGAAACAAGTAACAGATCTCATCGTCTGCTGATTGTAGCGCATGCATAGTCATATGTGGAACAATATCATACCAATTCTAGCCAGAACATATATCATATGAGCTATATCAGCTGATTGTATCGGTGGTGACCGCACTTATGCCTTCCCAAAACTAGTCCAAGTGTCACTGATCCAACTAAGTTTTTACACTTTTAGTGTAAGTTTTTTTTGTTTTGTTCTGGTTTATAATCATAGAGACCCAAATTCTTGTTCTTGCTTTGTTAATGAAGATTACGGCATTTTCCACTAATCTAGTGACGATTTCTTCACATTTGTCCTTAATCTTTAATTAATGGGAAACTTTCTAAATATCACACTTTTAAACATTGCAATTGTGACATCCAGCATCCCTTTCGACTGCGATCTTGATGACCCGCTAATAGAGCAACTCAATGGCCGACTAAGATTTCAAATAAAGGTTGACACATACTGGCTGAGAAAGATGTAATGTTTTCTTTGTATATTATTCTCGCTGTCTACCCTCGATCCGGAATTGATGGCCACATAGCTTAAAACTCACATACTCGAAGTGCTCTCATTTGCTACTACCTAAGGATAAAAGAAATTGACAATATCTATCAAATTAGTTTAAACAATTGTAACTCTATACCTACTCATACAAATCTTTTGACAAAGGGCAAGATGGCATAACTAGTTAAAATAATTAGATCTTAACACGGATACAAAATCAAATAAAATGACCCCAACGTGTAAAAATCTCGGATATTGAACTAGTTAATAGCATTGTCCAAAAATTAAAATCATAATCATAAACTCAAGCACCATGTATGTTGTCGGGAAGCAAAAAAACTCTCAAGCATCATGCAAGAACATATTTTTCTGTTGATCAGTTCTTTACCAATTTGATAAAATACCATTGATATCATACTAACAACGTAAACCAATAAAATAAAAAACAACGTAAATATAGTTCTGAGACTAAAAAATGAATTGAACATATTCAAATTTTTAATATTTACAATAAAACTAGCTAATACTTATTTTCTTAGAAAATCGAAAATATACTGATAGGTATCTATGTACGATTTTAGTCAAAGTTTTTAATACCATCATCCTCGTAATACAAAAATGGCGTGGCGTATGGGGTTTCAAGTTTCAACCTACTTTGTTCAATGAAGTTTCTACGTCCCGTTTAATCTTATATCTATTGTATTTCATCATATGATTTTACATTTTATATCCTGTATAATTTGTATACTATTTACCTACTGCCCAATTTAAAGGCTCGATACACAATTCGACGACGATGTGCTTCGCAACATTCCTCTCGTTTCTTGTAAAAATTTCGAATTGCTTAAACTGAGTTTTAGACAAATCCTTACTGTGGAAAAGAAAAAAACAATCCTTTTTGAAAAATAGTAGCGATCTAAATATGACCAATACAGGTCCAGCATCACAAAAAGATATATGTCTGGCCATTTTTCTTATTGGGAATGTGGGGATTTGTGTTAAAACTATCTTGTATCGACCGTTCAATTCAATACCTACCGAAGCTCACACCACTACGGAACACTTTTACATGTTCAACTAATTAAAGTCTCATCAAATCCAGCTTAGGTATTTTTTATATATAATCTTATTTGGGTTTTAGACATTCATATTTGATTAATACTAAGGATGGGTGTTTTGGATTTTAATTTGGCTTGGTATGATGATTTGTGCGGTTTATGATTTTTGTGGTTCATGAAAATTTGACGTGATTGAAATCAAAATATTCGGTTTAATTCAGTTTGATTTTAGTTCAGTTAATCTCGGTATGTTTCTAGAAAATCAACACAGACCATACGAATTTCAAGGATCCTAAAATAAAGCTGTATGCACCAGACCAATTTAGGATCCTAAAAATATTTTATGAAAATCAATTAATAATATCATATGCACATTATTTTTCTATGATTTGAGATCCTAAAATAATGTGCATATGATATTATATACCAATTGGATCACTGCATAACTCGTACAATATAGCAAGAGTTAAACCAGTCGAGCCATTTTGTGCAGGACTGACATTATTGTATCATGCCACATAATATTCATGCAAGTGGAAATACAATTTTCAGTTTCAGATGAGAAGAATAATGTAGCAGTATAATTTATGTATGTTTCCCTGTATTTAATTAGAAGGTTTTACAGGAATGAAATTCATTTACATTTCAGTCTCATTCCGAATCCATAAATGTTATCAAACTCTATAAAGTCTAAACCCAATCAGATTGAACATATGTTCAGTGTGAAGACAAATTAAGGTTTAATTTAGCGATAATTTGAAAGGACTAATTAGAGGGGAGAGAGAGATGAGAGAGAGAGAGAGAGAGAGAGAGAGAGAGAGAGAGAGAGAGAGAGAGAGAGAGAGAGAGAGAGAGAGAGAGAGAGAGAGAGCTGACTTTGGAGAGCAAGAGAGTAAATGCATTTTGCTGTCCATGTTGACTCTTTGAAAGCAAAACCCCACTCTTCATTATTGTTAGTTTTAACTCTATTATTATTGCTACTAAATTACTCTTCAGCTTTGCTCTCTTATCTCCCTCTCTATAAATACGCAAACTCTCTCTACATCTCTTCAGACAGAACCAACTACCACTTGTACCGCTTTGTTCACAGTAACCCTACAATTTCCTAAGCTTTCAAGCAAAGAAACTTCAACGGGTTAACTTTTTCTTCTTCTATATATCTATCGGATAATTGTCAAAACCCTTCTCTCTGCTCATAACACGAACCATTCCATTATTCCCCTAAACGCAGTTTGATATATACACATATAAGAGATTGAGATGGGAAGACCACCATGTTGCGACAAGATTGGAGTGAAGAAAGGGCCATGGACACCAGAGGAAGACATCATCTTGGTTTCTTACATTCAAGAACATGGTCCTGGAAACTGGAGATCTGTGCCTACTCACACAGGTCTGTTCTTCTACTTTAATTTTATAATTTTTAAACAATACTAGTTTCAATTCTGTAATCCCTACTCTTAAGAAGTACCCTTTAATGTTTTTTGTTTTTTCTTGGGTTTGTGATTCTTTTGTTTTGCCTTCAATTTGGTTGGTATGCTCATTAAAGAAAAAGAAAAACTGTAATAAATATCTGATTTATGGCACCGGCTTTTTTGTCCACACGACTCAAATTAATTACTCTTTTAATTAATGAAAGTTTTTCATTGTTGTGGTGATTTAGGTCTGAGGAGGTGTAGCAAAAGCTGTAGATTGAGGTGGACTAATTATCTTCGACCAGGGATTAAGCGTGGAAATTTTACCCAACATGAAGAGAAGATGATTCTCCATCTTCAAGCTCTTTTGGGCAACAGGTAAATACATACATATTCACATGCACTTGATCTATAAAAGATAAGGTTTTGAACTTTTAATAATTTGGGGACCAAATAAATATGAAGGTGGGCAGCAATTGCATCATACCTTCCAGAAAGGACAGACAATGATATAAAGAACTATTGGAACACTCATTTGAAGAAAAAGCTCAAGAAGATGAATGATTCTTGTGATAGTACTATCAATAATGGAGTTGATAATAAAGACTTGTCCTCATCAAACAAAAACACTACTTCACATCAAAGCGGCAGCTCCAACAAAGGTCAATGGGAGAGAAGGCTTCAGACAGATATCAACTTGGCTAAACAAGCTCTTTGTGATGCCTTGTCTCTAGACCAACCCCAAAACCCTATTAGTTTCTCTCTAGCCGATCTTGGTTACGGTACATCATCCTCTTCTTCCTCTACCACCACAAGCAACACTAGTCCATACCCATCTGGTGTCTACGCTTCAAGCGCTGAGAACATCGCTCGTTTGCTTCAGAACTTCATGAAAGACACACCAAAGACCTTGTTGCCCTCGCCGGTTGCAGCCACCGATGTTGCTATCACCACGGAGGCTTCGAGCCCTAGCACGATCGAAGGAGGCGGAGAAGGGTATGATCAGTCTATATTCAGCTTCAACTCCATGGATGAAGCTGAAGACAAGCCTAAGCTAGTTGACCATGACATTAATGGTCTAATTACACAAGGGTCTCTTTCTTTGTTCGAGAAATGGCTCTTTGATGAGCAAAGCCACGACACGATCATTAATAACAACATGTCATTAGAGGGCCAAGAAGTGTTATTCTAGAAAGAACACAAGTTTGACAATTCACGTGAGGAATGAGGAGGCTTAGCTATAGCAAATTGTATTATTAAGTACTATTTTAGTTTTTTTTTCTTAAATCCTTAATTATGCTTCATATTGCAGTCATTAGGGATTTTGGAGTCATAAGTAACTTTAACATGATTTTGCTCTTTTTATTTTTGTGGAGATGTTATCTCTTCTTTTCTTTTTCTGTTTGTCGACGTGGAGATTATATCTTCTATCACGTAGCAGAAACTCAAAAGTGTACATATCATCCTCATTAATGCAACGGTGTTTTGTATTGTGGTTCATATGGTTATACAAAATTTCACGTCACTTTATTAATGTTGATATGGTTAGGTTTCAAATTTTATGTTTCCATAAATTTCAATCAGCAGGTAGCACACGCATCTCTCCTCAGTCCTCACTAACTATGTATAAATTATAGTTTTTTAATCTGTTTAATTCACAAAGTAATTGTATTTGTATACACTGATTTTTTTTACTGGTGAAGCAAATCACAATTGTTATTTTGGCCGCAATAAATAAAACAGTTATTTATATAGATGCTATTAGAATGAGTATTTGTTTAGAAACTTGATGTCTAACTATGTTTCAAAGTTAAAGTAACAACAAAAAAACATATTTGAAAAGTTAATGAATTATGTGTATTCATGTTATCCACTGGCTGAACTAATTTGGATTTACAAAATGAAGATTAAAACATACAGTACTAGTTTTTTTCTGATTCTGATATTATCGAGCATTTTTCTTTTCTTTTCATTTGACAAAATTATTTTTCTTCTCTATTTTCGTCTCGTGCCTCATTTTTTCTATCTTGCTTTTGTAAGTTTAAACAAAAAACAAGAGGAAATTTGCATCACATCTATACATATATACGACAAAAAGAAAAAGGTTACACGTATATCACGCACATATCAAAGATCATATAATGTAATATTCGATATAATAAGAGGCCAAATCTGGTGGTTCTTCGGAAATGTCATAACTAATAAAAGAGAAGCCATAAAAAAAAACGAAATACTGAATTAATAAATGCAGAAGAAAACGCGAGTGTTTGACTTGTCCCAGTGAAGCACAACGAGCATACCTTAGTCACCTCACAGATTTTAATTTTACACTGTCTCACACCCAACTCGTTGACATTCTTGGTTTCTCAAATGTAAGATTTTTGGGTCACTAAAAATTGATTCACCCAATGGTGACTAAAAACTGATTAAACCTACGAATTTAAGAGACGGATGAATTTCACTATAACCCCATGGAGTTATAAATTTTGTTTTCTACCAAGTGGAGCCCTACCTTCACCACCTTAACGGAGATGGTCGAGAGGGTTTATAAGTTACTAACATTCCTTTTCACTACATGACGTTAACCTAGTCAACATTTCGATCCATGTCTACCCAACTTTTTTTGGTTTACGATTCTAAACTTTTCTTGTGAAGGTTCAGATTTCCATCTCTACTGTATTAGCCAAGAAAAATATATGAGGTAAGTCCAGTTTGTTAATCCTACTTCAGTTCAAACCCATGCAACAGTCTGTATAGGCTTAGACAGTTTTTCAAATTCTTTAAAGGAACCAGAGATCTACTATTTCGATAGATACCAATTAACTTGCTTCTAGGCGAGTCTTTTCAGCAATGTTATTAATCACATACGGATATACCATCTCCACATGACCACATCAATGCGCCACTAGGTCTCCATTCCTTAAATACCGTGGTTTTGTTGACATTTGTTCATAGCAACATGATTTTACGAAAAAACACAAATTCTCCAGTCAACTACTCCATGTAACAGCCCGTTAATCGCCGAAAGCCCAAGAACGGGAAAATAGTTGGATCCAGCCTGCAGACGAGGGCAACTTCAAGCCCAATCCCAAGAGTCGCAGCGTACCTTCAGTCAGGATCGCAAAGAAGGCTCACAAATGGACTCGTTTTGTTTTGAGCTTGAATCTTGTCGGATTCAGCTCTAACACGGATCAAACAAATACAAACCTAAAATGTCACAACTTGCTTTAAGCAATGCATTCACCAAAAACGTTTACCGTTAAGTCTCGCAAATATATCAACAAAAAAGTTGCAGTGTCAAAATAACATCATAGGAAAAACCCACTCATCGAAGACAAAACACATTTTCTGACAAGACAAAAACATCAAAACGTCTACACTTTTGTTCAGCTTTGAGGGTCAACACTTAAAAACTGTTTAAGACAAACCTCCCAATACAATAATCAAATTCGTCGAATTAGTTAATTTTACATGTGTCACTATTCAACAAACCAAAAATTAAAACCCGTACAATTTCCTAGCTCTTCTGTGTACACATACCAGAAGAACAATTCCCAAAAAACAACTTGTGGTCCAAGGAACAGCACAGAACACGCCACAAGAAAATCTTTAAGTGAAGGGTTTCGCTGAAAACAAAATGATTAGTTATTCGTACTACTGATTTAGAATTAAAAAAAAAAATCTAAAGCTGGGAAATTTGTAAATAATGAGAATTATAAACACAAATGGAGGACTATCAATTATAAAGTTGGTATCTGGTAACACAACATTCATCTTTTGTCCGTAAATAAACAATATTCTGCAAACATAGGTACGTACGTATACATAGAGTAAAAGAAAACCATACAATATTAAGACGATATAATATAGGCCTCAGACGGGGCCTACAATTGAAGGTTGCAAAGTTTGTAGGGGAAACCATGCATAAACACTTCAACGTCTTGTTGTCCTTCTGGCTCTGAAGAACCTCTCCTTGACTGAGACTAATTCTTTGAGAACTTCACTCGTTGCCAACCGGTTCGTAGGAGATTCTTCACAGCACCTAAGTCCCACCTCGAAAACCAACCTCAAGCACTCAGCAATTGGGAAACCGACTCTAAGCCCGCTGTGAAGGATGGATTCGTCCGCAACATCCAATGCTTGCTCTGGCAATGCAGATTTGATGTAGCTACAAAGAGTAACGTTTCCCCCAAATAACTCATTGGTTGGTCTTTTTCCAGTGAACATCTCCAGAAGGAGAACCCCAAAGCTATACACATCACCATGTATTGATGGTTGTCCTCCTGTTCCATATTCTGCACCACAGTTCATAAAAGAAAAATTGGAGTAATAAAAGAATACATTCATTTTTTCATTCAAACATTTCAAATGTGTTATAGTTTTACCTGGTGCGGCATAGCCGATTGTGCCTCTGACTCCGGCTGAGCTGAGTTGATTGAGGAAATACTCCTTGTCGAATTTGAGGAGGATTCGTGCAAGACCAAAGTCGCTAACATGGGCAGTTAAATCATCATCTAGGAGGACGTTGCTTGGCTTAAGATCGCAATGAGCTCTGGGTTCATGGCAATGAACATGAAGATAGTCCAAAACAGAAGCCACATCTATCGCTATGTTGAGCCTTTCAAGAAGTGTCAAAGTTCTTGAGGGCCTACGAATCTCTTCCACTTCCTCCGGGTGCAACCACATATCCAAGCTTCCATTAGGCATGAACTCATAGATGAGAGCTCTGAATTGATTTCCTTGGAAATCAATACTCGAACATGCCGTCAACAGTTTAACAAGATTACGATGCCTTATGTCTTTCAAGGATTCACATTCTGCCATAAAACTCTTCATTGCTCCACGCCTCTGCATGTTTAGAACTTTCACCGCAACAACCTTGTTCTCCGTCGGAAGTAATGCTTTAAATACAGTACCAAAACTGCCTGATCCAATCATGTTGCTTGAAGAGAAGCCATCTGTCGCATTGCGAAGATCTCCATAACTTATCTTCTCATGCAAAATCTCCAACGAAGAAGGAGTTGTACTATCAGTATGCTGCTGCTTCTTTCTTTTTATGAACCAACGTAAAGAAACAAGACATGTGAACAACACCAGAAGCAAAGTTATGCCTACGCTGACCCCAATCACAACTTTCTTCAAACGGCTGGAATGCTTCGTCTCCATTGGTGGTTCTTGGACAATGCAAGGCTTTAGCTTCAGCTCCTTGATGCCTCCACATAGATGTTGGTTCCCAAATACCGAAACTATAGTAGCATTCTTGAATTTTCCTTGTGCTGGCACCCTTCCTTCTAGATTGTTGATGGATAAATTGAGATACTTCAGTTTGGAAAAGTTCACAAAATATTCAGGTATAGTTCCAGAGAGACGATTTCTTGATAAATCAACTGCTCTAACATCCACCAATCTTCTGATATCTGGAATGGTTCCATCAAAAGAATTTTCTTGGAGATGTAGTTGTACCATCGAGAGACACTTTCCAAGACTCTGTGGTAGTTCTCCTGATAATTTATTATGAGCAGCATATAGCCCAACAAGATTTTCAAGTCGCCCAATATCTTTTGGCACAGAGCCTATCAAATAATTATTTGACATGCTTAAGTGAATAAGCGACCGGATTTCTAGAACTTCCCGAGGTATAGTCCCATTCAACTTATTAGACGCAATCTTCAAATGTAGCATGGAACTGCAGTTACCAATACTCTGAGGAATGGTTCCTTCCAAACTATTGTTGGCCACATCGAGATTTTCTAGCCATGTGAGGTTGCCTATAGAAGATGGTATCTCTCCTGAGAATCTGTTTGTATGGAGATATAATAACCTCAATCCTAAAATTTTGCCGATAGACGTTGGTATTGGTCCTGTCAACATATTACCTCCAATCGCAAATTCTTGTAAGTTAATGAGATTTCCAATGTTGTGAGGAATGCTTCCTGTGATAAGATTTTTTCCAAGGCTTAAATCGTTGAGGTTTGTGGACAAATTGGCAATGGAAGTCGGTAAATCACCCCCAAGCTTATTCGAAGCAACCTCTAAAATCTCTAGTCGGGTGCAGTTAGTAAGAGCACCAATAAATGCAAGATCTCCAGTTGAGTAGCTTCCCAAAGAATTATGATTAAATATTAGCATAAGATAATATTTATCTGACATTGTAATATAATATATTTTGCTTTGTTTTTTTTCCGATAGAGTAGGCAAATTGGACCAAGTTGTAGCTTTTAATAAGTTGAATATTCTAGACGTTCCCTAATTTCCTACGAATTAGTTTGACTTAAGACTTTTCCATCTTTAGCAAATTCGAATATTAAAATATATACAGATACTGTACTTAAAGACTAAAGTAAACTACAGAAACCGTCTTCAAAACTCAAAAGCTTGCATGATTGGACCAATAAATATCTCCAAAAAAAAATAGATTGAACCGTATGGGTTTAACGAAAACCGATATGATCTAAAACAAGTTCGTTTATGATTATGAGTGTCTTCTACACGAAGGCTTAAAACCTTAAAAATTGAAGAACGAAACCTTCATACGAGTTGAAAATGGCGGACCAACAAGCCAACAAGAGATTGTTGATCAGGGAGAGAGGAAGAAGACATGCAACTCGAATCAGGGAGAGAGCAAAATGGGGAGGAGAACGGAAGTATCCACAAGAAGCAGAAGGTGGAAGAGAAGTATGTGAAGGATGAGAGATTGGAGAAGAAAGATGAAGGAAACGGATCGGGTCTGGTCAAGAGTTGGGTCGAAAGAAGTTCGTTTTCTCATGTGGAGATGTTCGATGACTTCAACAAACTGTTGCGTTTTTGGCGGAATAATCTCGATCTCAGCAAGATAAAGAGATATGGTCATATGTGTTTTGTGGTTTTTAAGATTCTAAAGTTTGCATCATTTCCTTATAACTATTGTGTGAAAATCTCTCCCAATTGTTCAGTCAAAAAGGTGCTAATGTGCCATACTTTAAGCCCTTTAGTTAAAAGTGTGACCCTCTTAAACTTTTTTTCTCCAGATAAAACTTTTTACCTTTGGAGTTTGATAGTTTTTTATCGCATAACTGTAGCTTCCAATTCGCACTCACAATTAGTTTACGTGTATCTTCTTCAATTAATGCACTTATTGAAGCTATTGAATACTTCACTACCAAACAAGAAAAAACGCAGTTAGTGCAAGCAACAATTACGACCATATTTTAACAACTTATCTTGTTCATTCAGAAAATGAAAACATAAGAAACACAAATGATATACAAAACAAAAACTTGGATTACAGAATAAAAAACCACATATTATGTAAGACGATATGTATAGGCCAGAGATTAAGCCTTTAAAGTGGGCTGCAAAGTTTGTAGAAGCAAAACACTTTAACGTCTTGCTGTCCTTCTGGCTCTGAAGAACCTCTCTTTGATTGACACTAATTCTTTGAGAACTTCATTCATTGCCAACCTGTTCGTAGGAGACTCTTCACAGCACCTAAGTCCCACCTCGAACACCAATCTCAAGCACTCAGCAATTGGGAAACCGACTCTAAGGCCGTTGTTAGGAAGTGATCCGTCCACAGCATCCAATACTTGCTCTGGCAATGAAGAGTTGATGTAGCTACGAAGAGTGAAGTTTCCCACAAAGAACTCATTGGTTGGTCGTTTTCCAGTGAACATTTCTAAAAGGAGAACCCCAAAGCTATACACATCGCCATTTGTTGAAGGCTGCACTCCCATCCCATATTCTGCCCCATCATTCACATAAACAAGATTAAAATAACAAAAGACAACAATAATTTTCTTCATTTTAAACATTACATATTTTCTATACTTTTACCTGGTGCGGCATAACCAATGGTTCCTCTAACACCGGCTGAGCTGAACTGATTGAGGAAGGACCCTTGGTCTGATTTGAGGAGAAGACGAGCCAAACCAAAGTCACTAACATGGGCAGTTAGATCACCATCGAGAAGTACGTTGCTTGGCTTAAGATCACAATGAGCTATAGGCTCATGACAATGGATATGAAGATATTCCAAAGCAGAAGCAACGTCAATAGCAATGTTAAGCCTTTCAAGAAGTGTCAATTTTCTTGAGGGCATAACACTCTCTTCCACTTCTTCTGGGTGCAACCACATATCTAGGCTTCCATTAGGCATAAACTCATATATGAGAGCTCTGAAATCATTTCCTTGGAAATCAATGCTTGAACAAGCCGTCAATAGTTTCACAAGATTACGATGCCTTATGTCTTTGAGTGATTCACATTCTGCCATAAAGCTCTTCATTGCTCCATGCCTCTCCAGGTTTAGAACTTTCACCGCAACAACCTTATTCTCCGTCGGAAGCAATGCTTTATACACTTTACCAAAACTGCCTGACCCAATCAAATTACTTGAAGAGAAACCATTTGTCGCATTTTGAAGATCTCCATAACTTATCTTCTCATGGAAAACCTCCAAGGTAGAAGAAGTTGCATTACTTGTTTGATGGTTCTTCTTTCTTTTTCTGAACCAAATAAGAGAAACTGAAGCTATGAATAACAACAAAAGCAAAGCTATGCTTATGCTGACCCCGATTGCAACTTTCTTTAAGACAGATAATTGTTTTGTCTTCACAGGTGGTGCTTGTGGAATGCATTGGTTTAGTTGCAGTTCTCTGATTCCTCCACATAGGTCTTTGTTTCCAAATACTGATACTATGGTAGCATTCTTAAATTTCCCTTCTGTAGGCACTCTTCCCTCAAAGTTGTTGAACGAGAGATTAAGATACTCCAGCGCAGAAAAGTTTGCAAGATATTCAGGTATACTTCCGGAGAAATGATTATTCGATAAATCAAGTCTTTTAACACCCACCAACTCTTTTATGTTTGGAACCTCCCCATCAAAAGAGTTTCCTTGTAGATAAATAACTTCCATCGAGAGACATTTCCCCAAGGTTTGTGGGATTTGTCCTGATAAGTTATTATATGCTACAGATAGTGAAACCAGATTTTCTAGTTGTCCAATATCTTTTGGAAAAGACCCGGTCAAGGAGTTATACGACAGGGTTAAAGTATTAAGTGATGGAATCTCCATAATCTCATGAGGTATAAACCCATTCAACTTATTATGCCCAATCCACATCTCTAGCAAGGAACTACAGTTACCAAGACTTGGAGGAATGATTCCTTCAAAACTGTTTTTATGCAAATAGAGTGTTCCTAACCGAGTGATGTTGCCGATAGAAGACGGTACCTCTCCTGAAATACTATTCGAATAGAGACTTAATAACCCCAATCCTAAAAGCTTCCCAACAGAAGTTGGGAGTGGTCCTGTCAGCGAATTTTCTTCTAACCAAAGTGATTGTAGACTTATGAGATTCCCAATCTCATGAGAAATGCTTCCAGAGATGAAATTTGTTCCGAGGTCTAAAGCGATGAGATTAGTGGACAGGTTGGAAATGGAGATAGGCAAGTCACCCCCAAGCATATTTTGACCAACATATAATCTTTGTAGTTGAGTGCAGTTAGTCAAAGCACCAAGAAAATCAAGATCTTCAAAAGAGTTATTTCCAAAAGAGTTGCCTTGAAGTGCAAGGTTTTGCAAATTTCGTACTTTTCCAAAGCTCGAAGGAATCGGTCCGGTCATGTTGTTGTACTCCATTCTCAGTGTTTGAAGAGTAGAGATATTGGGAAGTGTAGGTGGAATGGCTCCGGTGAAATGATTCCTTCCCATATATAGCTCTCGAAGGTTGGCTAGCAAGTTACCTAAATCAGACCTAATGCTACCCAAGAAATCGTTTCCAAAGACGTTTAAGAATTCAAGTGAGGACAAATTGTAGATTGCGGGAGAAAAAACACCCGCCAAGTTGTTCACTGATAGATCAAGATGCTGCATTTGACTCAACCTAAAAATATCATCCGGAACTCCTCCTTCTATTTTGTTATCTCCTAAGCCAAGATATACAAGTGATGTCAAGTTTCCTAGAGATCCAGGGAGCTTCCCTTTCAAACTGTTACGACCAAGTTCTAAAACAACTAGCTTCGTCAACGACCCTAGTTCTAAAGGAACACCTTCTCCAAGATGATTTGAATAAACCTCAAGGGCCAATAATCTAGAGCAATTAGACAAGCTGGCTGGAATCTCTCCTTGGAGAAAATTAGAGCTCATATTCAAATGTCGAAGTCTAAACAAGTTTCCCACCTCTTGAGGGATGGTACCACCAAAAGAGTTACGAGAGAGATTAAGTGATATGAGGAACGAAAGATTACCAATAGATGGTGATATCACTCCGCCCAATTGCAATCCTCCTAGGTCCAAACGTGTAACTCTCTTGTGTTTGCGGCCACATCTAACTCCATTCCAGTTGCAGAGAGGGTATGAGTGATTCCATGAGGACAAGACGACTTTTCTGTCTTCAGAAACTTGAGACTTGAAGTCCAATAATGCTTGCCTGTCAGTTTCATCGGTAAAACTACCATATGCTTCAAGTAACATGAGAGCACTGAAAGAAAGTAAAAGAAATAGTCTCATGTTTTTTAGTATTATTATTTCTTTTGTTTTGAAGTTTATGGATCGCTTCTTTTGCATGGAAGTGTTTATATAAGACGAAGCAGTTGCAAAGTGCCTTTACCTTGTTGTGATAATACAACTTGCAAGGATTATATTAATGGCTCTCAACTACTTGTACAGAGATGAGAGAACTGCAAGATTTTATTTTTTTCAAAATCTGACTTGTTCAAAATCGACTGTATGCATTAATGTATCGAACCTTCTAGCCATATGAAAGTCAAGTAGTCAACTGTCTAAAATGACAAAAAAAAAAACACTTCGCTAGTCTTCACGATAGACATCGACCAACTGATCAAGTTTTGTGTATATGCAATAAAATCTCAAATCTCAAATAAGAAAAAAGAAGTAATTATCTTTGGTGTCAACGTTGACGTGTTTACTCACACTTTGCGATAGACGACCGATGGACCAATGGACATCGACATTAATGTAATCCTTCAAGTTGTAATACTCTCAGGGACCACGACTTGGTAGTGTCATCCAAACAGAGCATCTGAACTTTAATTTGTCTCAACTAAACCAATGGTCGTCAATTTTCATTCGTACCCGAGAGGAAAGTTAAGGAAGAAAGAAAAAACGCTCTCAGGCCCATTTCCCTAGGAAAACCTAACAGCCGCCCATCTCCAGCTTCTCTCGGCGGCTCCGCCGCTCGCCTTCTTCCGCCGGCATCTCTGGCGAGACCTCTGTTGACTGTAACGCCCTTTCTCTCACTCTTCATTCCAGTTTCTCTATCCTCCTTCCATGGCTTCTGGTGAATCTCCAGTCATTGATTTTGACGTTCTAATGCCGTCGTCGGGACGAAGAATGGATTCCATTGGCGAATCTACGCTTTCCCCATCGATAAATCTCACTACTGAGGATCTTCAAGGGATGAAATCGTCCTCTCCATCTCCATTGAATCCTCCAAAGCTCACTGAACTTCCCTCCTCTACTCTGTCTCCAGACCCGCGGTGGCCCTTACTGAACCGTTGGTCGACCAAACCATCTCCACCATTAGCAGTAACTGAACAGCATTCTGCTAAAGGTGCATCAAACTCCGGTGATTCCTCCCCAAAGACTGTCGTTCCTGACACAGCTCCTCCGATCTCATCGGTGCCTCTTATTACCACCATTAAACCTGTCATTTCTAAAGGTGCTTGGGATAAGCCTCTGGTGATGCACTCTGCTCACTTTCATCAAACTACAGAACCACTACAAGTGCCTCTTTCTTCCCATTCCCAATGGCCAGCCTTATCAGATAGGAACAAAGGAACAAGCAAGAATCGTCTGCATACCGAGAGTTTCAAGAAAAGTGCAAGGGATTCAAGTGAATCGGAAGCTGAATTAGCATTACTGAAGGCACACTCCAAAGACTACCCTTGGGCAGCAAAGATGAATCCATCTACGAGAAACCTTCATAGAGTCACCATTCCAGAATACATGGATGATGGGACCCCAAAGGTGAGAATCCCTAGTCATGTTCTTCTCGGTGGTGTTGAGAATCAAAAGGAATATGTGGTAGGTCAATTCTCTCGATGTTCTGCTCCGTCAAGAGGTCAAATTCAGGCGATTGTATCTATGATTTGGGGTAGAAAGTGTCAAATTTTCATCCGTAAGCTAGGAGAATCAACATATCTATTCCATATTCCTCATGAATCAACTCGCAATTGGGTCATACAGAGAGGTTTGTGGCATATTGATGACTGCTTGATGTTTGTGTCTCCCTGGTCTCCAACAGAAACTATTTCTATACCGGAAATCACTACTATTCCGGTATTGGGGAACCGATGCTGACTGAGAAGCCATGGTTGGACCCAACTCAAATGGGAAGAGCGAAAGTTCTAGTTGAGGTTAAATTAGACAAACCATTCCCTCAGAGAGTTGCCTTAGTTGATATAAGTGATGCAATCACAATGGTGGATGTGTTATATTCTTGGTTGCCTACTGTTTGTAGTGATTGTGGTCACTTAGGACACAAAGCCTCTCGTTGTTTACTGAGAACTTCAAGTCCGGTGGTTCATAAGAAAACTCCAAAGGAAGCTACAAGCTCTGTTTTGCCACCAGTTACAGAAATTGCAGGGGCTGGAACTGCCAAAGCTCTGGAAAACCCTGAAACCATCCCTTCAGTAGAGAAATCAACTCCGGTTTCTCTCACTCTCATCCCACCCAATGATGCGACTCCAACTTCAACACCAGCTACAAGTAACATTTCTTCTTTTCACAAAATTTTATCTTATCCTCAGGGAACTTCTTCTTCACCGGTTATCAACCCTGTTATGGCCTCAACAAAAGAGGCATCTGCTTCTAAACAAGCTTCACTCTCCTTTGTGGCATCTGCTTCTAAACAAGCTTCCATCTCCCCTGTTCAGCCTGAACACAGTATTCGCAGGACTTTGTCTAGCGCCTCTTTGAGAAACAACAGATTTGCATCTTTGGATTCTTCTGAAGATGAAGATGAAGATGACAGCGAAGTCCCACCACCACCCGATGTGCCTGAAAATTCGATGTTCTTTACGCCTTCGGGAAAAAGAATCCTTCGGGAACGACCGGTTCCATTGTCAACAAAGGCTAAAGAAATGCAAGCCGTAGTCCGAGGACGTGGTAATCGAGGTCGTGGTAGTAGAGGTGGTCGTGGCTAGTTAGACATCCTCATTGATGTTTCTACTTAATCGAAGCGGAAGATTGATTATTTTCTAGTTTCTAGTACTTGCAAACTTCGATTTGCATAAGGTGTAATATTTGAAAATTGCTTGGTAAGACTTTGAGTCTAATGTAACTTTTTTCAAATAAAATAAATGGTGAATTTGCGGAAAAAAAAAAAAAAAAAAAGTAGATGAAATAGTCTCATGCTTCTAACTTGCAAGAAAGGAATACAAGGAACAAACAAAATGCAAAGAGGTGGTAATGCAAATTTAAAGAGAAGAGGAAGATGCAAGACTTCTCAAGGAAAATAATTCAATAAAAATGAAATTTTGAGCTTTAATACAAAAAGCTCCGATGCCGATGCCGGGAATCGAACCCGGGTCTCCTGGGTGAAAGCCAGATATCCTAACCGCTGGACGACATCGGATTGATATTAATTTTTGTTTACTGATAAATCGAACAGTTCCTGACTTCCTGTCTTCCTGATATGAAATGAAAGACGATGAGAACTCTTTTGCATAACTTCCATTTTGCACCTCACGATTCTCTAAATTGCAGAATCTCCCCTTTCCCCATATCATCATCTTGCTTCAACGTTCGTCTTCCCATTAACAACAATCAAATCTCCTGCAGCAAGTTGATAATGGACTCTGCTGACAAAAATTCAGGTATCGTAAGATTAAGAATGGCGTTGCCCAGATTGATTCCATTTCGCCATTTCAGCTATTTCTTAAGATTCTAGCTGGTTTCATGAGTTCTTGTTTTTTTTTTTGTTTCCCAGTTTGCGCACAGAAGAAGATTGTGATTCCGAACAGCCACAGCGAGAAGCTCGTGGGTCTGCTTCACGAAACTGGTTCAACAGAAATTATAGTCTTGTGCCATGGATTTCGATCCAGCAAGGTCAGTGTGATAACTAATTCGGATTAATTTTGGTTTTATGCTTTCTTCTCACTTACCCTAAATCCGAAATATGAATCTGGTAAAACGTAAATCTGCAAGCTTTTATTTTTCCTCTGGTTTCTCTGCTCTTCCGGTGACTTGATTCAGTTACGAAAATCATAGGCTATTCTCTGAAATTGATGATAGAAAGTTATTGTAACTAAACATTTCTGCGTTCTGCAACTTGCTTGTATGTTCATTCCTCAATCCAATACCTTAGAAAGTTTGCAACTGATATCCGTTTTCAATCTCAACAATGGAATATGTGATGCCACTTCAGTTTGTAATTTGATTTGAAATGCATAGACCTTTTTGGCTAATTAAGCAATGTGTATACCAAAAGTTGAGTCCTCGTGATATTGGTAGGACTTTTGAACTTGTGTTTGGCCTATGAACATATGCAGAATAACCAAATCATGAACAACGTGGCTAATGCTATAGAGAAAGAAGGGATCAGCGCTTTCCGTTTCGATTTCTCCGGGAATGGGTATGTTTCTCTTTGCTTTTGCCTTATCATTGATTTGCATTGGTGAGTGAGTGAGTGAGAAGATAATTTGGATTTATCTTTTAACGTTGTTACAGAGAGAGTGAAGGCAGTTTCTACTATGGTAACTATAACCATGAAGCTGATGATCTGCATTCTGTTATCCAATACTTCTCTAACATGAACCGTGTGGTTCCTATTATCCTCGGTCACAGTAAAGGTAAATATACTATGACTCTGTTCGATTCTTCTCTATACCTTGAGCAATGGATTCACAGATCTTTATTTTGAAAGATTAACTTTTGAGTGTTGTAGGAGGTGATGTGGTTCTCCTGTATGCCTCTAAGTATCAGGATATCCGCAATGTGATCAATCTCTCAGGACGTTATGATCTGAAAACAGGGGTAAGAGAGCGTCTTGGGGGAGATTTTTTGGAAAGAATTAAGCAACAAGGGTTCATTGATGTTGAAGATGGTATTGTTTATCGCTCTTTTGGTTCTCTAAGATCAAAACTCTAGTGTGTTTCTATCAATGTGATGGTGTTTTTACAGGAAAGTCAGGGTACAGAGTTACTGAGGAGAGCTTAATGGAGAGGTTAAGGACTGATATGCATGAAGCTTGCCTCAAGATTGACAAAGAATGCAGGTGAGATTCCTCACCGAGTTCTCTAAATCATATGATATATAAACAAGCCTTGATGATGATGTAATGTAATGGCAGAGTCTTGACGGTTCATGGATCGGATGACGAGGTAATACCAGTGGAAGATGCCAAGGAGTTTGCGAAGATCATACCGAACCACAAGCTGGAGATTGTGGAAGGAGCTGATCATTGTTATACCAAGCATCAGAGTCAATTAGTTTCAACAGTTATGGAGTTTGTAAAGACAGTGATGGTGAAGAACAACTAGTCTCTGAGTCCATCAAGGGTGTATTCATGAAAGCAACTTCTGCGGCAGCTAGAGCCAGCGAATTCTGATTTCATAGAACCAAAATCAGTACATTGTCTTTATCTATTTGTTTGGGCTTTATATAAACCAAAATTTACAGAGTCAATTTATCGAAGCACCAGAGCAAAATGACTTGATGAACAAAAGCACACACATTACATTATTCTTCATTAAGAAAATTCTCCAAGCGCAGAGATGTCCCAAAGCTCACTGATCAATGAAGTCACCAAATCATTAATCGTTCATACATGGAACTGTCTGTCTATTTCAGTTACATCATCCCCTTTTAAAACTTGTCTTGGATTTAGATTTTAAAAAAAAAACATCATAAAGCTGGTGAATCAGTATGAACAAAAGAAAACATAAGCACTGAAAAAGCAGAGGTTTGGATTACAAAAAACTGAGAAAATACAGATAAAATTGGAAAATGACATAGCTTTCGTTCATTAACAATATTCTGCAAGCATAAGTATGTTTAATAGAGGAAAAGATCACAAATTAGGACAGACGATATTACATAGGCCATTTAAGTGGGTTGCAAGCTTTGTAGAGAAAACCATAAACACTTCAACGTCTGGCTGTTCTTCTGGCTTTAAAGAACCTCTCTCTGATTGAGATTAACTCCTTTGTGGCTTCACTCGTTGCCAACCGGTTCGTCGGAGATTCTTCACAACACCTAAGCCCCACCTCCAAAACAGTGTTAAGCACTCAGCAACAGGGAAACCAACTCTGAGACCACTGTGAAGAATTGATTGGTCTGCGATGTCCAATACTTTCTCTGGCAACGCCGACTTGGTGTAGCTGTGTAGGGTACAACTTCCTCCAAATAACTCATTGGTTGGTCTTTTTCCTGTGAACATCTCCAAAAGCAGAACCCCAAAGCTATACACATCACCATGTATTGATGGCTTCCCTCCCATTCCATATTCTGCACCATCATTCACAGAAACAACAAGAACAAGGTTATAGCGAGAAAAGAATGCACTAAATCAATTCATTCAGTTAAAAAAAATATGAGATATTTTACCTGGTGCGGCATAGCCAATGGTTCCTCTTACGCCAGCCGAGCTTAGTTGGTTGAAGAAAGGACTCTTTGTCAATTTGAGGAGAAGCCGAGCCAGACCAAAATCGCTAACATGGGCTGTAAGATCATTGTCTAGGAGAACGTTGCTTGGCTTAAGATCACAATGAGCTATAGGTTCATGGCAATGAACATGAAGATAGTCCAAAACAGAAGCCACATCGTCGCTATGTTAAGCCTTTCAAGAAGTGTCAAGTTCTTGAAGGCCTACGAATCTCTTCCACTTCCTTTGGGTGCAGCCACATATCCAAGTTTCCATTAGGCATGAACTCATAGATGAGAGCTCTGAATTCATTTCCTTGGAAATCAATACTCGAACAAGCCGTCAACAATTTCACAAGATTACGATCTTATGTCCTTCAGAGATTCACATTCTGCCATGAAACTCTTCATTGCTCCATGCCTTTGCAGGTTTAGAACTTTCACTGCAACAACCTTGTTCTCCGTTGGGAGAAACGCCTTAAACACATTACCAAAACTGCCTGACCCAACCATATTCCTCGAAGAGAAGCCATCTGTCGCATCTCGAACATCTCCATAACTTATCTTCTCATGGAAGACCTCCAATGAAGAAGGAGCTTGATTACTGGTTTGATGATTCTTCTTTCTTTTTCTGAGCCAACATAGATAAAATGAAGCTACGAACAACAGTAAAAGCAAAGCCACGCCGATGCTAACCCATATCACAACTTTCTTCAAAAGAGAGGAATGCTTTGTCTTTGTTAGCGGTGCTTGTGCAAAGCATGGCTTTAGTTGCAATTCCTTGATGCCTCCACATAGATCTTTATTTCCAAACACTGAAACAATTGTAGCATTACGAAACTTTTCTTCTGTTGGCACCTTTCCCTCGAAGTTGTTAACAGATAGATTAAGATACTCCAACGAGGAGAAGTTTGCAAGATATTCAGGTATACTTCCAGAGAGATTATTATTCGACAAATCAACTCTTTTGACACCCACCAACCTTCTTATATCTGGAATACCTCCATCAAATGAATTTTCTTGCAAATAAAGCTCTTCCATAGAGAGACAGTTTCCTAACGTTTGTGGCATTTTCCCCGATAACTTGTTACCCCAAACAGATAGTTCGGTGAGATACTCAAGTCGTCCAACATCTTGTGGTAGAGTGCCGGTCAAGGAATTACGTTCCATGGTTAGGGTAACAAGGGTTGAGATCTGCATAACTTCCCTAGGTATAGTCCCATGCAACCTATTATACCCAATCCGTAAATCAAGCATGTGACTACAGTTACCAAGATTTAGAGGAACAAGTCCTTGAAAACTATTGTTGGACAAATAGAGTCTTCCTAACCGAGTGAGGTTGCCTATAAAAGATGGTATCCCTCCTGACATCTTATTCGAATATAGACTTAAAAACTCCAACCCTAGAAGCTTCCCAAGAGAAGTTGGGAGCGGTCCGGTCAATATATTTTCTTCCAGCAGAAGTGATTGTAAGCCTAAGAGATTCCCAATACTGTGAGGAATGCTTCCAGAAATGAGGTTTCCTCCAAGGTTTAAACCCATGAGGTTCGTGGACATATTGGCAATGGATGTAGGCAAGGCACCTCCGAGCCTATTGTAAGCCACACTTAAGATATGTAAGTGGGTGCAATTGGTCAAGGCATCAAGAAACTCAAGATCTCCAAAAGAGTAACTTCCCAAAGAATTAAGAGCGAGTTCCAAGTAATGCAAATTCTGTAATTTCCCAAAGTTGGGAGAAATACTTCCTGTCATCTTGTTTTTACCAATGCCAAACATTTCCAGAGTTGATATGTTTGGTAGTGTTGTCGGAATGTCTCCTGTCAGATAATTTTCCGACATAGCTAACTCTCGAATGTTTGGTAGAAGATCACCAAGATCATGCCTTAAGCTACCCGAGAAACCACTACTATGGATGTATAGATACTCAAGCGAGGTCAAATTGTAGATAGCTGGAGGGAAAACGCCAGAGAAATTGTTCACTGATAATTCAAGGGTCACCATTTGACTCAACCTTGCTATTTCGTTTGGAAAATCTCCTTGGAGATTGTTATATGCTAGGCCAACTTGTTGTAGAGATGTCAAATTTCCTAAAGATGCAGGGAGCTTCCCTTTCAGCTTATTGTTACTAAGATCTAAAGCAACAAGCTTTGCCAATGACCCTAGTTCTGAAGGAACACCTCCTCCAAGATGATTTGAAAACAAATCAAGGGCCAACAATCTAGAGCAGTTAGACAAACTTGCTGGAAGCAAACCTCCGAGAAAATTAAAGCTCATATACAAGTCTTCAAGTCTAAACAAATTTCCCACTTCTTGAGGGATGGTTCCACCAAAAGAGTTATCAGAGAGATTAAGCGAAATGAGGAAGGAAAGATTACCAATAGATGGTGTTATCACTCCGCCTAATTTCAATCCTCCTAGGTCCAAACATGTAACTCTCTTGTGTTTGTTGCCACATGTGACCCCTTTCCAGTTGCATAGAGGGAATGAGTGGTTCCATGAGGACAAGACAACTCTTTTCTCTTCAGATACTTGAGACTTGAACTCGAGCAGCGCTTGCCTATCAGTTTCATGGTTAAAACCAGATGCTTCAAGTAACATGAGAGCATTGAAAGCAAGTAAAAGAAACAGTCTCATGCTTTTCATTTTTTTTTTTCAGGAAAATGAGTATAAGGGAGGAACAAAATGCAAATGTTGGTAATGCAACTTAAAGAGGAAGGTGCAAGACTTATCCAAAATGGTGCATCCCAAGTCAAGTTGTTGTCAACTGTCTCAAAAGGCAAAATCATTTCACTAATCTTTTATTAGCTAAGTTCCACAATTGACGACAATGCTTCTTCGCGTGTTTCTGGGTTGTATCTTTTTAAAAAGAGAACAAAAATGAATAAATTTATTGCTTATAAAACTGCAAGTAGTGCCCAGCGACATTGAGACAACGGCTGCTAGTTCATCTGTGGTCCATCTCCTATCCGAGCATGTTTTCTTCACAAGATTCCATCCAATAATCCAATTCGATTCGAGAATCTTTGTTTTTAATTTAATTTACGGTTGTAATAGCTGGCCCTTGCTATGAAGGGGCACAACAATACTACTTTTATATTAGTTTTAGTTATGTTTTTTATGTAATTACTTAATTAATATTATGTGTACGTAAAACTGTTCCTTAGAGGGTTATTTTTTTGTAAGCCTTCTTTAATTTTCTGTTGACTTGAATCAAAGAGCTTTGAAAAAGCAAACATCCGTTTATCTACTTCTCCTCTCCATCAGTTAGCTTTCGCATTAAGAATAGAGCAAATAAGTTCGACAATATGGATTCGATTCAGGGGAATTTAGCTAGTGCACGACAGCTGAAGCCACAACGAGAAGCTTGTGGTTCTGCATCACGAAACAGGGTCAAGAGAAATTGTACTCTTATGCCATGGAGATGGAGTGATGGTGAAGGATCATACCAAACCACAAGCTTTACTCATGGTTTTAGCAAGCATCAAAGACAAAGTCAATCGGTTTCGATAATTCTAGTTTATAAAGACGTGATGGTAAACAACAATTAGTCCCTCTCTTTTTTTGGAGAAATTGTTCATGATAATTGATAATTGCTGCATTCAATCTGAATTTTGATTTGCACTTTCTTTAATATAATACTGAAAATTGTATCTGAAAATGTTTCATTGGTTAAAATAATAATAATAATAAGGGATAATGATAAAGTAATTATCATAATAATAAATACGACTGTACATAGTGCAGTGACAGCTCTGTTTCAACAATTGTAAAGCCGAAGTAACAACATTTTAACAGATAACACAAACATACGATGAAGATGATAAACAACGTGAAGAAGCATATAAGCAAATGAAAGTTCTTACAAACAAGTTCAAGGGTTTCATCTTACATACTCTTCCCGGAAGAATCATTTTCCGGGAAGGATTCAGACTAATGTTGGGTTGGATATCGGCTGCTCTGGCGGCGGCACAGCAAAGTGCAGTCCTCTCCGTTGTGGCACACCACCGTGTATCATGAAGGCAACTTCTGCCGCAGCTATAGCCGCTGCCTCCTGATATCATCATAGAAAACAAATTACAAAATTTAAACAGAGTTTGATACAGAGAGAGAGAGTTTTCTTGTTTTCCAAACCTGTCTTTGCCTACGGCGTTGAAGTATACCAATGGCCCATGCCATGATGTAACATGGGAGGAGAAAACCAGCGGCGCGGAGAAGGAAAAGCTGTTGAGAAAGAACAAAACCGAATCAGCTAAAGAGTAACAAGAAACACAAAGAAGTGTATTGGTAAAGTAAGGCAAAGATGTTCATACAGAGAAGAAGGCGGTTGGATCGTCTTCATCATCTGAGTTAGTTGTGAGATTTAGCGCATCTCGCAACAGTAAAAGTGCCATTAGCTGTCATTTTACAGAAGAAGCTGGTCAATTTTCACATGGTAAACAAATCATAGTCTTGACAAAAAGGTAACTGAGGAATGGTATGAGCTTACGATGAGAGCAGCGGAGCGACAAAAGGCGGCTCCGCTTGAGTTAGACTCAGAGTACGCATCATAGTCAGCTTCCAAGAAATGGCGTTCTGCAGCTGCCATTGCCAAGATGCGTGGGTCGTTCAAGTCCAGTGGAACTCCGTTCTCCCAATCGTCACTGCAACGACACATTTTTCAAATAACAGAGACAAGTCATAAGGCTCCAGAATAAAGGAGATTGACGCAAATATATCCTTTCTTATGATGTATTGTTACCAATAAAAAATTAACCACCTTAAAGAACCTTACATGCATTGGTACTATTACTTAAGAGATATTAAGCAAAACAAATCAAGTCAGTGAATTGCTGCAAGAAAGATAGATAGATATAGAAAACTTACCCGATGTGAATTATAGTTTCATCAGGAGGAGGTGGAGGAGCTGTATAACCAGATTGATAAGGCTGTACAAAAATAAAAACACAAGACATTTCTTAGAAGTGGAACTCTCCATTCTCTTGTACCATTCTAAGCTAATATATAAGACTTTGAATAAGTGAAATAAAAGAACAATCAAGACCTCAGACCCACTTGAATGAACAAGTTGATTATTGTTGATTCATTTCTTCATCCAATAGTTAAAAAGTTAAACAACATTTATTAACGGAGAAGTGGTTTACTGTTGAATTCATTTCATAGTCCAAAAGTTGAATTCATTTCATAATCCAAAAGTTATAACTAGTTTGAATTTTCGGTACCTTGAATACAAAAAGATACAACATTTAGCATAATAAGAGTATGAGAGAGAGATTGATTAACCTGGTGGCAAATTTCACAGGTTATGTCACCTTTCTCATTACACCAACGCTGGACACACTTGCGGTGTGCATACTGCATAATCAAAACCCAATGACAAAATTTTCAAACCAAAAGAACAATGAGATCTAACTGAAACTTTTCAAAAAAGTCACATTTGTTTTTTATACCTTCAAGCTGCCATTACAGGCACAAGGAGCCTCGAGGTTCTTAGTGGTATCTTCCTCCTGGCATATACGGCACTCAACAGACTGGAGAAGTGGCTCCTCTTCCTCGTCCTCAACGGCAAAGTATACCCTCGCTTCTTCATCGACAGAAGTAGAAGCCAAGTCTTTGCCTTGAGGCCTCGAACTTTCTCCACAAGAATCTGAAGACTCGGAATCTTTTTCTTGCTTCACGCTTTCAGATGTTATGAGACGGTCCGTACATAAACTCAGATGATCCGCCATCTTTTTAAAAACTTAGCACCAATGAAGAAAATGTTGTTGATCTGTAACAAGAAGCTGCGATACTTTAATATTCCGAAAAAAAAATCAATAGCAACAATTAAAGCAGAACATCACTAGAAATCCTAAGTAAAAGACAATTTCAAGGGACAGAAAAACAACAATTCTGGAAATAATTAGCATACGAGTAAAAAATAGGGTTTGATGCTTCAAAATTTCCCAGAAATTAACAAATCCAAATCGGAAAAGGCCCCGAATTCGAGACACAAACAAGAATAGAGACGGATATGATTCGATCTCCAGAATGAAACCCTAATATGGAACAAATGAAAAATCCAATCGCAGAAGACGAAATTGAAGCAATAAACAAATAGGAAAGTGATAATAATCGACGGAAATCAACATTACCTAGAAATGATTCTGGGATCGAAGGAAGACAAAGAAAGGGACTTTAGCTCTTTCGAAATCTGGAAAGCTCAAACGAAACTCTTACAATTCGTGTTTTGTTTTTTTTTTGTTTCCGTGTTCGGTCTGAAAATATCAGATAAACATAATCCACTATAAATTATGGGAGCGCGTGCGCGTGTGTATACAAATATCTAGGCATGGAAAGAGGTTCGGTGTGTACGAATCGGAGCTTTGGAGCTTGGTATGATAACGTCCGTTAAACGGCTAGTTGAGCAAAGCGCTTGTGAACTCTTTTTTATCGCGAGTCAATTTAACCGAGACGGTGACGGAAGTCGTTAGGTGGAAATTGTCAATTTTCTGGTAAAGATTTTAAATGGTTAATAAAGATTTTCACCGAAATCAGATACGGAAATTAATAAATTGGTCCATACGATAATTATTAACTTATGAGATATGATGGTTGAAAAAAAAAAAGAGAATTTATCTGCCATTGTAATATAATATATTTTGCTTTGTTTTTTTTCCGATAGAGTAGGCAAATTGGACCAAGTTGTAGCTTTTAATAAGTTGAATATTCTAGACGTTCCCTAATTTCCTACGAATTAGTTTGACTTAAGACTTTTCCATCTTTAGCAAATTCGAATATTAAAATATATACAGATACTGTACTTAAAGACTAAAGTAAACTACAGAAACCGTCTTCAAAACTCAAAAGCTTGCATGATTGGACCAATAAATATCTCCAAAAAAAAATAGATTGAACCGTATGGGTTTAACGAAAACCGATATGATCTAAAACAAGTTCGTTTATGATTATGAGTGTCTTCTACACGAAGGCTTAAAACCTTAAAAATTGAAGAACGAAACCTTCATACGAGTTGAAAATGGCGGACCAACAAGCCAACAAGAGATTGTTGATCAGGGAGAGAGGAAGAAGACATGCAACTCGAATCAGGGAGAGAGCAAAATGGGGAGGAGAACGGAAGTATCCACAAGAAGCAGAAGGTGGAAGAGAAGTATGTGAAGGATGAGAGATTGGAGAAGAAAGATGAAGGAAACGGATCGGGTCTGGTCAAGAGTTGGGTCGAAAGAAGTTCGTTTTCTCATGTGGAGATGTTCGATGACTTCAACAAACTGTTGCGTTTTTGGCGGAATAATCTCGATCTCAGCAAGATAAAGAGATATGGTCATATGTGTTTTGTGGTTTTTAAGATTCTAAAGTTTGCATCATTTCCTTATAACTATTGTGTGAAAATCTCTCCCAATTGTTCAGTCAAAAAGGTGCTAATGTGCCATACTTTAAGCCCTTTAGTTAAAAGTGTGACCCTCTTAAACTTTTTTTCTCCAGATAAAACTTTTTACCTTTGGAGTTTGATAGTTTTTTATCGCATAACTGTAGCTTCCAATTCGCACTCACAATTAGTTTACGTGTATCTTCTTCAATTAATGCACTTATTGAAGCTATTGAATACTTCACTACTAATTTAGCTACAAAATTTTGTGACATTTTTTATGAACGATAAATTTGTAACTTCTTTATTAGCAGCAAATTTTAATCACGATTCTTCGAATTTGCCTCTCTAATTCTGATGTCAAATAGACCCACAATCAGAAAATGTTTCTAAATTATATATTTTAATATTTACTAATTTTAAATTCAATGTTAAACTAAAACCCAATAAAATTCGATTGGTCGTTATTTAGAGACAAAAATAGAAAATAATATGTGGCTAATCAACAGTTAACAAGAAAAAGGTATGTTTTCTTTAGAATTAATCATTAAGAGAAAAGAAATAATCCTAGCCTAACAGATCTAATTATTGGCAAGTTTATTCGGTTCACCATATAAAACAAATGTACTAACAATCAATTGGAAACTATTATATATATGTGCGTGTGTGTGTGTGTTTTACGTATTGGGTTGGTTTTCCGCAATAAAAACAAGAAAACGTTTCTTTGGAGAGAAAAATCACAATGTCTTCATCCAAAATTGCTATCTTTTGTATCGTCCTCGTTTCCCTCGCTACTCTTCACGAATGTACGTCATATAACAAGTTTTGGTTCTAACAAGTTTGGCTCTTTGATTTCTCTAGAAGAAGAAGAAGTTTCATCGGATTCTGACATAGCGACGGAGTCCATGGATCTTATGACGCCTTTTGGGAAAAGAATTCTTAGAGAAAGACCAGTTAAACCAACAACGAAGGCTAAGGAGATGCACTGGCAGTTAACGGCTCGCGGACGTGGAAATCGCGGACGTGGGCGTGGAGGAAGTGGCTAGTGGTATCCTATTAGTCCTAAAGTTAATCGAAGCGGAAGATTCGGTTGTTTCTGGTTCTTTAAATGATCCTCTCTTTTTCTCTATTTGTAATCTGTTTACAAAAAACTGTATGACTATGGTCATGGCTTCTGTATCTTTTTTTAATAATAATAATTTAAAAAAAAAAGAAAAATGTACGTCATATATATAATTTATGTTTCGTTCATCATTTATCATCATTATAACCACATATCCACCAAAATCTTTTCATATTGTTTGTATGTAGGTTTCCTGCAGAAAATTTTCAAAGATGACCTGTTAAGAAATCCTTTCACAGGGCAAAAGGCAAAACGCGTACCGTGCTATCCAGTAAAAGGAAAGAAGTTTAAGTGCAATACAGGTCTCGCTATTGAGGACATCATAGTAGACACCCCCGAAAAATGTTGGAACGAGTGTGCAACAATTAACAGCGAATACGTCTATGGGAAGCCATAGACTATGGCTGAACAAATTTGAAGAAAAGTACATGCAGATGATTTCATACGTTTACTCATAAAACAATAGTAGTAAATATTATTTTTCAAGTGATCACTTCACCAAATACAATCACGCCTACGTTATTTTTGCTTGATATGTTATAGCTTTGAAAGTCTTATGTAATTAATATGCAGTTACTATAACTTTTTCCATTTTTTTCATTTGCCATTCATTTTTGTTTGTCAGGAATATTAATCAGTATTTAATTATATAATTTGAAAGTCATTAATATCTGTTCTTATTGAGTTCAAATACTTTTATTTACCAAAAATAATAATGATTTAAATATCTTGTAAAATTCATTTAAATCATGTGTTATTCGAGTTATTGGTTTACTGATTGGAAAAAGAAAAGAAAAAAATATGTAATTAAACACAACTTAGGTATATATTACAAAGTTTTAAACTTTGATAAAATTTGACAAAAAAAAGGGTTGACGGCCAAAGCCCCTATACTTGTTCCGTTTAAATCCACATGTACTTTTAGCATTTGTCGAGTTACCCATAATCTTTTTTTTTTGTCTATTTACCCAAATTCAATTAAAACTGAGATTGCGATCAATTCACTAAAATCGTGTTTTAGGCAGATTGCGTTTTGGAGGGAAAAAAAAACAATTTGTTTGGGAGTAAATATGCAAAGCTATATGTTTCTAATTGCAATCATACTAAAAATATATATATATATTTAGTTATATACCATACATTTACGTTACAGTAGTAAGCATAATGATAAACTTTATATGCACAATTTTTTAATTATGAGAAAAGAAATCAACCCAATAGAATTAGTCAAATTTTCGTAATTAATGATTTTTATTTAGTCAAATGATTAACTACAGGTTTTAAGAAATCAAATTACTCCAATGGATTCCCTTACGAAAGAGGAACAATAATTAGAAACTCCTATACTGTTTAAATGTAGCCGGGATTTGACCATCAGTCCATCAGATAACAAAACCTTTTTTTTGGGGGGAGCAGAATCATCGCAATGTCGTCATCCAGTTTTGCTATCTTTTGCCTCATCTTCGTTTGCCTCTTTGGTCTTCATGAATGTAAGTATATATGCATATCAGCATATATACATGTATATATGCATATGTACTTTAGGTTTTCTTCATCAATTGAATATTCTAGACGTTCCCTGATTTCCTACGAATTAGTTTGACTTATGACTCATCTTTAGCAAATTCGGATATTAAAATATAATAATATATACAGATACTGTACTTAAAGTAATTTACAGAAACCGTCTTCAAATGTTTGCATGATTGGATCAATAAATATCTACAAAAAAAAAAAGCAAAATGGATTGAACCGGATAGGTTTAGTGAAAACTGATATGATGTAAAACAAGTTAGTTTACTCGAAGGCTTAAACCCGTAAAAAAATAAAGAACGAAACCTTCATACGAGTTAAAAATGGCGGAGCAACAAGCCAACAAGAGATTGTTTTTTTTTTTTTTTTTTGATAGATCCTATCGGCTTCCGGTTAGCCCCGGGAGGAACGCACTAAGGTGCTACAAAGTGGACTCATCCTAAGAACTACCACACTGCCTATTCCGAGTTTGGAGTGCCTTCCCACTAATATCAGGGGGTAATCAGGCCGCATGCATTTCTAATTACCAGGTAAACCAATTGGGTCTAGGCCCAACTGACAGACTTCCCACACAAATGTGATTTTGTTTCCAGGGAGGATCGAACCCGGGTCTGGGAGTTTCACCCTTCACCAAGGCTTCCCCTTACCACTGGACCACAAGAGTGCGGGCAACAAGAGATTGTTGATCAGGGAGAGAGGAACAAGACATGCAACTCGAATTAGGGAGAGAGCAAAATGGGGAGGAGAACGGAAGTATCCACAAGAAGCAGAAGGTGGAAGCGAAGTATGTGAAGGATGAGAGATTGGAGAAGAAAGATGAAGTAAACGGATCGGGTCTGGTCAAGTTAGGTCGAAAGAAGTTCGTTTTCTCTGTGGAGATGTTCGATGACTTCAACAAACTGTTGCGTTTTTGGCGGAATAATCTCGATCTCAGCAAGATAAAGAGATATGGTCATATGTGTTTTGTGGTTTTTAAGATTCTAAAGTTTGTACGATTACCTTATAACTACTGTGTGAAAATCACTTCCACTTGTACAGTCAAAAAGGTGCCATCCTTTAAGCCCTTTAGTTAAAAGCGTGACCCTCTTAAACTTTTGTTCTCCAGATAAAACTTTTTACCTTTGGAGTTTGATAGTTTAATTGCATAACTGTAGCTTCCAATTCGCACTCACAATTAGTTTACGTGAATCTTCGAAGATTACTGCCCTAATCAAATAAAATATAAAGCTACAGCTATTGAATAATTCACAACTAATTTAGCGACAAAATTTTGTGACATTTTTTTATCAGCGATAAATTTGTAACTTTTCATTAGCAACAAATTTTATTCTGCGAATTTCCCTCTCTATTTCTGACGTTAAAATAAGGACAAATTTGCCTCTCTAATTCTGATACCAAATAGACCACACAATCAGAAAATGTTTGTAAGTTATATATTTTAATATCTTCTAATTTTAAATTCAGTGTTAAACTAAAACCCAATAAAAATTGGATTGGTTGTTATCTAGATACAAAAGATAGAAAATAATCTGCGGCTAATTCGCAGTTAACAAGAAAAAAGTATGTTCTCTTATAGAATCAATCATTAATTTCTGAAAGATAAAAGAAATAATCATAGCCTCACAAATCTAATTATTGGGGTGTGTGTGTGTGTGTGTGTGTGGGTTGGGGGTATATATATATGTGTGTGTGTTTTACGTATAGGGTTGGTTTTCCGCAATAAAAACAAGAAAACGTTTTTTTGGAGAGAAAAATCACAATGTCTTTATCCAAAATTGCTATCTTTTGTATCGTCCTCGTTTCCCTCGCTAATCTTCACGAATGTACGTCATATATAATTTAGGTTTCGTTCATCATTTATCATCATACTAACCACATATCCACCAAGATCTTTTCATTATGTAGGTTTCCTGCAGAAAATTTTCAAAGATGACCCGTTAAGAAATCCTTTCACAGGGCAAAAGGCAAAACGCGTACCGTGCTATCCAGTAAAAGGAAAGAAGTTTAAGTGCAATACAGGTCTCGATATTGACGACATCATAGTAGACACCCCCGAAAAATGTTGGAACTATTGTGCAACAATTAACAGCAAATACGTCTATGGCTGAACAAATTTGAAGAAGTACATGCAGATGATTTGTAAAAGATTACTCATAGAACAATAGTAGTAAATATTATTTTTCAAGTGATCACTTCACCAAATACAATCACGCCTACGTTATTTTTGCTTAATATATGTTATAGCTTTGAAAGTCTTATGTAATTAATATGCAGTTACTATAACTTTTTCCATTTTTTTTCATTTGCCATTCATTTTTGTTTGTCAGAAATATTAATCAGTATTTAATTATATAATTTGAAAGTCATTAATATCTGTTCTTATTGAGTTCAAATACTTTTATTTACCAAAAATAATAATGATTCAAATATCTTGTAAAATTCATTTAAATCATGTGTTATTCGAGTTATTGGTTTACTGATTGGAAAAAGAAAAAAAAAAATCTGTAACTAAACACAACTTAGGTATATTACAAAGTTATAAACTTTGATAAAATTTGACAAAAAAGGGGTTGACGGCCAAAGCCCCTTATACTTGTTCCGTTTAAATCCACATGTACTTTTTACCGTTTGGTAAATCCATAATTTTTCTTTACTAGTTTTTGTATATAAATAATTTAATGATAAAGTAATTCTTTATGAAATTACTAAACGGTTACCAAACGGTTTGTTGTAAGAAAATGTTGAAGTCAATGAGCAGCAGCGACGACCACCTGGTGTCCCTGATCGTATCTTCCACCGGAAAATCCCATCTCCGGCAGATTCACGCCGTCTTACTCCGCACTTCCTTAATCAGAAACTCGGACGTTTTCCACCACTTCCTCTCCCGTCTCGCTCTCTCCCTCATCCCCCGAGACATCAATTACTCGCGTCGGGTTTTCTCCCAGAGGACTAACCCAAGCGTCTCTCACTGCAACACCATGATCAGAGCTTTCTCCGTCAGCGAAACTCCCGGCGAAGGTTTCCGCTTGTTCCGAGCTCTCCGACGACGGAAAAGCTCCTCTCTTCCCGCTAACCCTCTCTCGTCTTCCTTCGCCCTCAAATGCTGCATCAAATCAGCCGACTTGCTCGGCGGTTTGCAGATCCACGGGAAGATCGTCACCGATGGGTTTCTCTCCGACAGTCTCCTCTTGACGACTCTGATGGATCTCTACTCAACCTGCGAGAAAAGCAATCACGCCTGCAAAGTGTTCGACGAAATTCCCAAGAGAGATACAGTTTCTTATAACGTCCTGATCTCGTGCTTTCTCCGTAACAAACGCACAAGAGACGCTCTGTTTCTCTTCGATAAGATGAAGAAGAACGAAGAAGTCGATGGATGTAGCAAACCAGACAACGTAACGTGCTTACTAGCTCTCCAAGCTTGCTCCAGCTTAGGCGCGTTGGATTTCGGTGAAAAAGTTCACGACTTTATCGAAGGAAACGGACTCGGCGATGCGTTGAATCTGAACAACACTCTGGTTTCGATGTACTCGCGATGCGGGTCTATGGATAAGGCTTACAAGGTCTTCAATCGAATGCGTGAGAAGAACGTTGTCTCATGGACGGCTATGATCTCGGGTTTAGCGATGAACGGATTCGGGAGAGAAGCCATTGAAGCTTTCGAAGAAATGTTGAAGCTTGGAGTCTCTCCAGAGGAACACACACTCACCGGTTTGTTGTCAGCGTGTAGCCATTCGGGTTTGGTCGACGAAGGAATGATGTTTTTCGATAGGCTTAAGAGCGGCGAGTTTAAGATGAAGCCGAATGTGCATCACTATGGCTGCATGGTCGACCTCTTAGGACGTGCACGTCTACTTGATAGAGCGTACGATCTTATTAAATCGATGGAGATGAAGCCGGACTCGACCATTTGGAGAACACTTCTCGGTGCTTGCAGAGTGCAAGGAAATGTTGAGCTTGGGGAGCGTGTGGTCTCTCATCTAGTCGAGCTCAAAGCCGAAGAAGCTGGAGATTACGTTCTGTTACTCAACACATACTCTTCCGTTGGGAAATGGGAGAAAGTGACTGAAGTGAGATCGTTGATGAAGGAGAAGAGACTCTTTACCAAACCGGGATGCAGTGTGATCGAGCTGCAAGGAACTGTTTATGAGTTTGTCGTAGACGATGTTTCGCATCCGCGGAAGGAAGAGATCTATGGGAAGCTTGCGGAGATCAACCAGCAGCTGAAGATTGCGGGTTATAAGGCTGAAACGGCGTCGGAGTTGCATAATCTTGATTCGGAAGAAGAGAAGGGATGTGCGTTGACGTACCATAGCGAGAAGCTGGCGATTGCGTTTGGTATTCTTGTGACACCACCAGGAACGACCATTAGAGTGACCAAGAATCTTAGGACTTGTGTTGATTGTCATAATTTCGCGAAGTTTGTGTCTGGTGTATATGATCGTGTCGTGATCGTTAGAGACCGTTCTCGGTTTCATCATTGTAAAGACGGGTCTTGCTCTTGTAATGATTTTTGGTGATGATACTATTGATACTCGGTCACTTTCAACAGTTCATGGATTTATTAAACTAGGAAGAAGACCAAAGTCATGTTTCTAAAGACCAATTGAGAACAAACACATCATTAGTCAATCCAACTATGAGCCTTTTTAAAGTGCATAAAAATGAGAATAAAGAGACTAAAAGAGACTACATACATTAACTGCGACGAAGTTAAAGCTATAGCTACAGATGCCAACTTCTTGAACTAGCGTCTGATACTTGTCTCCCACGTCAGTGGAATTTGGAGAGACAGTGGCTGTGTTCAAACAAGCAGCATTCTTTAGAACATGTGTTGCCATCAACATTTAGTAATTGGACACAAGTCAAGATGAACAAGCTGGTTGAAGATCATACCAGAAGGATGCATAATCTGATTTATATAGAGCAAGATAAGTAACATGTTGAGAGGATTAATAATAATGTATGTACAAAGATTTGTTATTACCTCTGAAAGTGATAAACATAGAGAAAGGCGTGGGACACAAGTAAGAGCTCCCAGATATTTCTGAGTAACTCCATGAGTAATGTCAGGCATATTGGATAGTTAATAATCTTTGTAAGAGAATTAGAATGATAATATATGCCTTAATCTTCTGGTTTGTAAACTCTTAAAAACGCAAACAGTTACCTCTTGAAAACGTAAACTAGAAATTCATAATAATGGATCAATTCTTAAAAGCCGTTGAGAAAGTAAAAAAATAAACTCACGAACACAAGACTCTTGACAACAAAACAAAAAGTATAGACACAAACATGTTGTTAAAGATAGGTAACGCCTTCACCGTCGATAACATGTCCAATGCGATATGCAACATAGTCGCCATTCTCAGCTTCTCCTAATATCCTCAAAGCCGCCTCCGGACTCACCACCATTACCATCCCAATTCCCATATTAAACGTCCTTCTCATCTCACTGTCTTCTACATTCCCATACTATATAACAATAACCACACAAAAAGAAACAGCCATACATTAATAACCATCATATTCTTGTTTATGTTGATTATGATTCTCTCTAATTAATTACCTTTTGAATAAAACTGAACAAAGGTGGAAGTTCCCAAGCATCGGTGTGAACAACAACACCCAAACCATCAGGCAAGACTCTTGGAATGTTGTCGGTGAAACCTCCTCCTGTTATATGAGCCATCCCCTTCACTCCTCCTTGGTCGATCATCTCAAGTACCTGTGAATGTGAATACGTTATGGGAATGAATAATGAAACTTTTTCTAGACCAAAACAAGAAACAAACAAACCTGTTTCACGTAAATGACAGTAGGTGCCATTAGAGCTTCACCAAGGGCTATTGATCCACCTGGAAGTTGATCTTTCAGTGAAAAACCACTTTCAGCCACTACCCTACAAAACGTTTGAATGAAGATTAGTGACAATACTAAACTACATTAACCTCACTCAGATTATTTTCACTAACATATACATACCTTCTTGCTAAAGAATAACCATTGGAATGAAGACCGCTAGAAGGAAGACCAATAAGAACATCTCCAGCCACAATGTTCTTGCCGTCTATAACAGAATCTTTCTTGACTTCACCGTATGCACACCCAACGAGATCGTACTCGCCCTCAGCATAAAAGCCAGGCATCTCTGCGGTCTAAAAATGAAAACAAAAAAATCCTGAGAAGTAGTCAAGAGCTAGATCATTAGGTCTTAACTGTAAGAAATATATAGATATATATACCTCTCCTCCTTTGAGGCCATATGTACAGCCGGATAGCTCACAACCATCAACAATCCCCTTAATGACCTAAAAAAATCAGAGCATCATATGTTTTTAATTTATTCAACATCAAGAAAGATCAAAGGAGAAAGGGATGGAGATGGAGAAGCAATATAATAAATGGTACCGTTTCTGCAAGGTCTACATCGAGATGGCCACAACCATAGTAATCAAGGAAAGCTAAAGGCTTTGCACCACAAGTAACAATATCATTCACACTCATTGCGACCTGTAAAGTAAAACCATGATGAATTCAGGATTAAAGAAAAGAAAAACACTAAAGTCCCAACTTCGTTACCAAGTCGATTCCAACGGTTTCATGCATTCCCGTCTCAAATGCTATTTTCAGTTTGGTCCCTACACCATCCATACCAAATACGGAATAATAAGAATCACCTGCTCAAACAAGAAAAGGCCACACACACACTCATTAGAACGCAAACGAAGACACTCAAACATTAGGGTGAAATTTTTGCAGTTTTGTAATATGTGTCTATACCTCGTGGAATGAGACCACTGAATCCGCCAATCCCGGGAGACATCTTTGCGATTCGTCTAACGAGCTCAGCCCCAGCATCGATATCCACACCGGAATCTTTGTAAGTGAAACCACCGGTGCCGTCATCCTTCTTGGACATCGACAAAACAGGAGATGCCCTTCTTGTTGTTCTTCTCGTTGCAATCGAGGAAGGTTTCGGTGACGATGCAATGGAGGAGAAACGGCATCGATTGGCGACGGAATTGGAGGAGACGAAAGAAGCCTTGTGCATCATCTGGGATTCCATGGCCTGAGCAGAGAAACAAGCGTTGGGTAAAACTTTCAAGCCAACAAGAAAAGAATAAACGGTTGAAAGAAAAACTAAGCCTGAGAGACTGAAAAGCTCATGCGACGTCGTCGGAAGGCACCTGAAGGGTTTTGGTGTCTAGAGAGAATGAGATTTTTAAAACCCTAGTACACTACTAGTATCCCGTAAATTTGTTTGTTTTTTAACTCTACCGTGATTTTTTTTACGTTAATGTATATCACCGTGATTTCCGTGTTGTGATATGCATTGTTAATTAAAAAATTGATTTAAAGTTTCTCTGTTTGTATCTGTTTGTTTTAAGTAACAAAATATCACTATATCAGTTATGTATATACCGTCAGGACCTCACACATCAACGTTTTAATATTATTTCCATAAATTCGTTTTCAACGTTTCAACATCAACTTCAATCTAGGCCTCTCTTTTTTTTCCGCTCATAAATTCATAAGCGTTTTTCTGTTCATGATTGATTTTCTTTTCTCCTTGCAAAGGTAAAGCGCACGACCTCGAGTGTCTTCGCTGGGTTTTTTGGTGGCCTTTTTCAGGATTCGTCGAATCGTTTAGATGTAATACCTACATTCCATCAAACTTTTGAATCTGCCTTTGTGGCTGTTCGATATTTGTGCATTTGTGGCTGTTCTTCTGAATCTGATATTTTGCGTCTTTTGTGCAATTGTTCTTAAGATTCTGAAATTTTCTGCTTTGTTGTTTGATTGAGATTGGGAATTTGAGAGCGTTATATGTATTATTCACTGATATATGAATCAATCTTGTTCACTTCTCCTGTAGCTAGTTTCGTTTATCCTTGTGAACACAGGCGAAACGCAAAAATGGCAAGCCAAGAGGCAGAATCTGAATCGCAGTCAAGAACGGGAAAAAAACATAAACAATCAGTTTGGATTCATGAAAATAAATCTGATATTTCATATCTATGTAATCCATACATGCATTATGCATATAGAAGATCAATCTCGAGAGAACTTACTAGTGAAATGGAACGTCCTGCTCGTTAAGGAAGACTACTGAACTCAAAATCTCTTTCCAATAAGAAACAAAAAGTTGCCAATTACAAAACTAACTTTTAAACTTTCAACATTATCTATGTTGCTTTTTACAAACGGTAAGTTCAATGTTCTTTGAAATGAATAACCGAATAGCTAATCTCTAGCAATATTTTTGTGATGGAGATCAAACATATCTGTAGGGCATATTCTAATTAGACAATGAAATATTTTAGAAGAAAAATATTGTTAATTTGCTCGAAAAAACCACAAACTTTTTAAGCTTCCAACATAACGTACAACACCTTCGATCAGATTAAACTCATTCAACGAGTCCAACACCCATAAAAAGAAACACAAACAAATTACAGAAAAAGCAAATCATAACCACAAAGAAATTATCATAAAGTTTCAGATTCATAAGATTTGTTGTTTAATCGAAGGGTTATGGATAACAGTTGCACAAAGACAATAGGCAGTTTCAGTGATGATCAAAATCGAATCGAATTGAACAGTTTCACAACGATCGAAGGGAGATCCAAAAATCCTTCAATTGTATTTAAGAATTTTTCCATTTTAAAAACTACAAAACCAAATAGAAATTGGGTTTAGAGTGATAAATCCACTGTTGTCCAAAAAAAAAAAAAAAGTGATTAATCCACTTAAAGTTTCCATAATGTTGTTAATAAATATCGATGTTGTTGTTAAAGTTTCCATAATGCTCGAATAGAGACGGTTCCCTATTTCATCATTTCAAAGTAGGCATTTACAGTTTTCAAAACTTTAAAATTTTATCATGATTTTTTTGGCAGCTAATAACACCAAAATGTGTGCTGGTTACGATGATTCTGCAAAGTTTTGATCTGTCGTGTATGGATGTTAGACACCATTCATGTATTCATTATATTTATACACCATTCATGTTTTCATCATTTTAAATGTGGGTCTTGCCTTTGGTGATGTTTCACAAAAAAATGCTTCAATCTCATCAACCATCATGTCTCAAAAATCTCCAAACCGAAGCTAATACATTCTTTTATTCTACAACAAGAAAAATATTTCGCCGATGCAAGAAAGATAACAAAACAAAAACAAAACTCAGAATCATCAGAAAGAAAAATGTTATTAGCTTAAATAAAACCATGCCTTTCAAACGAAAATCGAAGATCTAGTTAGCAGGTTTGTTTGCAAATGCAACACCCTTCTCAATGCTTGCTTTCAGCTCTACCTTAAGAGCTTCCAACGCCTTCTCCTCATACTCAGTCAATCCCTGGAGATCAGACTCAATCACAGCTTCAAGCCCATTCCTCCCAAGCTTAACCCGCGACGCAAAGAAAGGGAGATCCGTCAACGTCGACTCCACAAACGAGCACTCGTAGACATCTCCATCTCCATCAAGAGCACGAAGAGACGACTCCACAAATCTCGCTGCAGCATACGCCATCGACAGAGTAGCCGAACCAGCACCCGCCTTAGCATCAACAACCTCTGTCCCAGCGTTCTGGATCCTAACCGTCAGTTCTTGAATCTCTTCCTCAGTGAAGTTCACAGACGGTTTGGTCTTCGAGAGCAGAGGCAAGATGGTGATACCGGCGTGACCACCGATCACCGGAACGTCAACATCAATGAGCTTAAGGTTCTTCTTCTGAGAAACAAAAGTGTTTGCTCTCACAACATCCAAAGTAGTGACACCAAAGAGCTTCTTGGGATCATAAACTCCTTTCTTCTTCAAAACCTCAGCAGCAATCGGCACGGTGGAGTTAACCGGGTTGCTGATGATGTGGATGAACGCGTTGGGGCAGTTATCAGCGACAGCTTCGACGAGCGTCTTGACAATGTTGGCATTGATGTTGAAGAGGTCGTCTCGGGTCATACCGGGCTTTCTCGGTACACCGGCGGGGATAACCACAACGTTGACGTCTTTCAAACAATCTGCCAGCTCAGAAGGACCGGTGAAGTCACGGACCTGAGACGGCGTGTTGCAGTGGCTCAGATCAGCGGCGACTCCTCTGACGTTGGCGATGTCGTAGAGGTGAAGCGTGGAGACTAAAGGAGACATCTTTATAAGAAGTGACAATGGCTGACCGATTCCTCCGGCAGCGCCGAGAACGGCGACTTTGTACGAAGCGTTGATTTTGAAACCGTATGGTGTCTTGTCAGATGTTTGGGATTTCATTACAGAACCGCCGCGAAGAGTGGCTTTGTTGAGAGAATCGTGTCCGGAGATGAGAGACGATGATCTTAGGCTGGTGAAGGTAGGGACTGAGTGAAAGTTTACAGCTTTGGATCTGGAATGTGGTAAGGAGCTGGCTCTGGCTCTAGACGAGTAAGCAACAGTTGAAAACGAAGAAGCTGCTGTTGCTGCCATTTTTGTGTTTCCTCTGTTTTCACAAAGATGAATGAAAAGTGAGGAAGATTGATTCATAATAACACTACCAAATTCCCAAATCCCAAATCTGAGGCGAAACAGCAAAACACTCAATCAAACAAGGAAGCAGAAACCCTAATTCAAGAGAGACAGTAAAACCAGATCTAAATCGTAAGATTTTTCCAGGGGAATCAACTCTAACAAGATTCAGAGAATGGCAAATCGTAAATCTAGGAACGGAAAATCTGATTCCAGAGATGATATGTTCAATACAAATCAAGAACGAAAAAGAAAAAACGTGAATTGAGAATCTAACCTTTGAGAAAACTTCAAGAAGAGAGAGAGAGAGAGAAGACGGTTTTGCGAGTGAGTGAAAGAGAGAAAATGTGAGATTTAGGTGACGATGTAGGGAAGAAAACAAAACTTATTTAAAAATTAAAATAAAAATAAATAAAAGAGAGAAAACAGAGGAATATTAATTTGATTCGAGATCTCTGTTTCGGCTGTCTCGTTGGATCCGCCAAGAGTTGATGCGAAATTGAGAGTGCGACTTTTAGTAGTGTCCGTACGACACCCAAACGAAGCGTTAACCCTTATGTAACACGGCTCTTCTCTCAACTTTCTTTTTGTTGATAGTGATTAACTGATTATTAACTTCTTTTTAACTGATTATTTGAACAAAATCACTAGAACCGGTTATAAAAAAAGTCATTAAGATAAAAAAAGACCACCGGGATAACGAAACCAAAAATCATGTAATGTTCTCTTGGAGACTTGTAAATTTGTAATGTTTCTTTCTCTCGAAAAATGTTACATTGTTAAGCAGTGACATATCTTGGAAAGTCAAAAGTTTTTTTTCCATGTCTTGTTGATACAGAATATCATTATAAGCATTTCAAAATATCTCAAATTGTCTAATTTACACATACACTACCATCATTATCTCCGTCTATATCTCCAACAAAACCGTCTCTCATTTACACCCATGTTGTAATTGTGTATAGGGTCAATAAGTTTATTGTTAAAAGTGTCCTTCAAAGATTGAAACATAATGCTGCCTCCAAGATTTGATGATCACAAAAAGCAAAGTTGGTCCCTGAGACTCTTGACCTTACACATTTCATGCCAATTTGTCATTCTTTAGCAGCCTCAAACGCATCAGGCATTCTCTTTTCAGACATAGAGATAACCCATTATTTCCCAACTTTCGAAGCAATTTGCATGTAAATTCTCAATCAACAAAACCCACCAGCAATGTATAAATTGAAGGCTTTAAAGGCTACTCTTGTTGATGCTAATAGAGTTTGAACAAACTTCTTGGCCGTCACACATAAAGCACTCAATGCTTAAGCAGAAGCAGATTTAACTTTCTAGCCTGCCCAACTAATTCTCATGTCGGTCCTTGTATGAATGCTTCACAAATACCTTCTCTAGCCAAAACCTTAGTTCAGCCGAGATAGTTATAGTTGATACGCCAACAGTTTTAAATTATTGTAAAAAAACAAATAAAAAAGGGAAGAGTTTAGAAGTGTGAGAAAACCGGCTTGATTTTCAAGAGTTACATAGATGAGCATGAATAAAGTAGATGAGGGACTTAAGTGAGTTTGAAGTGGCACTTGGATGGAAATGAAACTCCAACAAGGTGAAAAAGCAGAGGACTCGACAACACTAGTTTCCAAAACATCGGCGCACCGTGTTTTGTTTTTATTAGAAATCTTTCAAGATGTTTACACACTCTCAAACTGGAATTAAACACAGCCTAAGACAACCCTTAGCTTGTAACCAGTTAATTCCTAATCTACACTAAACACACACTAACTACAGAGTTAATGCTGTGTTTCTAAACACCGATCTGCAATAAATGCCTTAACGGTTTAACAACAAGAACATAAAGCTTATCCGTAACTTTTGTTCTCTAAACGGCTGATCTTTAGAACGCCTCCTTTCTCCGTATTTATATCACTCGAAAGACACGGCTTCTAGGTCTTGGGATCTGTCCGTACGAGTCCACCTCAGCACTCAAGACACATCATTAAAATGTTCCAAGTGTAACTTGTTCAGCTGAACATCCTTCGTGTTCCAACACTCTGTTTGTTGTTCCAGCAACTCTCCAAGTTCAGGCTTCACAGCTTCACACCAATACATTCGAGACAGTACTTTCAATCTCCCCCTTTTTGACTGAATATGTCAATCCAAGCTTTCCTGCAAAGCGAACAGGCATACAACAGCAATATATGCACACAAGAAAACCAAGAGGAAGGAAGAGCTGAACCATAAACAAGCTTCTTAACATTTAGTTTTAAAAGGATAAGGTTCACAAAAAAACAATCTTAACAATCTCACACTCTCACAAAAAACGACAATTGAACAGAGAGACATGAAGATTGTACAAGCCGCTTACACCGAAAAAAACAATTAGTACAACCACTTAGCTAACTCCCCCTAGACCTTAGCACCCCAAAACGAAAACTACTCCTTTCAAGGGGATTTCTCTCCACTAAGCTCCGCTTGAGACTTATCGAAAGCAGAACCAAGCAAAGCTTCACCATAATCTCCCCCTGCTTGGATGCATATTTCAGTTAAAAACTCAACTAAGAGAGAGAAGCAACCACACAAAACAAATGGAGGAGGAACCAACCTTCAAAGCGTTTGGCGATGTCAAGAAGGAGAGTTGATGTATGCCTCAAGTCTGCAATGAGAGAGCGTCCAAAAACAAATGCTGGAGCAGGGGTCTGCTGTCTGACATGTCCACGTCGGTCATCAAGTTGGAACTCAGCAAGCGGAGGCACCATGTGTTCATTCGCAACAGAGAGAATCTCTTTTTGAAAGCGGAGCACTTGATAGATGAGAGACGGGAAGGGAACGATCCCTTTGACCGTCATTGTCACGGCGACAGCCTTGATTTGATCGTAGACAAGCTTTCCAAAGTTGAATGGAATCCTGTTGGCTAGCTTGTACAGAAGTTTAGCGCGATCTTTGGTGACATTGGTGTTATTCGAAGACGGCATCCAGTTGTAGCAGCAGATCCCATAGAGATGACCCATTTCCGGAGTGAGCATTGAGGTATTGAACTTAGTCCAATGATGAATACGATCGCCGGTGAGGTACTGAACGAGAGCGTGATCCGAAATATCCAGATGAAATTCAGATGTAGTATGAGCCGGGATGTCAGGAGTGTTGAACGTTTTGTTAATAATCGCCGGCGAGAATTCATACATTTTGCCACGAACATAAATCAAATCCGGTCTCTCCGTCCTAACCGTGCTGGTGAGATGTGCGTAGACTTCATACACCACATTTGGATAGAACACTTCCCGATCACTCACAGTGAGTAACAGCCCATTTTCTTCAATGATATCCATGATTCCTTTACTCTCCGGTGTTGAGAAAAACACAGATTTTTCAGGATAAATAGAGCGATGTTGAATCTTGAAGAACCTAGACTGACAGTGTTGGTTGAGAAAACGGAAACTGAGAGGATTGTCCGGCCGAGCGAACTGAGACGGAAATTGTTCCTCCAGAGTCTCTGTGTGGCGGCGGTAAGCATGACGCCTAGCCTCGGCATTTGACAGGAGTCGCTGTTCACGAATGCGGTTCCAAATTGCTAAAGATTCAGCACTTGATGGAACCGACCCATTCTCAGTTGGGGCAGCAGCAGATCTCTCCGGCGAGTGTACTGGAGAGGTCTCAGAAGAAGAGATTTCCTCCGGAGAAGACCTCGAGGCTCGAAAAGAAGGACGGTCGTGGTTTTGTTTGCTCCGCTTCTCGGCGGCCGCTCGTTTCACTTGACTACGAGTGCGATTTCGAATCATCGTGCAACAATGGCGACGGCGGCGATTTTGGGTTCAGAGAAAGAACAAAGTGAACTTTCCCTTTGAAGTCGTGAAGACTAAAAAATGAACTTTCGCTTTATTGCTCTGAAGTCTCTGAAGTTTAGAAGAACCATACATTTTACCCGAAACTTCCAAGAGAGATCAGAAGGACCTGAATCCTGCAGTCAAAATCTAACAAAAAGCTCACAGAAACACATCAGTGCACACAAGTTATATAACCCAGAAAGCAAAGACAACAACACACAAAAGATTCCTGACAAGGACGATCAAATTTTTGAAGGAAAAAAAACGACACCAAATGCCAAACCAACATTTTGATCAAACCCCTGGAAAAAAAAACACTTGAGAACTGGGCAGAATCACCTTCGTTGAAGCAGAAGATGAGGAACTTGGTCCACCTTCGTCTGCACAGAGAGGAGATGATGTGTTTCCTTTCCCCCCTTTTTAAAAAAAAAAATATAAAGATGTACATCTTGTTGGAACACGCAGCTTGTTGTTCCAACATGGCAGCTATTTCTCATACTGAGGAGCTTTCACACATGCTGATCCTTCGCAGGTAGCTAACACACTGACATATCCATAGAGAAGACAAGTGTGAATGAAGCAGGGGAGTTTTAGCGCAGGCCAGAGGACACCAAAACTGATCCAACATCTTGATTAGAGCTTTTAGGAGAATAATGCAAGTTGATCAGACTTTGATGTCCTGGTGATATAGAGAGAATCACCTGAGGACTTATTTGCCTCTGACATGGAGACAAGCCATCTTCGTTTTTTTTTTTTTTTTTTTTTTTTTATATTTTTTTTTTAACGAAGATGCTCCATGTCAATTTCATAGATAAGCTCAGCTTCATCTTATGAGATGTGTTGTTTCTTACTGCTCCTTTCTGCAACAACATCTCTTCCTTTGCAAGAACCACCCATTTGGTTTTGTGTTCATTTCTCACCACACAACACTGCATTCACACTTGTCAAGTCTTGAGGACATGGAAGGCAGCTCTCTCCCACGATAGACTTAACAACAAGAGGGTTTTGAGGTCAAGGACAGTAAGTACATTTCCTGAAAACCAACTCAAAAACCAGAAAAGGAAAAAAAAAACACAACAGATTCCCACTGTACAAACGAAACCTGTTCCAAAAAACCACTTGCAACAAAGAGGATTAGAGTTCACAAACACCCAAACATTTTTGTAAATGTACAAACGTGTTTAGATCCAGGGGTTTAGTGAAAATATCAGCAAGTTGACACTCAGATGAGACATGTTCTATCACCACTTGTTTAGCTTCCACTAATTCTCTTATGAAATGATGACGAGTATCAATGTGTTTAGTTCTAGAATGCTGCACAGGGTTTTTTGAGATGCTAATGGCACTTTCATTATCACATTTTGCAAGTAAGGGTTCAGAAATCATACCATAGTCATAGCCCATTTGTCGCATCCACAAGAGTTGAGTGCAACAGCTACCAAGTGCAATATATTCAGCCTCAACAGTAGAGAGAGAGACACAATTTTGTTTTCTACTGTGCCAAGATATGAGATTGTTGCCGAGAAAAAAACATCCACCGGAGGTGCTTCTCCGATCATCTACAGAGCCTGCCCAATCTGAATCACTGTAACCCACAAGATTCTGGTTGGTGTCTCGAGTGTAGCGCAAACCGTAGTTGATAGTGCCTTTCACATACTTGATTATCCGTTTCACAGCCGAGAGATGAGACTCCTTTGGATTTGCTTGGTATCTTGCACAAAGACCAACACTTAGACACAAGTCTGGTCTGCTTGCCGTGAGATAGAGAAGGCTGCCTATCATCCCACGATACAATTTCACGTCAACACTCTTGCCACTTTCATCTCTGGACAGTTTCACAGTTGTACTCATAGGAGTTCTTGGTGGTTTGCTGGAACACATCCCAAACCGTTCCACCAGATTCTTTGCATAAGTACTTTGAGACACTGTGATACCAGCATCAGATTTTTTGATTTGAAGACCCAAGAAATAGGTGAGTTCGCCAACCATACTCATCTTGAACTCAGATGTCATAGTCTTCACAAATCTTTCAACAAGCTGATCCGATGTTCCTCCAAAAACAATATCGTCGACATAGATTTGGGCCATGACCATCCCTTCCTTGGTTTCTCTGACAAAGAGAGTCTTGTCCACACTACCCCTGTCATAGCCTTGATCAAGAAGAAAGGCTGTGAGCCTTTCATACCATGCACGAGGTGCCTGTTTTAACCCATATAAAGCTTTCTTCAGTTTGTACACATGGTGAGGTAAGAAAGCATCTTCGAATCCTTGAGGATGTTCAACATACACCTCTTCTTGAATGTATCCATTTAGAAAAGCGCTTTTGACATCCATCTGATATAACTTGAATCCCTGTGCACAGGCTGTTCCTAACAGAAAACGGATGCATTCCAATCTAGCCACAGGAGCAAAAGTTTCGTCGAAGTCAACACCTTCCACTTGAGTGTATCCCTGTGCGACAAGGCGAGCCTTGTTTCTGATGATGTGCCCCTCCTCATCCCCTTTGTTCTTAAAAATCCATTTCGTTCCAATCACGTTCACTTCAGACGGTCGGGGAACCAAGAACCATACATCATTACGCTGAAACTCCTCTAGTTCCTCTTGCATTGCTTGGATCCAGAAGTAATCTTCCAAAGCATCTCTGACAGACTTTAGCTCCACGATAGACACAAAACACGAGAACACCATCATTTCACAGCACGAGAACATCACCATTTCTTTGAAGTTGATTTGTTTTCCTCTTGTTTTGCGTCCCTCACCAACCTCTCCTATCACATCTTGAGAAGAATGATTTCGGTGAACTTGCAGAGGAATGAACTCACTGGATTTTTCTTCAACCCTCTGTTTTTCATTTTCTTTTCCATCTGTAATGGACAAAATCTCACCAGTTGCAGTCTTTGGTGTTTCATTGCGATCATCATTTTCCGGAATGAGACTTACTGTCGGAATACCACCATCATCAAAGACCACATTCACAGACTCAACAATCATCTTACTCCTTTTGTTGTAGACTCTGTAAGCTACACTGTTAGGAGAGTATCCCAAAAAGAACCCTTCATCGCTCCTTGCATCAAATTTCCCGAGCTGATCCTTATCGTTATAGATGTAACACGTACACCCAAACACATGAAAGTAGCTGAGGTTTGGCTTCTTTCCCTTCCAGATTTCGTATGGAGTCTTATTTGTTCCCATTCTCACATACACGCGATTGATTACATAGCAGGCTGTATTGATAGCCTCTGCCCAAAATCTTTCTGGTACCCCTTTACCATGGATCATGGCTCGAGCCATGTCCTGCAACGTCCTGTTCTTTCTCTCGACCACTCCATTTTGCTGTGGAGTTCTTGGGGCTGAATATTGATGATGAATTCCTTGAGACTCACAGAACTTGTCAAACACAGCACTTTGAAACTCACCTCCATGATCACTCCTGATCTGCTTGATCCCCTTCATCTCATTCTTAAGTTGAAGAGCTAGAATCTTGAAGCTTTCCAAAGTCTCAGACTTTTCTCTGATGAACCGAACCCAAGCATATCTAGAGAAGTCATCAACTAGAACAAAGACATATCTCTTTCCTGAGAGACTTTCAATCTGCATTGGTCCCATGAGGTCCATATGCACCAGATCAAGTACATCGGTTGTTTGAATCCCTTGAACCTTTTTGTGCTGCACTTTGATCTGTTTTCCTTTACTACAAGCACCACAAACAATCTTCTAAGCATAAGAATTCTCTTCTTGGTGTCAGATAGCTCCTGAGTGAGCAGATTATTCTTCACTTCCTTAGATTTCAGCGCATCTGTCAGCTCCTTGTTCAGACTTAGAAGAGCTAGTTTTTCTTCAACCCAAGCAAGTTTTTCTTTACCAAGAACCAACCAATTATCATAGAGCTTTCGAAATTCAGATTCAACATTGATAGTCAAATCATCTTCTTCCTCACTTTCTGACACTGCTTCTTTCACCTGATCTAGCGCTGTCTCAGAACCAGCAGAGTCTTCCTTGAAGTCCACACTTGAATCACTGTCAGAGGAGTCACACTTCTCTTCAATAGCAACCATGAAAGCCACATATCCAATTGTGCCGTCAGATTCATCCTCACTTTCCTCAGAGTCACTCTCGCTTATTCCTATGAAGGATTTATCTTTTCTGTTCGAGACGCTTATGCACTCAGCTTTAGTGTGACCGAAACCTTTGCATTCAAAGCATTTGATTTCCTTTCTCTTAGCAGTGGGACAATCAGATTTGAAATGACCGTAGCCTTGACACTCATGACATTGTTGATCACTTTTCTTCACGGTTCTGTCTTTGTCTCTGTCACCAACAGGATATTTTGAGAAAGGTCTCTTGTTTCCTCTTTCTACTCTTTTCAGAGCTCTACTGAAGTTCTTAGCCATCAACCCCATTTCGTTCTTCAAAGCTTGAATGTCGTTGCTCTCTCATGCCACAAATGCAATTCCTTTCGAACTGCTTCCCAAAGTTGGAGCAATTTCCATCTCATATGCTTGCAGGTGGCCAACTATCTCATCCAAGTCCATGTTGTCTGTGTCAAGAGCAGTTCCCATGGCTGTTTTCTTCGACTCAAACTTTGGTGGGAGACTTCTCAGCAGTTTCTTAACCAGCTTCTTATCTTTGTACTTCTTACCCATGTTTTGTGCTTCATTGGCGATTGAGCTGAGTTTTCCACTGAATTCTTCGACAGTCTCAGATTCACCCATACGTAGATTCTCAAATCGAGTTGCAAGCATGTCAATTCTGGACCTTTTGACATTTAAAGTTCCCTCGTAAGCCTGTTTCAGCTTGTCCCAAGCCACTTTTGCTGACTCACAACATTGGATACGCTCGAATTGTTTCTCATTCACCGCATTGAAGATAGCGGATATCGCTCTCGCGTTGTACTTAGCCAGACTCTTCTCATCATCTGTCCAGAGGAGTTTATCCTTCGGAACCTGTGAACCATCCTCTCCTAAAGCAGTAGGAGCGCTCCATCCGGTTTCAACAGCAGTCCAAGCATCTTCATGGATTCCCCTGATGACAGCTCGCATCTTCATTTCCAGTGACCATAGTTTCCTTTCTCGAGAATTGGAGATCTATGAAGAGCTACCAGCTCTTTGGACGAGTCCATCTTTCCGTAGGATCTTCACCTGTTGTAAAGCTACAACTTGGTTCAGATGCCCGCTCTGATACCAATTGAAAAAGCAGAGGACTCGACAACACTAGTTTCCAAAACATCGGCGCACCGTGTTTTGTTTTTATTAGAAATCTTTCAAGATGTTTACACACTCTCAAACTGGAATTAAACACAGCCTAAGACAACCCTTAGCTTGTAACCAGTTGATTCCTAATCTACACTAAACACACACTAACTACAGAGTTAATGCTATGTTTCTAAACACCGATCTGCAATAAATGCCTTAACGGTTTAACAACAAGAACAGAAAGCTTATCCGTAACTTTTGTTCTCTAAACGGCTGATCTTTAGAACGCCTCCTTTCTCCGTATTTATATCACTCGAAAGACACGGCTTCTAGGTCTTGGGATCTGTCCGTACGAGTCCACCTCAGCACTCAAGACACGTCATTAAAATGTTCCAAGTGTAACTTGTTCAGCTGAACATCCTTCGTGTTCCAACACTCTGTTTGTTGTTCCAGCAACTCTCCAAGTTCAGGCTTCACAGCTTCACACCAATACATTCGAGACAGTACTTTCACAAGGGTCATTAGATCCGTTCTGGCTTGCATTGTAATGCCTGTAGCTTCTGCAACATCCACTTGAACAAATTCAAGATATTCGAATTCCCCAAGAAAACTCTTCAACTGATTCAACTCTTGAGCAGTTCCTCGATAACCACATATATGCAACGACTCGACTTTGTTCCGAGGCATAGAGACATGGCTAGTGTAACCGTCTAGATCCTGGACGATAAGAGTTTGAAGCTTTGGAGACTGCTTGAGCAGTTTAGGCAGCAGTTTCCAACCTTGGTCATTCTTACTCCCGAAAGATAAAGTAAGCAGATTGTCGAACAAGGGGAGCCCACCTCGACAGTAAGAGTCAATCATCTGGAACATAGAAAGAAAACAAAGATAGATGATTAGTTTTGAATGGAAGACTATCCAATTTGAAAAGTGGGCAGAGAACAAAGTTATACCTGAGCAGAAACGGGAGAGAGATGAAGGATCTCAACATGTCTTATCCCCACAATGAGATCCGTCACATCAGGCCTCGGTAAGTAAAGGCGTTTTATCGGACGAAGATCCAACTTAGCTTCGACGAGGGATTCCAGATTCACTAGCTTATACTTAGCCAAGGCGAAGTCAGAGTAGTCAAGGCAGACAAGTTTCGGCAGGTCAAATGACATGGAAATGTGATCTTCAACCTCGTGAAAACAGTCGTAGTTAACTGATAGTCTCTTGACGATGCGGCTTGATATGGTGCGGGGTGTGACCACATAGCCCTTCTGATGGACTGATAGCTCCTCGAGCACAGGGCAGCCAGGAAGCAACACGCCAGACAGATACCGGAGCGGGAAGGGAGCCGTGTCGAGGAAGAGAAACTTGAGAGAGGGAAGCGACACGTAGGAAGGAGGCCTAGCGATATAGATCTGTCTCCCTATTGTGAGCTTGACCAGTGTTGTGCATGAAAAGAGCTGAGGAGGCAGAGAGCGGAGACCCCGGCGATTGATCCTTATCTCCGCTTCCAAAACGCCGCGTCCTGCGACGTTGGATATCCAGCGGCCCACGCAAGCCTGCAGGCGTTCGTTGCCCTCGCCGATGTGACAGTTTAGAGACAACTTCTTGATGGGAGAGTCAGACTGCAAAGCTAGCGTGCGATCCACGAATCTTTCGAAGCTCTCCGGGAACACTTGTTCATCAGAAGCAGGGTACAGGGAGAGACTATCGTCAAACTCGAGGTGATCCACCAGTCGATACACATATCTCCACTTTTTGGAGAGGATGCATGTTGAAGCAGCCTCCTTCGTGGGAAGTAAGGACAAGATGTTCCCAAGAACCTCGTCAGGAAGCCAGCTGATTGCATCCATAGAGATGGAGATAAAGGTGCCCTGCAAAACACACATATTGATACCACCACAAAGCGATTATTGGTAAGGTCAATTTTCCACAGTTACAAAAAAGCAGAGAGATCGATCGACAAGGAATATATCCAAAAACAGTAGCATCCACACTGTTCACAAGTATACAGGTCTGAGCAACCAACTAAAGCTAGGTCGTGATTAGCGGAATTAAGGACAATTCAAGCACGAATAGAAACCAAAAGTATCAAGCTTTCTGGTTTTTTGGGAAGTAAAGGTGCACACTTTCATATGAACAAGTGAAAGCGAATAGGTACGAACCCGCGACTGTGGAGAAGGACCAAAACAGATCCACAGAGTGATGGTCTTGATTCGGATGAATATAGGTCGGATTCATACAATCTATTGATTTTTTGGTTTGTCTTTGACACACACACCAAAAAGAAGAGTGATATAGAAAATAAGAGGGTCATGAGGAGTGAGCAAATGGAGGGTCCAGATTAAGAGAGCTGAATCAAGGGCTGAGATCAAAAGCTACTTCTATTGAGGGTTTAAGTAACAAGACAAAGGAAATAATAGATTCAATCAGAAAATTGTGAAATTGAGTTTTCAATCAGAAAATTGTGAAATTGAGTTTATCTCCTTCGTTCTGTCTGTTCGTCTCTTTGTAATTCAATAGTTGTTCATCAATGTTTTAGATTTAATAAGAACTTTCCTTTATAGGTATATTTTTTAACTTTTTATGTTTCTATATTTACTTTATTGTTTACATTTTCTCATATTTGCCATATTATTCAAATTTCATTTTTTTAATTTAATATTCAAATATGTTTGATGTGTGAGATTCATATTTAGTAGTTAGATATCTTAGATAATATATACATATATATATATATAAGTTTTTATATGATAATTATTAATTTATAATATTATTGGGACCATATTTTACATAGCAGTTTTAAAAATGTTATTATCTTATTATCTTATCGAATTGTGTCATATTTTACACCGGCCCAACTTGGGACCGGAAAATTTTATTAATTTATCGTGTTTATTAATTTTATTAATTTATAGAGTTTATCTAAATTTTTTTAATTATATTTAGTTTTATAATAACCAAAATATTTAATATTACAATTATAAACCAAATATATTATTTATATTTAATTTAACACAGAATAACCAAAAGATCTAATACATCATAAAATATTTAGTTATACTATTTGTTAATACTAAATATATTTTGCAAATTTAGCTCAATTTTATTTAAATTAATTTTTTTTTTTTTTTTGTCTTTTATAACTAAAGTTTGGATATCATGAGAACCGTTCCGAACCCAAAACGGTTATCAAACGATTCCTATGAATACAAAACTTTTATACCCATAAGACTTTGACCCAAACTGAATGCATAGGCCTATACAAAAAAACAAACACTCACAACGACAATGGAACTTAATCTAACCATATGATGCATATGTTTAAGCCATATTCTTAGTTGGCTAAAGGTTGAAAGTGTATCTTGAGTGATTGCTGGCCTCTTTTCTCTTTTGTCAACATTGCAGCTTTTCTATTTTGCCAACATTGCAGTTTAATTGACTAAGCTTAGCTGGTAAAGAGAAGTCAAAGACTCCGGAGGATTGAAGAATGTTTACCTTTTTAATCTGAAACAAAGTCTTGTCTGTTTTGTTTTTATGCTTGATGAACGATCGAGCGAGGGTTGAGTTTTCCAATACGATACTTCGGGGTTTAGATTTGGATTATTCCTAAACACCTTTTTGTACTCAGATCGTATCATTCAGTCATTTTGATAAAACTTCCAAGTTACAAATTAAAAGCATCATTTCTGGATTAAATAACTAACTTGCATTATATCATTCTCCCTAGATAACAACACATGTATATGAAGTCTAGTCGCCTATAGACTCCGATGTTAACTAACTTAATTCCTAGTCAGTAATATTTAATTAGACGTAGCTTACTCATCATCATACTTAAACTTGTCGACTACAACTATATTAATTGATTTTCCTTATTTCGTATTTTTTTTGTATCTATCAACAATCGACGACGCAGCCTCTTCCGAACTGTTGACGTGGCAAGTGGCGATTGTTGGCACCCGAACCTGGATAATCGTTTAACTCCATCGCCATCTTTTCCTGTACGTCTTTCTTCATATCCTAACAAAAATAATTTTATTTCTTATTTAAAACCTAATTATAACCTTTCAAGAATACATACATAACTTGATAAGTGATAACTAACCACTAGTGTATCCTGTTGAGGTCGGGAAATTTGATTTGGCCTCTCCATCAAACTCCCAAGTCCTACATGTGTACACAATAAATAAATGATATAAGTTCAAACGTCGTATGATGAAAATATTCATTACACAGAAGAAAATAATATTCAATTCAAAATTCAAAATAGTAAGAGATGAAGATCGTACTCGAAGCATTGGAAGGGATGAAGAAGAAGTGAGATAGACCCAAGAAGAAGATCATGAGGAAACGGAAGATGGCTTTGTTGCCCATTTGACGATGATGATTTAAGACAAAATCAATAGTGTGTGAACACTTTAATCCTGTTGTGAGATTTGTCATTTGTAGTGGTTTCTTTTATAGTTCTCTTCCTCCAATTTGCGAATTTTATACTATTATCATAGATCTGTTTAATCATTAAATTAAGAAATTTGGTGTAATCAAATACGGAAGTCGTTTTTATCTTGTCTGGAGGGTTATAGGCCTTTTGTATCAAACCACCATTATGTTTAAACTTAAAAGAACAAGAGAGAACAATTAGGAAAAACAAAACCGACGCGTTTACACTTTTTCCACGTTTGTTGGTTTTTTAAATTGTTCTATATGATGGTAGTTGTAATTACACTATTTTACCATATGAAAAGTGTGTATATACAGTGTACTCCACTATACATAAAAATAAATCTTAATTTCATTTTTTGAGTGTTCATTCTAAATTTCTAATTATACGGATATTTTATAGCTTTGAATTTTGTCTCGTTTTTGCATAAATATATTCATTTCTCTCGTATGATATTATCAACGTACATAAAAGGTAGTAGCCGATAGCCGATGAAATTATGATTTTTTCTAAACAAAATTATGTTAATCTTTTTGTCTTAAAATTCCTTTAGATTATTCATGTTTTGTAAACAATGATTCTATTCAGTTAGCGGCGGATAGCTTGTTCAAAGTATGAACCATTTGCATATATGTTCTATATGTATATGAACCTAAGACCTCTAGAGAAATGATCGATGCTGGTGAAAGTGGTGGAAGCGTGAGAAGTGAGAACCAATGGTCGTTGACAAGTGGGTCAAGTCAAGGGAGCTTTACGTCTTACTGTGCTTTAGAAGTTCATGTTTAACTAGTTTGCTTTGCTACTAATACACTGATACACACGCATTGTTCGGCGACAATCTAAGGGTAACTGATTACGCTTAGGATTCTATAAGACTATAACTCCGATGAAATGTAATCAATGAGAAAACTAACTTAAACGGTTTATAGGGAATAAATAAATCTCACAAAACGACCAACAAAGCAAAGCTATTTTCTTACTTCGATAAATATTTTCGAAGATGCAACCATAACCTAAATGGCAATCACTATAATGGAATATAGCTAAGCACAAACAGCATTGAAATATATTTACAACCATTTTGAATTGATTAAACATGTTGACAAAGTAAACGTATATGTGTATTTTAGTAATCCAATTAAATAGAGTTAGAATTAAGTGCAGATCTGATACATGCTTGTCAAAGTAGTGGCACTAACTCTACATGATGCTTTATGATCACTTCACGAACTTGGCTTCTATAGTGGCTAATTCATCATACCGCTTATAATCTTTACTACACTGTTCCATTCGTTTTTATTTATATACAACTTTTTGAATATCTTTTAAATCTTTTTTAAAAACCAAACCTCTGAAGTTAAGTAATTCACTGAAAATTCATATATTTTGAACTTTTAATAATCCAATTTTTACTAAATTGTAAATCATCTCTGCATGGATATATATATATGTCATGGCTAGATTTTAAAAAGTTATGGATATGTAAAAAAAAGGCATGAATTTACAAACGTCTTTTTTCCTTTATCAATGTAGATTACTGTTTTTTTAATTCCATTCCACTTAATGAAGCTAGCTTTATGGGCATATACATGCACTACTTTTTCTGCAAAATGTCAAAATATATCACAATGTCGACAAAGTTTACAAGCACAACTGCAAATATTTGTGTTCCAAGAAAGTTTCCCTTTAAGTCCATAATAAATTGTATAAAAAGTCAATAGTGGGGGTTGCTTATCACATCGCACCTTCTCTAAGACTCATTAATTAATGATGCCATTTGTCATTCCATTTTTCTGTTCGTAATTGATACTATTAGCTGGGGAAATACGTACATTTTTATAAAACACCAGAAGATGATATTTTGAATTTTGAGTAAAGCGATCCAACTTAGAGAACACTTCGAAAATTAGCTCGAGCTGAAGCGGACGAATGGTTCTAGTTCGGTTTAGGGTTTCAATTGATCCGACTTTAGATTCTCGGTTCAGAGTTTCTATAAAACCGGTCGACTTTTGTAATAAACTGGTTTGACATGCAAGCTCCTCAAATTGTTCAACGGTTCAGTTTGATTTGATTCAAATATTCGTCTTTGATATGAACTAAGGAATACTTCAAGTTCAAGTGGTATACAATTTTACATGTAATGCAATTTTATAGAAAGAGACCAAGAGTTCTTGCACACAAAAAAGAAAGAGAGTAAGTTTTCGATTTCCCTTTTATTATCGTTTTTTTCGAATATTCTGGACTAACGCAAACCTTTTTAGACCAAATCACCAAACGTGAATCTTTAAATGGGCACGAATTTGGACAATTAATTGTGGGCTTTTATGTCCCTATGTGCACTATATGCTCAACGTAAATCAAACAATTGTTTCGTCGAGAGAAAAAATATCAGTAGAAATTATCGGTTTAAGCGAAAGAAAAAAATGCTAGACAAAAGATGTTTTGTTTTTAATGTAGCTCCCAAGGGGACGCAGCGTCCACATCTTGCCAGCCTTACTGTGTAAAGGCAAGGCTTAAACACAAAGATGACTTATCTTCACATAAATTATTATAAGTTTTTTAATTAAAATCCTCTTTTTATATATAAAAAACCTTTTAAAACAGTAGATCTAAAAGTACAAATGTTATTATTCAGATAAGAAAAAGATTGAGCACAACTGAGCTGACACGTTTGATGTTTCTCTTCTCTTCAGGTAATTATGCTTTCCTTTATCTAAAGTCAAACACAGTTTTTCGTCAAATAACAAATTTATTTATGTTACGAAATTTTGTTTACAGAGAATTTCCAAGTCAGAATATATTTTTTTGTTGACCCAACAAAGAGAAAGGCACTTCCATATGTCAATATTAACTTCCATATGTTTCAATATTATTTTAATTTCTAAAAAAAAACTAAGAAAACTTATTCTTCTTGGATTGAAAATATCACCGGAAACAATGGCAATAAATGGTGCCATTGTTTTGGCTTTTCAAAGCCAAAATATTGACGTTTCACAAAACAAAAAGCCAGCTGTAAAATACAGTGTATGTAACTTCCATTTTCACTATGAACGTTTCACAAAACAAAAAGTCAGCTGAAAATATGTAACTTCGATTATCATTTTATATATAATTAGGGAGTTGCTCTCTCCATATAGAGTGTCCACATCAGTATAGAAAATTCATTAAATTGTTTTTAAGATATTTAGTATATGACTTTTCATATTTCTTTGCATATATTTATATTTTAAATATAAATAAAACTAAGAAAAATACACAACTAAATTACTTAATTAATATAAAATATGTGATAACTTAATGTTAAAATTTATCAAAAAGTTTGAATATACGTAAAAATATATGTAACTTGAAATGGTATATATTTACCTTTTTATTAAAAAAAATTATCCTATTTCAAAATGTTATATCTTATATATAATTAGGGAGTTGCTCTCTCCATATAGAGTGTCCACATCAGCACAAAAATTCATTAAATTGTTTTTAAGATATTTAATACATGACTTTTCATATTTCTTTGCATATATTTATATTTTAAATATAAATAAAACTAAGAAAAATACACAACTAAATTACTTAATTAATATAAAATATGTGATAACTTGATGTTAAAATTTATCAAAAAGTTTGAATATAAGTAAAAATATATGTAACTTGAAATGGTATATATTTACCTTTTTATTAAAAGAATTTATCCTATTTCAAAATGTTATAATGTGTTTACAAGTTAAAAAGTTGAATATAAATTAATTAAGATAATAAAAAGCCAATGAGAAATTAGAGTTAGAGTTTATTTTTAAAAAAAATAGAAGTCGAGTTTTTATATGTAAATTTAATTGCAGTGAAAAACATGAAAATTTTAAGGATTGTGATATGTTTGTCTCAAAATATAATTAATATTTACAAAACTAACATAATAGAAAATAATCAATGGTTATGAGGCTCATATGCTACCACAACAAAGTAGATATGTAAAAAAGTATATATATTATTTTTTTCATCTTATTTCGGGTCCAAATGCTATTTTACATTATGCTTACAAATTTTAACGTTGAGTCCAATGCATATGCATGTTTATAGTCTAACAGAAGTAAACAAACATAATATTTATAACATGCTAAAATTTTAGAAATAGAAAACTCGAGATAAAGTGGGAGTGTTAACATCCTAATAAAATAAAATAAAAGACAAATTGTTCATATTTTTAATGTTAGTGATTGGGTTAACTCAAAATATAAACAAAAAACATGAAAGTTAATACAAAACCATCATAATTCAAATCAACAAGTATAGATAAAACTAAACAGAAAACTATCGCAAACAACCCCGCGCTTGCGCGGGGCTTCAAACCTAGTTATGAAAACATACATTTTTTAAGCTATTGTGGAAATCAACATTCTAAACAATTTTATCCAAATAACATGTTTTTTGCCACTGTTCAAAAAAGTTTAAAATCAAACACTAACCTATACAACAGTATATGAATTCGAAGAAATTTATATTTTGGCAGTAATTTAGAAATCTTAAATTAAATTCTTAGTTGGGCTTACCTGACATCTTTCACTAAACAAAACCAATTTGACTTCTCCTTTCAACTTTCATTTTTTTTTTTATAAAAGTTTTCATCCTTATTTCGCAAAGCAAGAAACATCTGTCAGTTATTAGCAACTGCTTAATTCGTCAGTTCACCATATGGTTTACCATCTTTTTTGTACGATGGTTATTATAAGGAAAAAAAAAAAGATCAGATATGCGATCTTGTTAGGATGCGATCTCAGTGGAACACGTGGATGGTGCTGATAAGATCGACCAAGAGAAAGACATGCATCTTTTGCTGAAATCTATGAGCAGGTGTGACAGGGACCCACCACCGAATCCGACGTGGCAAAAGGCAGACTTTGATTTAGATCCTCCAAAAACGCAAGTTGGCATGATTTGTACAATGTGGCAGAGCCTTTTAAACCTTTTAGCTGACACCCAATGATCGAATGACACGTCATCGAATCCAACCTTTCTTTTCTTTTCCTTATCCAAAAATTCAACAGCTGCGGTCCGATATAAAATCATGCAGTATATAGATCTCTTTATCTAATCTGTAAAGACTTTTTCTGTATTAGATTTGGTATATCATTATTTTCTGAAAAAAAATCTAATTTGTGTATGGAAAAATTAGAAAAGGTCTTATTTTTGAATTAGAATATACATCTCTATAATCATAACTAATTACCTTGTGATGTTATACTTTTATTCAAAAAAAATATGATACAACAAAATTTTCATGATGAAAAATTCTGAAAAAATCCTAATCAAACTCTACGTTTTCATGTTAAGAATGTATTATTGTGAAATGCAGAAATGGTCATCCTATATCGAACACAAGCAAGCATCAATAATCTAGAATATCTTAATCTAAACAATGGAACATTGATCAGCTAGCTACCATGTAATTTTACTCTATTGACTTATCAGCTAAAATAAATTTACCAATAAATTAATAATTAGGGAACGCCTTATGACTCAACAAGTTAAATCTTTGTAGCCTTTTTTTTAATTATTTATTAGTTTCTTCAAAAAATATTTATAGTTCACATAATTAAGGGTAGCCTTATGACTTCCAATTCGTGGGGATATAGAACGTTAACTTTCATTCTGTGGAACTGGGTTTAGAACTTCCAATTCGTGGGGATATAGAACGTTAACTTTCATTCTGTGGGTAAATCCAACGAGGGCATAGTTTGAGGTGGAAATAATGCGACTGCGTACTTCTTGTGGGGAAATAGATCGTGAACCCGTAAAATACATTAAAATAAAGCATTCCAACCAAGAAAAAAAGGTTTAGTTCTACAAGACTAGAGAAAAAAAAACACCCATTTAGCTGTCATAGGAAAACAAAAAAGGGAGGATTAGATGCGAATAAAAATACACCCAAAAAGGGACGAATAATTATATTTAACCCGACAACCCGACCCGGTATTAATGAGCCAAAAAGGAAAATATCGGAGGCCACATAAACTTGTGGCTGAGAATTCAATGGTGATGCTGACGTGGTGCCTCCTTTCTCTTTTATACGGATCTAAATCCCTAATTTCAACAATTCACCTCCAAATCCCCAAATCTTCCCAATAACAAAAAATATTTATTTTTAAGAACAAAAAAGAAACAATTTCACAGAGTGAGAGAAAGAGAGGACGAACACAGAAGACTGCACACGAGCTCTCTGAAACGAAAAAACAAAACGTGAAAGAAGAAATGATGATGGAAAGTAGAGATCCAGCTATTAAGCTCTTCGGCATGAAAATCCCTTTCCCGGCGGTTTTTCAGCCGACGGTGGCGGTCGAGGAGGAGGAAGAAGACGAGGAGGTGATAGAGTTCAGCGGCGGAGATGGAGTAGAGGATAAATCAGCAGAAAAGAAGGTATTGGATTGATTTTTGCTCTGTTTTCTTAGATGGATCGAGGAAAAGTGATTTCGAGTGAAAATTGGAAACTGTAAATATTTAGACCGAACCTGTCTTTAATTCGGCAAATGGATAAATCTGCTTTGTCTCTATAAATCTCAGAAACTGTAATCACTCAAATCCTCTGTTTCGAACTTATCATGCTGACGACTTTTGAATCAGATTGAGACTTGTGCTTGGTTATTTGATAATCTTGGATCTATAACTTGTGCGATGAGCTTCATGAAAGTAACGTTCATGCCTTGTGTTTTGCCATTGGTTTACTAATAATTAAAAAAATCAAAAGTTTCAGTTTTTGCTCACTAATTAAAGAATAATTGTTTGATTTCTGCTTTCTCTAGAACTTTCTTCAGAGACTCAAGACTTTGTTTATTCATTAGTCCTTTGCAAGTGTTCTTAATTAAATGTTTATCGTCTCTCTCTCAGGTAACTCCAAAGTTATCAGATAAGAACAACAACTGTAACAGCAACAACAACAACAAGAACAGTCATGACTCCAAACAAGAAACCGGTGACAAAGAGGAGACGACATCAACAGATCAGATAGAGAGCAGCGACTCTCCTGAGGAAGACAATGATCAGCAGACAGCTGACGGCAAAACCCTGAAGAAACCAACAAAGATCCTGCCATGTCCGAGATGCAAAAGCATGGACACCAAGTTCTGTTACTACAACAACTACAACATAAACCAGCCTCGCCATTTCTGCAAGGCCTGTCAGAGATACTGGACAGCCGGAGGCACCATGAGGAACGTCCCCGTCGGTGCAGGACGCCGCAAGAACAAAAGCTCCTCCTCTCATTACCGCCACATCACCATCTCCGAGGCTCTCGAGGCTGCGAGGCTCGACCCGGGCCTGCAGGCGAACACCAGAGTCCTGAGCTTTGGCCTCGAAGCTCCTCCCATGGCACCTGTGGTGATGAAGCAGCTGCAAGGGGACAAGAAGGTCTCAAACGGAGCAAGAAACGGGTTTCACGGGCTCGTGGCTCCTCGGGTAGAGAATGGAGACGATTGCTCTAGCGGATCTTCTGTGACCACCTCTAACAACCACTCAGTGGATGAGTCAAAAGCACAAAGCTGCAAAGCTGTTGAACCACAAATGAACGGTTATGCTTGCATCCCTGGTGTTCCATGGCCTTACACGTGGAATCCGGCGATGCCTCCACCGGCTTTTTACCCTCCTCCGGGGTATCCGATGCCGTTTTACCCTTACTGGACCATCCCAATGCTAACACCGCATCAGTCCTCATCGCCGATGAGCCAAAACGGCTCCGTTCTCGGTAAGCATTGTAGAGATGAAGAATCAGCGAGAAAGGACAATGAGACAGAGCGGAAACAGAGGATTATTGTCCCGAAAACGTTGAGAATAGACGATCCTAACGAAGCAGCGAAGAGCTCGATATGGACGACGTTAGGAATCAAGAACGAAGGGATGATGAGTAAAGGCGGTGGGATGTTCAAAGGGTTTGATCAGAAGACGAAGAAGATTAATAACAACGAGAAAGCTGAGAACTCTCCTGTTCTCTCTGCTAACCCTGCTGCTCTGTCAAGATCACTCAATTTCCATGAACGGAGTTAGAGTTTTGTGACATTTATGTTTTTAATGTAGATATGTATGATTTTTATGTATAGGTGTTGGAGAATTGGTATGAGGTTTTTGAGAATCAAACTCTGTTCTTCCTTGTGAACAGATGTTTTGTACTGTAACATTATTTGGTTTACTTCTTCTTTTTTCCCCTTTCTTTCTCCATTTGGCAAAAAAAAATGTTGGAAGAACATTAATGGTAAAAAGTTGACGTTGACTGTTGTTGCGTTGTCATTTCGACCGACACTCTTCTACTAGAAAAGAACAATACTCCGAAAAAAAAAAGCAGTGATGAAAAAAATAGCACTTCAACATAATTGTAATCTAATGAGTTTGTGATGTTTAACCTATTTTGTTGTGTAATAATCAGACTTTGTGAGGATTTATGAATAGTTTGAATTGAAATACATTATTTTTCTAATTAACTTGTCTAAAAAAGCATATCTAGTACTTTAGATCTCTTTCTTAGTATGGACAGAAAAAGTTTATCGAAGAAAAAGTTTTCTTGGATAACTAGTTGAGCAATCATGACACTGACAAGGCCATCTCAAATTTTCTTATCATGGTTTTTCGAAGATTTTTGTACAGAAAATATGAGTCCCTTAAGAATTTTAGATGTAAGAATGTAAAGAAAATCGGGCGTCTCCATTCCACGTTGAGACAATCAGAATTTGTTGTGCTGAAAAAGTTTATTTATTTGTATCCTTTTTTAACCTTTGGTCTATTGATGCTGAAAAAGAGGGGTCACTATATGTCTTTTTAACGATTTTTACTTTATTATTTGGTCCGTGTCTATGAAAGCAACTTAGATATTTTAGACTGCCACAACAATTTTAGCCACACATATATTTTATTTTGTTTTATTTTATTCTGTTTAATATGGCACACAATATTTTTATCAGTCTTTTTCTTTTAACGGCAATAATATTATCATTCTTACAAGTAAAAATTATGTCAAGTTGCTTTTTTCCTTTTTGAATAATAGTTTCATATTTTGCCTTTTTTGCATTTTGTGGCAGAGCAATTTTGTTCCTTTTTCATGTTTTTCCCTACCTTGCATTAAAATTAACTTTCTTATTATTTTCTGAAGATAAATTGATATTTCTCCTTGTTTATACCCTAACGCCTTTTTCTACAATTTGTCAAAAGAAAATTTGGCACCCAACAAAACATTGACTAATGCCAAACGCTTTGTTCAACCGCAAACGCACCACTAATATTATTGGCCTACACTCTTTTTGCATGGAGGGTTTGGTTTGGAAAATTAATATTTACTTACTTCTCGCAAAGGTTCCAAATATGAGACAACAAACTTCGTTAAGATGTTTGGACCATAAATAATCAAGAAGTAAAGAGAAATAACTAAAATTAGGCCTACTTAATCTTCTGAACTTTTTCGCCTTATTATGTAATCACATATATGTTGAAGGCTCTATTTCATTGGTTAGGCTCCTTAGTTAACTACATTTTTTTGGCGCTAGCTACCTTTAATTACTATGATATGATAAATTTTGGAAAGACATGAGGAAGATGAAGATATGATTCATATCACTTTTACAAGCATATATAACTCAAATAGTTGGTTGGATTATATAGTCGAATAGTCTACTAGTTCGATATTTTGATTTTCCACTGAAATGTTATTTGAATAGTATGATATATACTGTGTGGATAGTAATTGGGAGTTGATAACATCTTGATAAGATGATCCACTAGAAGATAAAACTTCATCTTGGTTTCGTCGCTGTGTAGTCTACTAGACTAATTAACTATAAGTATAGTCACCATGTCATCACCTGAATTTAAACCCGGCAAAAGTAAAACATATATTGTTGCCAAAACGAAGATAAAACTTCTTGCAGAACATGATAATGTTATCAACGTAATGGACCAATGGCTTTGGGAGGGGTAAAGTTATATTGAGACGACAAAAAGTTAATGTACTATATACACACTAATAAAAAGGATGAATTTACTGGGAACCTATGATTTAGTGTTGACTTTTGATAATCAAAGTCAAACCACGCCGAGAATTGGAAGTCGGAGTCAACCCTCCACTAGAAGTACAAAAGAAAAATACCATCTCTTAACGTTTTAACTCTTTCTATAACTTAAAATTAGTTTATAACTTATAAGAGGATTGGATTATAGGATTTATACATGTTGGTGTACCACAAAGGATGTGAGAATTAGTCTTGTCACGAGGTTTGGGCTAATGTAAGCTGGTGTACCAAAACGGTAGGAGAATTAATCGTCCCACAAAACTACAAAATTCACAATTATCTACGATTTAGGCTTCGAATGGTGACACAGTCCAAAAAATACAGATCAAACAGTAAATCCAGATCACGCAGAATAAATACAGATCATGATCTACATGCAGATCAGATGCATATCAAACATATATCACTGATTTTTATCTATATTTTATCTATATAATAAAATAAAAATCAAATAAAAATTACAAATCACCCGAAAATCGAGATTATTTGAACCAAAAATATCCAAACAAAAAAAACTGATATCCAAGACTATCTAAATCAAACCAAACCGAAGTAAGTATGGTTATAATATGCTAACTATTTTGTATTAATCGAAAAACCGGAAACCAAAAAAACGAACCGATATCCGGATTGAACACCCTACCAAGTATTACGTGATATACTGATATCCATAGATCTGAACATTTTATCCAGTCGGAAAAAATGCATATACCCTAATCCAACCCAAATCAGTATTTCCCTGGTCGATTCCGGTTTGAATTTTTGAGTCGAGTGATATTTAATATAAATATATCCAAAATTGATCTTATGCACCATTTTATAAAAAAATGAATCTTACATTAAGAAAGCTCATATTTTATCTATTAATTAAATATTAAAATTTTAAATAATATTTTAGGAATAATAGTGTCATACTAAACTACTAAAATATGTATTTTTCTTTTCATGTTTTTTGTTATATAATGCGTACATCATTATATACAAAAAAAATCAAGAGTATGGAATAAAGTAAAATAAAATATATTGTACGACATATAATGATTTAGATCTTTGTTTTATGTTATACACATAATATTAAAATGAGGAATATTTTTTATAGTTAATGTCTAGTTAATCATTAGTTCTTAATTTAGTTCATTATATTGTAATATTATTTTTCTTATGTTTATAAAATATTTTAAAATAATACATTAGATTTTTAAAGTACTTTATTCATAATATTTTGGAAGCAAAAAAAATAATTTTCAAAATCTTGAAAACATGGGTTAATTTTAAAAATACTTAAATTTTTTAATACTAATATTAATTTCCTCTGTTAAACATATCTAATAAGATATAAAAAATGTTTAAGAATATATAATGGAAAACTATAAATAATTTTTTCTTAATTTATTTGTAAGTAAATAATAATCAAAATTTATTATCAATAAACAATTAAATAAGAGATAACCAGAAAAAGAGAAAAAGAAGAAAAAAAAAAAGGAAGAGAGAGGCATGATCTGGACCTTTTGTGCAGAGCAAAGCTTTTTTACTATTTTCAGATATGTATGCAGATTAGTATTTTTCTCCTGTATTTTTTTTTATCTGTATTTAAAATTGTAAATGTGTGCAAAATACAGATCCCTCTGTATTTGATATGTTCTGTATTTTATGAGATCTGGATTTCCATTCAAGACCTTAATTTATCAACAGTCAAATAAAATGAAAAAGGACAAAAAAAATCAAGCTAGAAATTAGTGCCAAGAAAACTTTGGTGAGTAGATTTCCACAAGGACAAAAAAAGGACTTTCCACAAAGGAAGGCATCTTCTACGATTGTGACACGTGTAATCGACTTTAGGCTCTCAAAAAGGAAGACCTGACACGCCTCAAAAAGATAAGCCAAAAAAGTAATAAAGCAATGTCTTTTTGAGTTTTTTTTTCAGACTTTTGTATACTTTCTTTATTTAATGTTTCAGGTAAAAAGGTGACATGTTGTAATTAACTAATTTTACTTAATCCTTGGAAGTTTCGTTTTTGTTGCTTCATACTAGCTCGTTTTTCATCAAATCGGAAGACGAAATTCACAATAATCCAAAATCGCAAGACTTTTGGACAAAAGAAAATCGAATTTATTTACTCCAGGAATGAAAAAGACAGGGAGAAAATAAAAGTAAGTTTCTAGAAGGAAAGGATGTAAAAGCTTCTTTTAAAGATAAAAAGAGAGACCATGAAGTAACAAAGCTACTTTTCACATTTCCATTTGAATATTGAATTGGATCATGGATGTGGTACTAGTACTAGTGTACTACATTATAAAAATTTACAAAAATGTAAATTAAAAGACATAGTTTCTACTTTCTATATTATTTTCTATAAAAAATACAATCAATGAGTATATTGACTAAAAACTAAATAGGATATACATATCAAATACAATACATAAGCAAATGTTTAAGAAGTGGCAAAATTTTACATTCTCTTGTCTTTTTAAAGTAAATACTGAAGAATTCTTGATCTTCCGAGAAAAGCACGGAAAAGAATCAAATAAAGATCACTGAATCCTGCATCCACTGGACTCAGTTGCGCGTTGTACATTCCCATAAGCTGTTAGCTCAATGAGATCCATATCTCTGCCTATAAACTCATAAGAAAAAATTTACAATTAAAACTCAGTTATACTTATGTTTTATACCGTAAGAGTTTGAAGGATACTGCAAAATTACCAGCAACTCGACAATAGGAACTCCTCTGGATAAGCTCGGCTCTGGAAATATCGGTTTTATTTCCCTTTGATCGGTTTACCTTTGCCTGCAACATAGAAACCAAGCATACTCAATGAGCCAAGAGCTGTCCCTACTGATTTCAAGGATGATATATAAGCTAAAAAGCACAAAAGAGTATGTTTGAAGTTTATAAGTAAACCAAAAGACAATTTGCAAGAGTGTTTTGCAGGAAATGGGTCGTCTAAGAGATATTGTAGTAGACATCAAGAAACCTTAAGTTGTACCTATAACTTAGTTTAAAACGTAGATTATGTAGTAGACATCAAAAGCTGCTTACCTGCAGAACCTGGCAGTTTTCCAGAGTGCTCTTGCCGCCCTATAAAAATTGGAAAAGAAATTTCTTCAGATACTTTCTAAGAAACACTCAATGAGTAATGTTTCATGAAGAAATTTATTCCACCTGTGCATATCAAGTATGAATCCAGTTACATTACGCATTTCAGCAGAAAAGAAAAGGGGATAAATTTAATCATCAATACAGATTCAAATGATTCTCAATTTGGAATATTAGGGTCACAATTAGATCAACTAAACGAAATAAGGAAACATGACAGTAATAGTCCCAGATTTTCAGAGCTTTCTGAATCTTTTACACACTATTTTCCTCTTCCGAGAGGTTTCCCAATTTTCTCTGTTGTTATGTGTTTAAACTTATCTGTAATATTTCTAACAGAGACCTGAAGCACCAATCCTTTCACTCTTAGATTCAAAAAATCAATGTGAAATCCTACCAATAAAATCCAATCTTTGATGAATAAAGCAAACTCTTGTCGAAGTATTCATCAAACGAGTGTTCTTCTGGAGACATCTCAACTGAAACCATTGAAAACTGAAAAGCTCAATCTATAAAACGAGCAATCACATTTCAGAAACTATATTGAAATGACCACAGAGCCATCAAGTTCCTAGACCAGAATCCACTATACATTCCATTAAGTTTCATCTCAATCCTAAATAACAACCAGAACTAATCGGCAAAACAGAGTCTCACTCATGAAGTGAGAGTGGTAAGATAAGAAAGACAAACCTTGGAGTAAGGAACAATGTGGTCATAATCATGGCACAAACATCCAGGACAACCTACGAGCTTCCTAAACACTATGTTCCCCAAATGATCTCTCCGCCAACGCTCCGGATCTCTCCCTTTAATCTTCTCCGCCTTTTCCCAGCATTGCTGCTTCACGCTGTAAGGGAAACTCCTCGGCTCCGTATTCGGGTCATCGTAACCCGACCCGGGAAATCGACCCGTCTCCTCGCGGTCGAGTAAAGTGGCCGAAGTCGTAAGCTTTCCACCGCGACTACCACCGGAAGTTCGGTTCGGTGACCCGGAAGAGGCTCCGGGTCGGGTTTTGGACGGGGAAGAAGAAGATAAGGCTCGGTTTTTTCGTTTCCCCGGGTCGGGTTTCATCGCCGACTGTTGTCGTCTTTGTGGATTATCCGATTCGTCGTCGGAGGAGTTTTTGTGGTTTAATTTGACGAAGAAAATCAAAAGATTACAGATTCTTCTGGAGATGAGTGTTGGAGGCCAATCCATTTCTCACTCTCAGTTAGGCCCATAAATAAAACACATTTATATATGTAGATGGGCTCGTATATTTGATTACTTGAAGATGTTTTGATTTGCATATTCGTAATTTGTTGTTATCTACAAAAGATAAGAGGTTGACATTGAATGGAGAAGAAACTTCGTCTTTGTAACATTTTCTCACAAATTTATGTGAGAACATTGGTAAGTATGCTACCAAATTTATGTCGGCTATGAATATTTATCCATAACCCTTTCAATATTTGAATCTTTGCCGACCAAAGACTCTAGCTGGAAAGTGTTTGTAAATGGCTTGGCTAGAAGCTTAGACCGTTCAAAAATCATTTTATTCAGTCCAAATTTGTTAGTCCTTAACTTTATATGTATACACAATCTTTAGGAATCAGTAATGATATATCGTTTCCATTTATGTTATAAAGAAAATACAACGTGTTGACAACAAAGAAAAAGGTTCAACGTGGATCCCTTAACTCTAAACAAAACGGAATTAAGAATAGTTTCTGAATGATGACTAACAAAAATTAAGTGATCGTGGGTTGGAAACTGAATTGTCCCGAAGAATCTCAATATTCCACATCGCGAAACAATCCAATAGCAGTGTAGGGTGGGTGAAAGCAACATGATGAATTTATTAATAAAAACGTTACCTGGAAATTGCATGGAAATTTCCATGAATTGGAATCCACGATAGTAAAAGACACTCTCACTCAATTTTCAACTCTATATTCAATTGCTAAGTTTTTTGTCCTATTGAGCCTTGAGCATGATGAGAAATTGAGAAACTTTATTTTCAATTACAAATATCTTGATGAAGAATTGTACATGAAATGTATACTAGAGACAATCCTGATTCAAAATACAAATATTTCATAACATGAACTTTAGAATACAAATGGTTACTATTACGTTTATTGTTAAATTAAGGATAATTTTGAACCGAAATTTGTTTAGATGGTGCTTCTTAGCTTTTCTCTTTTCGTATAATACAATAAAATAGATATGCGGTGAGTTTTAAAATAGCATTTTAATAGTATTTCTTTTCTCTTCTCATCAATTTGGTACTTTCTCAACAATTTCCATAGACTTTTTCCGCGGACTTTACGAGTAAGATTTGTTTTGGTCTTCCTGTAGAATTACTTAACTAGGATGTGTAGCACCATTATAAATTTGGACCACGCTTACAACGCTTATTATCCATTCTTTGTAACCAACGATAAAAACATTTGCGAAAACGTTGTTTATGGTATTTCACAAACACAAATTTCGATTAAGATGGAGGATTCGTCTGTTCTTAGCCCAATCTCTCTTCTCACCATTGTCATTTTCTTGTTCATTCTCAATCTCATGATGATAATTCAAGATTTTTCTCCTTCCTTTCCCTATCCTCTCCATCTCTTCTTTTCTAACGCATTCATTCTCTTCGCGTCAACAAAAAGCAAGAAACAAAACATGCTCGAGCTCCCGATCATAAAGAAAGCTTTCGTCCAAAATCGAGTAGATAACAAGACGTCAATCAAAGAAGTCAAAGCGATGATCGATGACTCGGAAGCTTTATATGAAAGTTTGATAGAATTAGGAGAAGATTACTTGCTTGAAAAGAGTGAGATGATGGGTACGGAGATAGTGAAGGAGGCGTTTAGGTTATTTGATGAGAATCAAGACGGGTTTATAGATGAAAATGAGCTGAAACATGTTTTTGGGTTGTTGGGATATGATGGGTGTACAAAGATGGAGTGTAGGAAGATGATAAAGGCTTTTGATGAGAATAGAGATGGGAAAATTGATTACTGTGAGTTTGTGAAGCTCATAGACAAGAGTTTTTCTTGATATAGACCGAAACAATAATTAATCATATTGGTGACTAATTGATGATGACTCGTCTAATTAATGTACTTAATTTTTTTGTCGTCGTTCACTAAACTTATTTATGTCTATATGTTCATGGATCTTTGAATTTCCAAGAAGTGATAATGCAAGGAATGGTATTTGCTACGAGTCGACTAGACAAGTAGTTAGAGTTTGAGCTAGTTATCATAACGAAAGTATTCAACAGGTAACACTTTAAAAAAAGAAACATGTAATAACGTAAACTAAAAGCAAAAATGGTGTGTCCATGTTGCTTTGGACGCAGTCTTGTTTCTCCTATAATATGTAACCAAAAGCAAACAGAAAAATATCACTCAGAATAACATGTTAGGGTTTATTTTTTAAACCATGTGAATTCTGGTTCAACTTCATCGGTTTACTATTTGTCATTGGGCTATGAAGAATTGGATGCGGGAAAAGACTTAGACTCAGTCAGGTAACGCAAGGCCCAGTGGCAAACCTGTAGATAAGTCGTGCACCTAATTCTTCTTTTTTTGTTTTTCTGTTTTCACTTTCAAGAATATGTAAACAAACATGAAACATCATCCATTGTTGTAAAAATCGAACTACTCACAGTAACATAGACAAAATATTCTTGTAATTACAGCTTATGACATAATTAGTAAATCTTTTGTATTTCCTTTTGAAGAGAAACTTCAAGAGTGTACATCAATTTGTTTGTTTAAAAAAAAAAAAAAATTAGCTATCACTTGTATTGTTCTTTTATCTTTCCAAGTAAAGAAAAAATTTACGATGTACATAAGAAAAATGAATTACTTCACTGTCAAAATGATTAAAGAAAATCGGACTTGGATTTTTGGGTTACTCTTTTGCCAATTCAGTTCCATTTGATTGGCCGAGGAGAATTCTCATTCCTTTAAAGAATTCTTCATCCGAACCACTGACACGTGGGACAACAGTGGACCCCGCATTATCTCATTCCGACCAATCTCAAAGAACATAAAAATCCTGTAAGATACGCTACCAAGATAAACCGATAAGCCTATATCTCTCTTCAAACCAATCTCATCCGCCCAATCAACCACGTCATATGATCCAACGGTGGAAAATCAGCCACTAAACCACAGCCACAAACTCATTTCACAGCAACAAAAAAATCTCAGAAGAAAACGAATAAACTTACAAATGCCCAAGAGTCTATTTCTTCACAATCATCTCCAACACACATCTTTCAATCTCTTGATTCCATCCATTCTCTGCCAGTACCGGGTTATCGGGTCGGATCAAGTCTAGGGACAATGGCGACTGTCACTACTCAAGCCTCGGCCTCGATTTTCCGACCATGTACTTCAAAGCCAAGATTCCTCACCGGTTCTTCCGGTAGATTGAACCGAGAATTGTCGTTCAAATCGATCGGCTCATCCTCTAAAACGGCATCGTTCAAGGTTGAAGCTAAGAAAGGAGAATGGTTGCCTGGTTTGGCATCGCCTGGTTATCTCAACGGCAGGTAATCTTACAAAGTACATTCAGTTTTGGTTTAACACAACCGAAAGCAACTGGATAATCGATGTTTAGTTTAGCTCAAAATGTATAGTAACTGCAAAATGCATGAACTTTAGTTTTAACAAAACCGGACCAACTGAATAATCAATTTGGTTTGGTTATAATAGATCCGGTCTGTTTGATACCGGCTTAGTGAATGTGTATGGTAGTAATTAGCAAAGATGGTATGAAACTGAGTTAATCAATCTGGCTTGGTTAGCTTAGACCAGCTGTTCGATACCGGTTTAGTTAATGTTAAGGTATTCACTCGCTCACTCACTCACTCTTGAACATATTTGCAGTCTTGCCGGTGACAATGGCTTTGACCCATTGGGACTAGCAGAAGATCCAGAGAACTTGAAATGGTTCGTCCAGGCAGAGCTTGTCAACGGACGTTGGGCCATGCTCGGCGTCGCTGGGATGCTTTTGCCGGAAGTTTTCACCAAGATCGGTGAGTCACCATATTAACATGACCTAAAACAATTTGTAACATGATTTTTCAAGAACTTAACACATGGATTGTCAACTTGTTGTTCGTAGGAATCATAAACGTTCCGGAGTGGTACGACGCCGGGAAAGAGCAGTACTTTGCATCCTCGTCGACACTGTTCGTGATCGAATTCATATTGTTCCATTACGTTGAGATCAGACGGTGGCAAGACATCAAGAACCCAGGAAGTGTGAACCAAGACCCTATCTTCAAGCAATACAGCTTGCCTCCAAATGAAGTTGGTTACCCCGGCGGAATCTTTAACCCGCTTAACTTTGCTCCGACGCAAGAGGCCAAGGAGAAAGAGCTTGCAAACGGTAAGCTTAGTAAAAAGTTAAACTGATATCTTGTTGAGCAAGAAACATAGTTAGAGTAAAAGATTAAAGATCCTTTTGTTGTTGTTGTTGTTGTTGCAGGGAGGTTGGCGATGTTGGCATTCTTAGGGTTTGTGATTCAACACAATGTGACTGGAAAGGGACCATTCGAGAATCTGTTGCAGCACTTGTCTGACCCATGGCACAACACTATCGTCCAGACCCTCGGCTGAAAAGTTTAAAACAAACTTATGAATGTCATATCTCTCTATCATGTGCTACTCTCATGTCTATCTTCATTTGTGTTGCGTCTTAGAGTTCTTGGTTTTTGAGAATGAATCGGTGTTGAATCGTTGTAGCTCTCCATGAACGAATTTTAAAATCTTCAATGTACAGAGGAACTAAGTTATTCAAGATTGTGCTACTCTTTAATATCCATCTATTAATAAGCACATCATAACTTAGAAACCCAATCTATTCAAACATTTGCAACAAGAAAGTTTAAGGAAAGCTTCTGATCTCTAAATATGAACATTGGCTACAATTCTTAAGAGACAAGTAGTACACACGTAGAAGACAAATATATAGACATCATTAGTGTTGTTGAGGATATAAGCAAGTTATTTGCTCTGTTTTGTTACTGTCCTCTGGACAGTTGAGACACCGTCAACGAATTTCGTCCGGAAAAGAACATCGGCGTTGTTGAACATTCCTTCTTTCAGCGAAACAACAATGAACTGGTAAGAGAAATCAATCAATCATATCAGAGAGAGGCAATGTTTAAGATATAAATAGATAAGGAAACACATAAGAGTAAGAAGCTTATGAATCATGGGAATAGCTAGTGACTACAAGATCAGAGAAATCCGGAAATTATGTGACCTGTGAATGCGGGAAATGAGCTTTGATCATTCGTCCTATGTTCTGCGTGTGGCTGAGATCAAGAGCTGCATCAACCTGATAAAAATCAAAGTCATGAGTTTTCATTATGTCTTTAAAGAGTTTCATCAAACTTTGAAAGGTCTTGTGATCCTGAACATTTTATGATTATTGGAAATATGAACTTCTTTGTTTCAGTAACGAAAACGTGAAGTCAGAACAACCCTATAGTAAACTGATTTCATAAAAGTGGAATATCTAGATGTACCTCATCTAAGATATAGAGAGGAGCTGGCTTGAAGAGAAGCAATGCCAGGATTAAAGAGAGTGCGAGAAGAGATCTTTGCCCTCCACTTAGCTCAGATAGAGACTGTTTCCAGACACTTCCGAAAGCAACACGGACCTCAAGACCATCAAGGAAACTACCGCCTTCTGGAGGTTCTAGTTTTGCCATGGTCCCAGGTAGTAGAGTTGAAAAGATGGAACCAAAATCCCTGAAGATGAGGATCCAAGTGTAAATGTCGTAAAATTGAGCTCAAGATGAAGTAAAATGAAGTGAATCACATGGTTAACAAGAAATGAAAAGAAAATATGTGACTCACTGAGTAACTTTAACCCATGTAACTTTCAGTGTTTCTTTTTTCTTCTCATCAAGCTCCTCGATCACTTTCTTGATTTTGGATTTGTCCGTCTATGAAAAAAAAAAAAACAAAACCCCACAGTTTATATACATGCACGTAAATAAAGCTGTTAAATTAAGTTGCACAGACCCTCCAAAACTAACCTCGATTATATTTTTCTTTGATATAAGCGCATTGTATTCATCTTCTGCTTTTTCAAACATAGCCATGACCTTCTTGTTCACTCTTTTCTCGAGACTTTATAAGAGCAATGAATAGCCAGAAAAAAGAGCAAAGTAAAGATTTCTCATTTAGTTAAAGAGAAGAAACCACAAAAAAAAATTGTATATTCCATTGATATTGCATTGCATAAGTGGTGAAGATTATATCAGTTTCAAAACTAAAAATCTATGAGAATCCTCAGAAACATACCTCGATTGATTTGTCTGGAGCCTTTCAAGTTCTTCTCTTGCTTGATAAGGATTGCGGGATTCAAAATCATAGTCTGTCCCTCCTTTTCCAAAAAGCTGCTTCTCGGATGTTATCCATGTATGCTTCTCGACAAGTTTGTCTACCTTCACAGAACAATCCTTCTGCTCCATCTCCGTCCTTGTTACCTAATCAGAGTAACATGTTCTCCCATGATAAGCATGCATTCTTTAAGAATGTGGAAATTAACTAGTAGAGAATACAACAACTTCAAAATTTTATCACAGTCCAATTACCAGAAAGTCCTAATACTTATATCCAACATCAAGAAGTTAAAACAATTAAGTAAACCCAAGACATATATCATTAAATAGGGAGATCGGCGCAAAAATAATGAATGCGTTCAATTAACAGCATTGCAAGACAAAACAACTGAAGAGAGAATACCTCATTTTCCAACTTCTTTTTCTCAAGTTTCAAGTCACTAAGCTTTTGCAGGCATTTTTCCTGGTCTGCAATAAAACTACTAATCTGTGTATCACATTCCTTCATCTTTGCATGTATCAACTTGAGCTCAGCTAGAGACTGATCATGGTTCTTCTGTATGGCCTCCACCTGCGGAAGAATCACATCCACAAATTATTTTCTATACAAAGACACTATGAGCAAGCAAAAAAACTGCAGTACCTTGGCTCGTTGCTTGTCCACATCTAAAGCCAGAGTGCTAATTTGCGTCCTCAATGAAGCTAGCTGGCTCTCTAAAGAGGACTGTTCCTGCACCACTGCTTCTTGCTCCATCACAAGTCTCTCTCTTTCGTTTTCATGAGCCTATGAGCAAGAAGAACCATAGAGCAAAAGATATAAATCCATTTACGAAATGTCAAAAGGCTAAAAGCTGGATACACCAGGATAAGGAAAAGGAATGAAGAAGTATAATTGCAGAGTAAAATTCTTTCACTGGTCTGGAATACCTTCAAGTCTTTTGAGGATGCCTGAATACGAGCTTTGGTAGTTTTAATATTCTTTTCCAAGTCTTTGAGTCTTCCCTCTCTATTTTTATCATGATCTTTGATGGATTTTTCTAGCGTGGAGACAGTATCAGCACAACTTTTGTAACAACCTTCCTTCTCTTTGATTTGGGATCTCATTTCTTCAAACTCTTCTTCCAGTTTCTTCACCGCTTCACCAAGCTATATATACAATTGGCAGAAGGGAGAGAGGTTGTTAAATATGCTTTCAGTACCACAAGAGGGCTAAAATTCGAATTGAGAACTTTACGCTAGAAAAGTGTAATTAGAAAATGGAGATGGCTGGACAAAAGAAAATGCAAAATGGAGATACAATACCTTGTGGTGCTCGTTCTGTTCAGCCCTTTTTAGAAATAAGGACAGGTCATACATTTTCAGCTCCAACTGTGCCTTCATGTCTGTGAACTTCTTATGAAGAGGCTGAAGCTCCTTGATCTGCATTGTTAAGATAAACCAGCAGGGTTTGATACTTATTTTACAATGGCACCCAAAGAGAGACGACAACAATAATTTGTGGATGCCTTCACAAACATGTGTGAGGTACCAATATATTCTAGAAAGACAAACATGAGATTTGAAATTTTGCTGCAATGGCATTAACTAAACAATTGCTTCATTTGAGCTAGAAACAACAAAACTGATTGAATATCTGAGATGGCGAGACATCTAGAAAGAAGGTTCTAAGTGTCAGTTTCAACAGCTCAGATTATATTTTCTATTAGATCACCATTGAACAAACATAAGCCCCGATTTCCCAATAATCCATATCTAACTTAAGCGGTTCACTCGAAATTCTATGATGTATAACTCAGCAAAACACCAATGTGTCTTTTTTCTATAAGGAAAACAATAGCTAATGAAAAATTGAAGAAATTTACCTTCGCTTCAATTTCATACAACCTTTTCTGGTGCCCTTGAAGTTTTGTTTCAGCCTCTGCCAGATCATGAAGTTGCCTTAGCAGATCACCTCCACCCCTATCACAGAAAAAATACAAAATATACAATATATTCAGGCATTGCTGTATGAAACGCCACGAAATATCAAGAGGTCTAACAGATAAAATGACATACTTGCGACTTCCACCAGTAAGAAGACCACTTGGCTGAAATATATCACCTTCAAGTGTCACAGTTGGAGTCCGAATTTCCCTATTAAAAGCAACCTGCCGAACAAGAATTTGGGGGACAAATTAAAGAATGAAAACATCTAAAGAAAACAGAGAAGTCTTGCAATCGTAATCTAGGTATCTAGTAGTATAGAAGTTGGTAAGGAAAAGAGATAAGGTTGTAAAAATGCATTAATAACCCAACAAAGCGATACAAGTTTTGAGAAATTATTTGAGAACGAAAAACAATGAGACTCTGCTAGTCACCACAGCCAGAGAGGCCAGTCAGTTATATATTACGGATAGGTACTAAATTCTTCTATGGTCGTTCCATTAATATAAAGAAGGAAATGATACGATGCAATAGTTAGCATTGGTTAGAGTGTTTCAGTTAATGAATTTTGGTGTTTTATTTTATGAATTAGGTTTTCATGTTTTCCTTTCTTTGTTGGTTAGTTTTCCTTTTTGCATTAGGATTATGCTTAAGTTGAATCAGAACCTATATAAAGGTCTCTATTGATTGATAAGAAACCGTCTTCCAACAATTAAACCTTATTCTCAAGAGAGACTAGGGTTAAAAGGAAGCGTACTTCTTAAATCTTTTACGTTCACAATAGCTACGTCAGGACCGACGACGCGAGCTAAGTCTAAGCTACAGGCTCGTATCATACACCTATTTCTCTTTTCGCATCACCTACTCTAGAGACTTCACCGAATATGACCACCGAAGCAGCCGTTGTACACGATAATGGCGTTTCCCTGAACGGAGATGCCTCCAACGGTAACAATACTGCATCCTCTAAGAAGTCTCGTGAGAGCGACCGTCGCCGCCGCAGGCGGAAGCAAAGGAAGATTGTAAAAGAAGCGGATGTTTCTGGTACTTGTGATTTTAAGAAGGACGCGGATCCGCAGCAACAGGTGTCTGAGCAGATTGTGATAGAGTATGTTTCAGAGCAGGCCGAATTTGAAGATGGTTTTGACGATGAATTTAAGAAAATCTTTGAGAAGTTTAACTATCGGGAACCTGTTGCCTCTGAGGACGAGGCTAAGAAGGATGAGTCTGAGGATACAAAAAAGAAAGCTAATTCAGATTCAGATTCTGACGAGGAAGAGAAGGATGACCAACAAAAAGAGAAAGGGGTCTCTAATAAGCAGAGAAAGCTTCAACGGAGGATGAAGATTGCTGAGCTGAAGCAGGTATCCACTAGGCCTGATGTCATTGAGGTCTGGGACGCTACTTCAGCAGATCCAAAGTTGTTGGTGTTTTTGAAGTCGTATCGGAACACAGTTCCTGTTCCAAGACATTGGTCCCAAAAGAGAAAATATTTGCAGGGAAAGCGTGGTATAGAGAAGCAGCCATTTCAACTTCCTGATTTCATTGATGCAACCGGGATTCAGAAAATTAGAGAGACTTACAATGAGAGAGAAGATGGTAAAAAGTTGAAGCAAAGGCAACGGGAGAGAATGCAACCAAAGATGGGAAAGATGGACATTGACTACCAGGTCCTCCATGATGCATTCTTCAAATACCAAACAAAGCCTAAGCTGACAGCTCTTGGTGATTTGTATTTTGAAGGGAAAGAATTTGAGGTTAAACTGATGAAAAGGAAACCAGGGACTTTGTCACGTGAACTAAAAGAAGCTCTTGGCATGGCTGAAGGTGCTCCTCCCCCATGGCTAACTAATATGCACAGATATGGTCCTCCCCCTTCTTACCCAGATCTGAAAATTCCTGGTCTTAACGCTCCTATTCCACTTGGAGCTAGCTTTGGTTATCAACTTGGTGGCTGGGGGAAACCACCAGTTGATAAATTTGGGCGTCCATTGTATGGAGATGTCTTTGGTGTCCAGCAACAAGATCAGCCTAGCTATGACGAGGAGCCTATTGATAAGAGCAAGCACTGGGGTGAAGAAGAGGAAGAGGAGGAGGAGGAAGAAGAGGAACAAGACGAGGAGATGGATGAAGAGGAACTAGAAGACGGCACTGATTCGGTTGATACACTGTCAAGCACTCCAACTGACATAGAGACACCGGATGCAATTGAACTTCGTAAGGAACAGAGAAAGGAATCCGAGAGGCCTCTATATCAGGTACTTGAAGCAAAGGGAGAGAGTGTTGCTCCTGGGACAGTGCTGGGAACCACACACACATACGTTATCAAAACTGGTACTCAAGACAAGACGGGAGCGAAAAGGGTTGATTTGCTGAGAGGACAGAAGACAGATCGTGTGGACATCAGTTTACAGCCAGAGGAGCTGGACGCGATGGAAAATGTTTTGCCTGCCAAGTATGAGGAGGCAAGAGAAGAGGAAAAACTACGCAATAAGCCAGAGGATTTCAGTGACATGGTCGCTGAGAATTCGAGGAAAAGGAAGCGTGATAAGGAAGGGAAGAAAAAGAAAGATTTCAAGTTCTGAGGTAGCTTCAGGTCCATTGAAGAAGCGCCATGGGTTCTGGAGTGCGGGCATGAGTTAGAGCGAGAGTAAGAGAGATTCATTTTTTAGGGAATGTGTTTGAGTTTGCTTAACAGTTAACAATGTGAGAGAGATTTAGCTAAGCTTCCTCTTAACCCTAGGTCTCTCTTGGAGAATAAGGTTAATTGTCAGAAGATGGTTTCTTTTTAATCAATAGAGACCTTATGTACAGTAACAGTAGGTCTTGATACAACTTAAGCAAAATCCTAATGCAAAAAGGAAAACACTCTATCTTAGAAAGGGAAACATGAACACCTAATTCATAAAGTAAAACACCAAAACTCATTAACTAAAACACTCTAACCAATGCTAACTATTGCATCGTATCAGGAAACCATCGTTTGGAAATGTAACATGTATTCCATTTTTCACTCTAATAATCAGAGAGAAGGTTCAGTTAAGAGACTATATAACAGAAGCGCAACTGAAAATGCATGTCTAAGTAAGGTTGTTAAATAGATAACTTAAGAAGCGAAATACTTACTTCCTTTGCCACATCAGTAGTTTTGCAAACAAAAGTGGAACCAAAAACAAATTCCATGGCATTCTGCAAAGAATTAGAGAATATCACAAAAATTAGTAGTCATGGTACTCATATGTATTAGTCTGTCTGTAACTAAATATTCTAAAACTAAAATCAGCAGTTACGCAGCCACGAATGTGATGAAATTATTGTCTACATAGCATTCTACAAAGTTATCAGAAACTTGACAAACTAATGGATGATGCAAATGTATCAGGTTCTTGATTCTTTGAGTAGGTAATCAACGCACCTTTAATTCTTCGCTATAACCAACTAAAGAAAGTGCCAATTCCGCATTACCCTTCCCCACCTGAAAATTAATAGAAAATCAGCAAGGAGCAAAAAAAAAAGAGAGTTGAACGTGACAACAGAATAAAAAGATCCACATACCAATCTAACAGTGGCTTGCTGCACTCTAGGTGGAACTACGTGAGACTGAATTTTGTTGAGAGGAATAATTGTAATTCGTCTCCGTAGATCACCCTTTTGAAGGAGCTGTTTCCCAGTATCTTCTGTGTCTACGACAACATTAAATAACTTCCCGCCAGCAGTAACCTGAAAAAATAGTCACCTTAGAGAATTCAAACGATCCGACATTTTATAATGATCATATAATATTTTACTTACCTCCAAAGCTGTCATTGAGGACCTATCATTAACTTTTATCAGTTTTGCAACCACACCTTTCACCTTCGATCGATCAAAGTTCTTCACAGGATCCCGGTACGTAAACTGAACATTTGCTAATTGAGCTGAAAGATCACGCACTTTATCTTTCAGCCTTTGCCCAACTTCAAGTTCCGATCCTTGATCCTAAGAGAATTTCAGTCACAGATGTATTATTTATGTAAATAGAAGAAGGAAGAAAAAATCAATTATCAACTCTGCTAACCTTCTCCAATGCTTCCATCTGACCCTCTTTAATTGGAAGAGAATCGAGTGCCCTTTCTACACTTTCGACGTCCTTTTTTCTAGCATCAAGTTCATTTTCCACTGCAACAGCTTCTTCTTGTTTTGACATTAACTGGGACTTTTTCTCTTTTAGCTCCTTCTCACAGTGACTAATTTTTGTATTCAGCTGCTTCAACTCCGTTTCAGCTGTTCCAACAGAAATCTTTGCATCGCGTAACTGATCTTCGAGGCATTTCTCTTCATCTCCACTACTCTTACCAGCTAGTACACCCTAATTATCAAGGGACGTAAAACCCAATTAACATCCAAGATAGATGAAGATAATTTGGCAGTAAATAAAGATTTTTCGTTAATGGTAATACCTGGTGTTCTCTTTCACACTCTTCCAATGTGGTCGAAAGTTCCTGAAATTTTCGTTTTATATCTGCTGCTCCTTCGTCGGACTTCTTCAGAGCAAAAGCTCTCTCTTCTACAGATTTCTTCAAATCTTCTATATTATTAACAATCTGACAAAACCAAAAGTGGTCAGAAAAAGCTAAGAATCTGAATAAGTTCAAAAACAAGGTAAGACCTGTCAGATAACCTTTTCAGCATTCTTTTCTTCGCCTTGAAGGGTGTCCTCCATATTATTAAGCTTGGATAACTCACGTGTCACTTCGTTAGACAGTGAATCCACTTTGTCAGACAAAGTTTTCACTTCTCCGCCCATGCTGGCTTCCCTTGCCCGAGTCAAAGCTTTTACTTGATTCTCCAGTTCCACTACTTCTCCCTGTGTCTTCTCTGACTCTTCGTCAATACTTGCCATCTTTGTCTTCATTTGCTCAACCACATGGAGAGAGTTGTCTCTAATTTTCTCCGCTTGAACATACTCAAAAGCGACACAGAACCTCTTTAGTCGGTCTAGTTCTGCGTTACCATTAGCCCACTGCATATACTGTGACTTCTCTTTCCTCAGCTTCTCCAAAGCTGGCGAGATCTCTTGATCTAGGAGCTTATTTATCTCATCAACCTTGGTTTGCTTTTTCTCTAGCGTTTTCAAAGCAGCCTCTTTCTTGTTCTCATACATTCTTGTACCAGCAGCTTCTTCGAGCATTGACAATATCTCCGGTGGTTTCATGTTCAGAACTTTGGTGATACGTCCTTGCATAATGAGAAAATGAGGATTGTTGACGTTAAGCTGCACCGAGTGGAAAAGATTCTGGACTTGACTTGGCTGTGCAAGCTTTCCATTGATCAAATACTTGTTCCTCCCACCAACTACAATCTTCAAAGCCAAAGAACACAACGACAAATGATCACTCTTAGCAAAAGTATAACTTTTTCACCATAGCCTCATAAACTAATCTTAAACGAAACTAACATGTATCCACCTACATTTCACTAAAACTTAATATAAGCTTCTGCAATCAGGAATTTCTAGGTTTTTACAGCTCCGAATATTTTGATAAACCTGAGATTTTTTTTATCAATTTTGAAGAGAAATGAGACTTACTTGTCTAGTGACGGTTATCTCGGGATTATCTTCATATCCGAGAGGACTCTTATTCCTCTCGGAGTTATCAAAGGTAACGGAGACAGTCGCTTTCGTAATCCCAGCTTGTCCTTGCTTGTAGACGAGCTCCTGCAGATTCGCAGCTCGAACTTGCTGAAGATTAGTGATACCCAGAACGAAGCAGATGGAATCGAGGATGTTGGATTTCCCAGACCCGTTCAGACCCGTAATCGCGTTGAAATGCGGGTCAAAACCCGGAACCACCGTCCTCGTCGCGTATGATTTGAAACCCTCCAAGCAAATATCCTTTATGTGCATCTTCTTTCTTCTTCCCCCAAATTTTACCCTAGAAATGCGAGATGAGAAGCTAAGCCCAGCCCATAAACCCTAGAAACAGAGGTTGGATCGATTAAACCCAGACGAAGAATCACAAGAAGCTTAAAATCCGAAATTGAAATCGCAGATACAAAATCTAACCGTTGCAGAAGAAGAGAAGAGAAGACGAATCTAAAAAGTTTTATTTGTGAGGATTGTTCCGAACGAAATTGAATTCATTTTCCAAATTAGGCATTTCGATTCGGTAGCAAAAGGGCGGGAAAATTCCAAATTGAAACTTTATTAACCCTACACTAACTCTCCACCTCAATCGGAAGGTTCCATTGTCGATAAACCTCTGAATGAGCTAGAGTCTTCTCTTTCTCTCTCGAGTTTTTATCTTCAGATAACAGCTAGTGGGAAAATTTCATCAGCAATGGCGCTACGAGCACTCTCAACGTTCCCTTCTCTTCCTCATCGGCTCACGAGACGTGAACCCACTCTCACCGTGACTCACCGAAATCCGGCGACGTTAATCTTCTGCAAGTCTATCGCTGGCTCAGATTCCGCGGTTTCACTCTCGGAGCGAGATGGATTTGCGGCGGCAGCTCCGACCCCTGGAGAGAGGTTCCTGGAGAACCAACGAGCTCATGATGCTCAGAAAGTGGTGAAGAGAGAGCTCAAAATAGAGAAGAAGAAAAAGAAGGATGATGTTGTGCGGAAAGTTGTCGACACCTCTGTGTCTTGTTGCTACGGATGCGGAGCTCCGTTACAGACTTCCGACGTCGATTCTCCGGGATTCGTCGATATGGTCACTTACGATCTGGTAAGTTTCGGTTTCTATGGCTGTTAGCTTCTACATTTTCGAGCTTCAGAGTCTCAATTTAGTGAGCTGTTTGTGAAATTGGTGGTTTCTTGGTATTGTAGAAGAAGAAACATCACCAGTTAAGAACCATAATCTGTGGAAGATGCCAGCTCTTATCTCATGGACATATGATTACAGCAGTTGGTGGCAACGGAGGATATCCTGGTGGTAAGCAATTTGTATCAGCTGATGAACTCCGGGAGAAACTTTCTCATTTGCGCCATGAGAAAGCTTTGATTGTCAAATTGGTGAGAGTAGATGCAACTTTCTCTTTTCTAATTTCATGTCCCAAGAAATCACTCAACATTCTGTATAATTGTTCATTTGATTTCTCTCCCAGGTTGACATAGTGGATTTCAATGGTAGCTTCTTAGCTCGTGTACGTGACTTAGTTGGGGCTAATCCGATAATACTGGTTATAACTAAGGTAAAGGCTTTGCAATCTGGCTAATTCTTCAGTCATTTCCAACTTCTTATCAGGTAAATAACTGTGCTTTGTACTGTTAGATCGATCTCCTTCCAAAAGGAACGGATATGAACTGTGTTGGTGATTGGGTTGTAGAAGTAACCACGAGGAAAAAGCTAAAGTAGGTATCAGCTTCTTATATCTACTAGGTTTGATACCAGAGACTAAGTTAATGTTTCTTGAGCTAGTATCTGATTTTGGATGGATAAAACTTTTACAGTGTCTTGAGTGTCCATCTCACAAGTTCCAAGTCTCTGGATGGAGTTAGCGGAGTTGCATCAGAAATCCAGAAGGAGAAAAAGGTAGCATCTACTAATGCTGTCTTGATGCTAGTGCTGTATTATATCTCTTGAGAAATGTAGATGCCATGAATTGGCGTACATCTTGTTTCTTTTACGGCTGAATTTTTTCATTTTATCTTCTGTAACCTTATCTCCTCCATCTCTTTCTGTTTCAGGGACGAGATGTCTACATTCTGGTATGTGGATTCACAAATTTGTTACCAACTAAAAAATAATTGTAGTTTTAGTAAACATATAGCTTGCTGACGCGAGGTCTTGTTTTTACTTAAATAGCTTAACAAATCTTGAAAGACGCAGTGGTTATTGATAATCAAATTTCTCCGTTTTGATTTTCTATCATGACCACTAAAACAGTGAACTCTGCACGCCTGTTTTCTATTTGAACCACCAATTCATAAAATTTGTTTACTGGAGATAAGGATGTCTAATAACAAAGAAACAGCTTTGGTGGTGTGGCAAATATTCATTCATCATTTCTTCATGCTTTCACAGGGTGCAGCTAACGTAGGGAAGTCAGCATTCATCAATGCTTTGCTAAGTAAATCCTTTAATCTTCGTTGCGTTTAGTAGACAAATCTTGGGACCTTACTGTTCGTATCTGATTGAGTATGTACCTTTATATATAGACTTTTGAATAATTGTAAATGTGCTTCACTATGCAGAAACAATGGCCGAAAGGGACCCTGTTGCAGCAGCGGCACAGAAGTACAAACCGATTCAATCTGCTGTCCCTGGAACAACCTTAGGTCCAATTCAGATCAACGCCTTCCTAGGAGGAGAGGTATAGACTTTAACCACCTTCAGAGTCTATAACTTTTTCAAATATTTACCTCCTCAGCTAAAAGAATGACCTTATTACCACAGAAGTTGTATGATACACCGGGTGTGCACTTACACCACAGACAAGCAGCTGTTGTTCATTCAGATGATTTACCTTCCCTTGCTCCTCAAAACCGTCTCAGAGGCCAGTCTTTTGATGTAAGTCTACTATTTTTACAACCTTCTAAAGACTATATATATATCAGCGTAGCAGCATCAGTATAGTGTTTTTATCTGTGCTTTGTTCCTTACAGATTTCATCCTTGCCAACTTTTTCATCAAGTGATCCCAAGGGTGAGAGCTTAATCGGTTATACATTCTTTTGGGGAGGTCTCGTCAGAATTGACATCTTGAAGGTAACATTATTATATCACCGGATTGCTAAATAATGTTTCAGAGTGGATATTGGTTTTTGAAATCATTAAATACGTGAGACATATTGCAGGCTCTACCAGAAACATGTTTCACATTCTATGGACCAAAAGCTCTTGACATTCATGTAGTGCCAACCAAAACAGCAAATGACTATTACCAGGTAAGTTTCTTACCCACATCAATATCAAACTTCGTTGGTAATTCGAAGAACAAGTTTTACCATTTTACGTTACTGTTCTGCAGAAAGAACTGGGCGTGCTCCTGAAACCTCCATCAGGGAAAGATCAGATGCAGGACTGGAAAGGCTTACAGTCTCACCGTTTACTCCGAATCGAATTTAACGATGCAAAAAGGTGAAATTTATCGTTATCATCTTATATTCCTCCTATATGCCTTGGTAAAAACAAATGTTCTTTTAACCTACGTTGCCTCATTTCTTTACTCAGACCAGCTAGCGATGTGGCGATTTCTGGGCTAGGATGGATTTCAATCGAACCAATCCGTAGAACACAAGGAACAGAACCGAGAAATATTGATGATGCAGAGCATGAGATACGTGTCTGTGTGAGTGTTCCAAAACCAGTTGAAGTGTTTATTCGACCAACATTACCCATAGGTGCTTCAGGTTCTGAATGGTATCAGTACCGTGACTTAACCGACAAGGAAGAAGAAACAAGACCCAAATGGTACTTATGAAAACTTTCTCATAATATATGTAAACAAAATGTTAAAAATAGTAAATTGTTTGTAATGAAAAATCTACTAAATTAGTATTCAATAATTTAAACATCAAAGTTCAGCAACTGAAAATGAAGAAATGCTCTAAATCAAACATATATATAATGAATAAGAGACACATGAGTCAATTACACTCCAGTAGCATCGTCGTTGGATGAGCCACGGTCATCTTCTGCCGGGACGACCACATTGTCATACACTAACGCAGCAGTGGCTCCTCCGAGCAAAGGCCCAACCCAATACACGGCTTGGTTCTTGAAGCTCCCGTACACCATCGCCGACCCAAAGGCACAAGCCGGGTTCATCGAACCTCCAGAGAACGGTCCCGCGGCTAAAACATTCGCACCCGCAACAAACCCTATGAATATCGGTCCCACGGCTGTAGGTAAACCACGTCTCGGATCGTTCGCCGTGAACACGGTGTAGACAAGGACGAACGCTAAAACACCTTCGAGAACCGATGCTCCAAATCCAGTCATTTCTCCGGCGATCTTATAGATCGGTACATGCTGATAAATATCAAACAAAGATAAATATTAATGTGAACACATAAGAAGACAAAACTAATGAAAAGTGTTAAATGTTAGATTATTACCTGTTCAACGACGGTGACTTTAAGGACAAGGCAAGCCATAAGAGAGGCAATCATCTGTGAAGTCCAATAGAACAAAGCGGTTGGAACGCTAATCCTACCAGCAACCGCCATACCAAACGTGACCGCTGGATTAACATGACCGCCAGAAATGTTCCAAGAGATGTAAACCGACGATGATAACGCAAACGCATTAGCAATCGCTGGTATTAATACACTAAACGGACCCGTTACATCCCCAGCCATCAGTTTCCCTGTTAAAAACACGATTAAAGATCAATTTTCTAACGTTAAAAAAGAATCAAACATACAGAGAAGAGTTTTGTTTAGAAGAAGAGTGAATTTACTTGAAGACATGACGGATCCAACGGCTGCGAGGACGAAGAAGAAGGTAGAGATAAACTCCGACAGATAACATCTAAACGCATTCATACTTATCACTCCTTGAAACTTGCTTGATAACGATGTCGGAATCATTTTCTAATCAATTTCCGTTCAGTAATTATCTTCCTTTTTTTCTCTTGTTCCTGTTGTTTTACGTGAACGTTTACAAAACTATAAATATTAAGAGAACACTAATAAAGTTTTAAAAATATTTAACCGTCCCAAGACAAACGGTTTTAGTGACGATCGTGTGAGTGGGGGAAGTTATTTACAGTTATCAAGTTTTATGAATTTCATAAATGCCCCCACGTACATAACTTATACATTTTCATACCTTTAGCTTTTTTAACTTCAATTTCCCCCTCAAAAGATGTAAAATAGAAATGTGCATATATTCAAGTGAGTTACACATTTGCTACAACGTATGTGTAGTAGATACATTCCTTAGATCTTATTATTACATTTCAAGATGGCCAATTCCTATACCAACCGGCCCAAGCCGAAACTAAACCACTTATACCGAGTGTAACCGTGTGGTTACAAAACGGGTTCGGTTGAATTTCCGCCAATGCGATGATCAAATCAGCAACGTTAGCGGAAATTCCCATTAACCTCATCACTATATCACCACGAATCTCACTGATTTTCCCGCTGATTTCTTCTTCTTTCGTTTCTTCGGATGTATACCGGAGTTTCCTCAAGGATCCCACTCTCTGCCTTATGAAGATGCAATCAATGATGATGAAGAAAACGTAACCGAAAGATTCTCCAAAAGCAGAGATGAAACTCATTTTCTTGGCGAGCTTAGGGTCTATTGTACCGATTCTTGATAACCAAAGAAAGTGATCAAAGAAAAAGTAAACCATCTCTCCTGAATTGGCTAAGACCGCCAAGAAACGGATCACCGGACTCGAGCCAGGGTTTCGTCTCAGTGCATTGAACCCCGTGAGAGACCTCCCGGTTCTGTTCTCATAATTTGATGATAAATTAACGATTTGTTAAAATGTATCTTTTCAACTATAATGATTTTTCATGTATAATATAAAGTGTATTAGTAGTATTATTTAGACAATATGAATTTAATTTCATCTCTAGACAAATATATCTACGGTTATGTCTAGACAAATCAAGAAGTGAATTTAGAGCAAACATTTCATTTCATTTTATTTATAAGCTTATATTTACGATTATGCCATTTATGTAGATAAAGTGATAGACATAAGAAAGGTGTGGGACCTGAAGGCTTTGCGGCTGAGACCGGATGCGACCTCCCACTTCTTAAACCTCTCGGCGGCGTCGGGTCTAGTGGCTTCAACGTGCCAGCACGCGAGCTTAGAAACATACTGAAATGTCTTCACGAGCTTGTCTATTCCGTCTCTCTTGGCCAAGAACACCACCAGCTTGTCCACCGTATCCAAAGACATTGCTCACGGTGGCGGAAGGAGAGAGAGAATAAAAAAGAAGAAGATGATGATGAAGATGTAAGCCACAAGTGACGTTTGTGCTCGAGATAATCGGCTTTTGTATTTTGTTTGTTTTGACGTTTGAGTTTTAAGATGATTGCTTTGTGGTGGTAACTACTTGCTCTTGGTGTCTCATGTTTGGTACTAAAGCTTGGGATAAAAAAACAAAATGTGTCGTAAATATGTGTGGAAGAAACTTTCACACATATTATTCTCCGAAATTTTTATTTTCTCTAAAAAATATCTCATCTTTCAATTATTTTAGGTTTGAAGATAATTCTCTCTTCGCAAATTGATTGAGCGTTGGAGAATGTGTGCATTATGCACTAGATAGATAAGTGGGGATTGTTCGAACATATGGGCTTGATTTTGGGCTGGATCTTGGGACTTTAGCTCCGAACTGAAAAGAAACCCCGATATTCTTGGACTTCGAAATGTTTATCAGTTAATGCATTAGAACATACATCGTGTGTTATAAAGATTGCTCACGGGCTCAGTACTTTCTACAATACGCACGACTACGTCCAGAATTACAGGATATAACCTATGATTTGATAAAGAATGATGTGATTTGCAGTCACAAAGTTGAAATTTTGCATAAGAGAATACATGGTAATATAGAGAATTAAGCCTTTGTTAAAAACATGGTATTATAGAGAACAAATCGATCAAGGTATGACAAATTCGGATAGAAATTGGACGAAAGTAGATGAAGGGACAAACGAAGTGGTAGATTGACGACACATGCATGAAGTGAATGCAAGAATTCGACAGTAGCTTAATGAGTTATGTACTTATGTAGGGTGAAATTTTAACTAGTGAATACAAAGACAAACATAAATATGTGCATTGATTTGAGGGTGTTTAATCCAGCGAAATGCATCACGTTATACGTGTCCCCGTGTTCGAAACTCCTGGATGCCAAGACTTTGGCATTTTTAAAACAAACAAAAAGAAAAGTGATACAGAGGAAACTCGAAACCAATCGGTCTTCATTAAATAACAAGAGGCTCTTTGTATTGTTTATGGATGTGTCACTTGAAATGACACATCAAAGTTTTTTTTTAAAGACTAAAAGGACACATCAACTTAGGCAAATAATTGAAGATGGATAAAAATAAATATTTCTAATGGTCTCTTCGTTTTCTCGACAATCAATTTTGTTCATATGAAACCAACAAAAGTGAATACTCCTTATCCTTTTATCTTCGGTTGTGCCTGTTTTTGGAAATGGAGAGACTCTTCCAACACTTAGCAGTTCACATCTTGGCCCATATAATAAAACAAAAAAACATTTTAACTTTATGATTTTTTGAATTATATTCTTCTTGTACGTTCTATATCCTACCATATCCTACCAGGTCGACCAACAATATTTACCCATCAAATCATATATTATAATTACCCTTGAAGTCTTCTTATTGTAACTAGACTAATAGAAGACATGTAAATAAGATCGTAAGTTGGTTATGGTAATTCAATCCTCGTCATACGTAGTAGTCAAAAACATTTCGCTAAGTTTGTCTTTTGGTACTGCAGATTCAGGTACCGCTTGTAAATTACTAAATAATGGTCTAAATGTAAAGTAATGTAACTGTAAAGGAATGTTTTGTCATATCAAATATCAGCCCTAGAAATATAAAAGTGCTGGACTTTCTATATACACAGTCATTTGTCTTGGTCACAATCCACGTAGAAGTTAGTGATCTGCATCGTTTATTCTCTTTTGTTTCTTCTGATCATCTTTAAAATGGAGGAAATATTTCATGTGGTCATGAAATTTTCAGAGGGGTACAACTTGGATTTATTAGCAAGATCTGAATAACAAAGAATGAAACGCAAAATAAGTATTGGTTTTCCTTTTCCTAGAGATAGAAATTTATGTTATCTAAAAATAAAAAACAAAAACAAAAACACAGCTTATTGACGATGACTAGTTTCTTTCGAAAGAGAATAACGGAGGTTCGTATTTGCATATGTTCTTACAAGCTAGTTATTGAGACGATTTTGCAAAAAGATTAACTGTTTAATTAGACTATATATTAGCCTTATCGGTGTTTTTTTGCTTTTTGTTTTGCTTAAACCTTGTAGCATTTCTTCACAAGAACACTTGCTGCTATTATTCAATTTTTAATATATAACATTTTCGTAAGCTTCATTTGTCGGAAATGGAGACTGAATAATTAGAATGACAATTCCTCATATATTCTAGTAATTTTTCTTCCTAAATGTAATTCTCCTGGCCATTGTTATTAGTGGACACACATGAGATTACCTAACTAAGATTTGTTATTAGTTTAAGCGGGAGCTCGTTTCTAGTGTAGGACACTAAACCAATTCTAATTTTCAACAGCCATCAAGGATAAACAACATCCACAATTATTACCACGTCACGAGATTCCGTACAAATCCCACGTGGCAACGATGTGGGACCCGACATGTTGAGAGGATATCCACTGCACGTTAAGTATCATTCCTTCGGGTATATGCGAATATGCCATTCTCCTCCATAACGCGCGCGTTATTTGACTATACAAAATGACGCATATGTCCTTTTGTTTATTCGAAATTTCTTAGGTACTGTGACTGGGCCCCTCTGCAATTTCCTCGCAGTTTAACGAAAATGCCCTTTTTGCATCGGAGTTTGAGACTGAGAGCCGTCAGAGTTGGAGAACGGCGTGGCCACGTGGGCAGCCATGATCATGTAGTGTTAGACACTTAGATGACGTTTTGCAGCTCTTGTTTACATCATCGTATGATCACACATCCTACCATATCCATATATCCTAAACTACTTCTAAAAATTAATGACGTCAAAGTGTTCATACGATACGTGCACATAACAACATTTCATATGAATATGTATGTATATGGGCGCTGTTACTTGTTTCAGAAAAGAAATGTTGGTTTATGGTCATAACACAATTTTGAGTATAGTTATAGTCTTATAGAACTTGCGTATCGGCATAAACCAAGGAGTAAAACATGGTCATACTCCTCTAGGCTCTGCCTTGCACAAGCTCATTTAATTTGAGCAATGAAAAGTTTCCAATATAATATAGCAAAAAACCATTGATTTGATTTATGCCAGTGCTAAACCGCTCACGCAGTCTTCTTATTTGAAAGTGTGAGAACCAAGTGAAACAAAAAAACTGAAACAAAAATTCGCCTAGCGATGCATGGAACCAAAGGCTTGTCAACTGACGAATGATTTGTCGAAACGAATAAACATTTAATACCAAGTGACTCTCAGTCTAGTGATGTTTTGAAAAATACTTCGCTTGAAATGAGAGTTACATTCACAGAGATATAAATGAAAAGCTGATCATTGTAGACCGATGAAGATTAGGTTAGACCGATGTTATAATTAAAAAAAAAATCAAAATCATGTGTTTATACGTTTAATTTCTAATTGTTTTAAGTATCTATGGAATGATCTTGCCAAAATAATTTGAACTATATTTTACTTGCGCAGTGACATGTTTCACACATGACACAGGTATTTCCAATTTTAATTTCTAGTTTACAAATAGTAATACAAATTGAGATATTTTATGGATTTTAAGCCGGTCTATCAACTTTAGGTGCTGACCAATATTTGATTTTTTTAAGGGAGTTTTTTTCCAAACCACTAGTATTAAGTAGTGCGTTGGCTTTTATGCTCCCAAAACAATTTTCTAATACAATCTAAGATAGTAATAATTTAATGTACAGAATAAAACAATAGATAGAGTACAATCGAGATGTCGCAGAGGTAGAGGAGAGGACCACGCATCATCATTACTTGTAGACAATTAAAAAAAGACTATAAATAGTACATACGTACCACATTATTTGCGTTAAAATCGCCGAATGATACGTTTTCTCGTATAAAAAAAACTTTTCTGACGTCATGATAAGTGGCCTGGCAAAATTGTTACCTCTTTTTATCATCCAATAAAAGTGTACTATGAAATATACTTGATTTGTTGCACAACAAATATATATATTTGAGCTTCAAAACTAGTAGCAATCAAAATTTCTGATCAATGACAATTGACAACCTTTAAAAATTTTAAGACGAAACTAAACTTTGGCTAACAAACGAAAATGGGGTAATTTATCAATTATTTTGATATTGAAAATAAAATAGAAAAATAAAAGTATTAAAATTACGGCACTACATAAATCTGATTAAAACTTTATATCTCATATATTAGAAATTTTGAAATTTTCTTTAGTTATATTATGAAAAAAAGAGGCGAGATTTTTTTTATGCTATTTAAAAAAAAAACTTAATGGTGTATTATTGAAGGAAGCATGGCATAATTAAGTAGGTGAAACCAGATACAAAATAAAATCTATTAGCAAAATGAAAAATTAGATACCCTACTTTTAACATAGTCTCCTTCATAATTAGTATGTATAAATATACATATAAAGATATATAACCTTAGGACCAAACATAAATCTAGAACAAAATATACAAATATGTAACAAAAAGATCTAGGAAACTTTAGTTTTCAAACAAATCAAAAATCTGGCAAATTTATTTATTTTTTAAGAAAGCATATGATACTACATACTGTAGTACTTACTAGAGGTTTGAAAAAAATCATTATAATAATTACGTAGGAAAACAACCTTCGTTCATTGGTCGTGGTTTTGGCTAAATCAGAAGGGTGGGATCGTAATTTCACAAACGTCAGAAATAAAAATCAATTGTTTAATTCCATCGACTATCGAGCTCAAATGCTATAAACCCGTCGCCGTTGCTTGTTGCTACAAAGCGTGTTCAAGTCTCTTTGCTTCTTCAAGCAAAATCTTCAAAATTCCAATTTATTATCACAATATCCAGTGTATAGAGAGAGAGAGAGAGAGAGAGAGAGATAGAAAGCTCGAGAAGTCTTATAGAGAGAGAGCGAGAGACAAAGCTTGTCGGAGAAATTCTGGAGCAAGTGTTTTATTGCTTCTGAGCTTGACGAACGGATAAAGGTAATTCAGATTATTTTTCGTATTGTATTTTACTGTTTTTTGAAGTGAAGTTTGAATGCTTCTGATCAAGTTAAATCTCGGTTTGAAGTTTTCTTCTTCTTTCTCGGGGATCTTGTTTTCCGTCCGATGGAATATTCCACGGATTGTTACAGATTCCGAAGGAACTCTTCAAACAAATCGTGATACGTGCGTCTTCGTCGTCTCCAGACTCCAATCGTTTTTTTTCTAGATTCGAATCTCAATTGATCCTGTTCTGTTTATTATAATTCGTTTTAATTATTAAACATATATAGTTTGAATCTATCAAAGATGGGTTTGGTTATATTTTTCCATAACTAACAAAAGAAATTACAATAATTATCCCCATACACTTGCAAGTTGCAACCGCAAGTGTCACGAGATTTAACTCTCTTTTTGATCAAAGAATATTCCTTAAAATATCCCAATTCTTAGAGGTCATGTAATTCATAATAGGCAACAAATTTGATTAACTAGAGCTAATCAGCTAACTAATAATTAAACTAATCAAAATTAATAAGAAATCACTTCAAATAGTCCTCTGAGAGTTTATAGAGACACTAACAAATAACCAATGATCTGTCACTAGTTAGTAGTTACGACACGTTTCTAGAGAATCCAAATGTGTTACCTTTTGTGTCAAGCCAAGAGTTTATTATGCAAGATTTTTCCAGAAAAAAACAGAGTATAATTCTATATGAAAAATGGAATCTTCTCCATGAAATGCTAATTTTTCCACATATTTATATCTTCTTTCTCCAGGTAAAGAGCGAGACTTAAAAAAAAAACCAGAGTCATCATGGGTTCTCTAATGCAATCAGAGCCAGAGATGGAGAAGAAACCAGTAGGGATTCGATTCTTGGAACGAATCAAAGGCTCAAAGCTCTCATACAATGCATACCAAGCGATAGTCTTGATCGTCACGTTTCTCGCTTACGCTAGCTATCACGCTGCAAGAAAAACGACAAGCATTGTGAAAAGCGCGCTTGATCCACAATCTCCAGATACAGGGCTTAACTCTAACTCCCTCCTCTTGAGATTCACTTCGTTTCGATCCTCCTCTGTTGGTGAAGATGACGGCGGTTGGGCTCCGTTTAACGGACCAAACGGAACGGTTCTGCTCGGTGAGATCGACGTTGCGTTTCTTGCGGTTTACGCTTTCGGTATGTACTTCGCTGGACATTTAGGAGATAGGATGAATCTGAGGATTTTCTTAACCGTCGGTATGATCGGAACCGGAGTGTTTACTTCTCTGTTCGGTGTCGGTTACTGGGCGAATGTTCACAGCTTTTACTATTTCTTGATCATGCAAATGCTCGCCGGATTGTTTCAATCCTCCGGCTGGCCATCGGTGGTCGCTGTGGTTGGAAACTGGTTTAACAAGAAGAAGAGAGGTTTGATCATGGGGATATGGAACGCGCATACTTCCGTTGGGAACATCACTGGCTCGTTGATCGCTGCTGCGATGTTGAGATATGGTTGGGGTTGGTCTTTTGTGGTTCCTGGTGTGGTTATTGTGTTGGCTGGTCTTGTGAATTTCGCTTTCTTGCCTGTGAATCCGGAGATTGTTGGAGCGGTGAGAGACGAGGATGTTGATTCCAGTGAGAAAATCGGCGACTCTGTGATTGTTCCGTTGCTATTGAGTTCGTCGGATTCCGAAACCGATGACAAGAAACGAGCTGTTGGATTCATCGAGGCGTGGAAGATTCCTGGAGTTGCACCTTTCGCTCTCTGTTTGTTCTTTGCTAAATTGGTCGCTTACACTTTCCTCTACTGGCTCCCTTTTTACGTTAGCCACACAGGTAAGTTTTTTAGTTACCAATCCACACACATTGCCAATTGGTTTTGAGTTGGAAGTTCGTGTAACTGATTACAATTTTTGTATGATTTAATAGCGATCGAAGGAGAGTATTTATCAGACGAAACAGCTGGGAATCTTTCGACGATGTTTGATGTAGGAGGTGTGGTCGGAGGGATTATGGCCGGTTACATTTCAGACAGAATTGGAGCAAGAGCGATAACAGCTGCGAGTTTCATGTACTGTTCAATCCCAGCTTTGTTTTTCTACCGGAGCTATGGACACGTTTCGTTACTAGCCAACGCGTCTCTCATGTTTGTAACCGGAATGTTGGTTAATGGACCTTATGCATTGATCACAACGGCTGTTTCGGCTGATCTCGGGACGCATAGCTCGTTGAAAGGAAACTCGAGAGCTTTGGCTACGGTAACGGCTATTATAGATGGGACGGGATCGGTTGGAGCCGCGGTTGGGCCGTTGCTAACGGGTTATATTTCGTCGAGGAGTAGTTGGACCGCGGTTTTCACTATGTTGATGGGAGCTGCGTTTGTGGCGGGGCTTTTGTTGACGAGGCTTGTGATGGCTGAAGTAGCGGCTAAGATAGCTGAGTCTAGACCATCGGAAGGATGTAGATCTCCGGTGGACCACCACCAGGGTCAAGTGCTAGAAGTGTGACCAACTTTGATCGCCAATTTTAGTTGCGTTTTAAGTTGTGTATTTTTTACAAAGAGGGAAGATTCGGACCGGAGTTTTAGGTGGAGATTTGGTCTTTGGGGAATTTGTAAACATGTAATCTGTATTGTGATGTACATAAATTAATAGAAATATATCGATCTTGATTTAATCAGTTTCTTAAAGAAAGAAATCCATCATCATCCTCTGTAGTTTAGATAGAATTGGAAGGGTTTGAAACTTTGAATTAAGAAGATTAGCTTGGTTTTGCAAAAATAACATAAATCTGAAAGAGTTTGTAAGCATATTCAAATGATAGTAGTTCAATGGTTAACATATTCAAATCCATTGATCTTCGTACTTAAATTATGGAGATTCTTCCGAAGTTCAATGCCAGATTTGTTTATGTATGTGTAATAAAAAAAATATTTAGAGGTTTCCATGCGAATATGTTTTACCAAATATTCAATTATCTAAAGAAAAACAAAAATTGCCATACCATTTGCCAAAGGATTGTTATAAAACAGGTCAACACCTAAAACTTCTGAACAAACAAGTGGAATTCATGTAGGCATTTTTATATAAATTAAAACATAGATATACATTTCTGTGGCTAGATATATCACCTACTTTAAAAATAGTCATGGTATATTAAAATCAGTGTTAGCCTTAGCCCCTAGGTTATAATATAATCCCTATACATAAGCAAAAATGACATTAACTGCTTTTGTTTAAAATCTAAGACAGATTAAGGACCACAACTTCTGATTTCCAGTATTTGATCGAGGTTTTTGACCACTCCATTTGATTAGTGATCTGTTTAATAATAGCATAAAATATGATAGACATATGACATATCTAGTGTCTTCTGATACATATGGACCACATTCTTAACTTTCACAATCACAAACAATTAAATGTTCATACACAGAGTAATTGTTAGGTTAGTAATGATTTACAATTAATCAAATTACGTACTCGGATCCCACTAGAGGCATGCTTAATTATATATTAATGTTGGGGTTTTTCTGTAAAACAAATAATGTTGAAGGACTGTGAATGAAAATATTTATCTATTCTTTTTTAAAAAAGAACGCTGCCACGTGGTAGAAATATGGAGAGAGTTATCCTCTCATTATAATATAGATTACATGACGTACTATTCGAATTCTCTTGGTTGAGAAAACTTGTAACTGAAGTTAAAAGAAAAAGAGAGAAAACTTATAAATTAGTTTTACAAATCACTTCTAGATACATTTATTCCAATTATTTGTTTCTTTTTTTGGAATATGAATCTATCTGATCTGACTCACTACTAGTCACCATGGCTAGTGGCTACATCTTACGAAAACTTGAATCATCAAATAAAATAAAAATTATACACGTCCGAACGAGTACGACTGAATAAATATTTTTTGCCCCAACTCCAACGGACCACAAATAATGTATGCATACATATAGGAGAACCACCTCGTGAAACATGATATCGGCTTCTTTATTCAGGTACAGCTGCAACAGAGAAGTCAAAAATAACTAAATGGCAATGGACCTTAATTCAAGTTTAGTGGACCAGAAGAGCCATTATTAATTCAGACCCACATCATTAAGCGTCAACTAAATCATTACTGATAATTTTCAAACCGATTTGACGTACGTATCAAGGAAATTGAACGATAAATTGTTTTTTTAAAACCTGAAATCGACCGGTGTGGGTTAGGACGGGTCGTCAGAATAATTGAGGAGATGTGCTATCACTGCTATGGTAGGGAGGGATGCTTTTGCCGAAAGTCTTACACAGTTCTGATCTTTGAAGCAGAAAAGGTTACGATGGATCATTTCTTTTAGTTAAGCGATTGGGCCTTTCAATGGTGGAATTTGTATCACATTGCATAAATTTAGTTTTGGGCACGTGGAGGTGGAGCAGAATAGATGGGCCTCCTTGCGAGTGATCTTCCAAAATTTTGTGTGTTTAAATAAATTCACTATGGAATAATTTTTTTTGTTGATTTCATTTAGTATTTTCTTCTACTTATTGTTAAACGTCGTCACTGTCAATTTTGATCGCATTATTGTTTTCATAATTCCTTTCCCGGTGCATTTTTCCAATTTTTGATCCACTTTTTTGCTGTAATAAAAATATCATAATACCTTTTTATACATTTTTGCATCTTAATTTTTGCCTCTTTTACAACTTCTAATTTTCTTATTAATAGAGAAAAAAAACAAAAACATCGAAACTCACCCAAAAAAAAACATCGAAACTCACGTATTTATAGGTAACGTAGTACTAACGTTTACATGTACACGAAGAGGCACACTCATATACTCATAGTAACCGTCGCGACCCACTACTACATTAGAAGTTTACTTGTGATAGATTGTAAAATCTGAGGAATAAAAAGAAAAACAAATCATTAATGGGGATTTGAGATTGAGAGGACCAAAAGAATGAAGACGAAGGTTAAAATAAACGCAGTCTTGGAGAAGAAACTTGAAGAACTCGAGTGTCTTCGTGAAGCACTCAATTCTAACTACGATGATACCAATCTCCACCGGGAAATTCAACTCCGGGTTATTTTTGCTCAGACCCTTTTAACGGCTGAGATTGTGTCGCGACAGGTTGATATGGAAGGACAAGATTACAGCGAAGAAAGGCTGGAACTTGCTTGCATGGCTAAGAAGTTGAAGGATCTCGAGGAGGCTGTCAAAACCAACCAACGGTCCGGTCATGATGATATTTCGGTGATCGAATTGGAAACTAATGATGGTGTTGTCGACGGTGAAACCGGTTCGGTGTACTCTTTGGTCGAATCTTGTGATGACGAATTTGGTAAAGCAGAGGAAGAGGAAGAGGAGGAGGAGGAAGACGCCGAGCAATGTCCATTATTTCAAGATGCGTCATCGGAGGAGAAGGGAGAAGTGGTTATGTTCCCGGCAGTGTCGGAGGACGAGGAAGATGTGGCTGTTATTGAAGTCAAAAAGAAGGGGCGGGGGAGTTTTAGGGGTTTGGTTTGCGTCGGTTTAGTTGGTTTAGTTGGTGGGATGGTTAGTTTATTAGGTTATATTGGTGATGAAATGAAAGAGGATTGTTATTTTCCTACCCCTACGTAAATGACCTTTTTTGTTTCGTTTTTCACTCTACTTGTGTTTGCATTCTTTCATTTTTCTACTCGTATACATATATTAATTACTTGTTATTTTTCCATGTTACAGTTTTGAGTATAGTCATTTTTTAACATTTTGAACTAAATCATTGAATGTAAATGTACGTAATTTTTATGGTTTGATAAAAATGCTATCAAATGTTCATAGACGAATGTATGTTTTTCTGATTTTTAAAGTCATAACAATGCTGGATTAATTGAAAATCATCTTTCTCAGCTGGTGTTCTTCAATTTCCCTAAGCAAATTCAAAAACCTTAGAAAAGTAATTGTAAAAAAAGAGATAAATAAATGAGTAATAAATAAACAAAGGACGTACACACTGACACACATAGTCTTTTAAAATAGGTCAATTGATGACTCTCCTCACAACCCTGTCTTGAACGGCACGCCAGTGGCAGGCAACCATGAACCGCCGGCGATAAGGCTTCCCACGGTAAACCGGGAAGCAACCGTGGCGCTGCTTATGGCATGGAATCCCTTCCACCGGACTCGCCATCTTGTAGAAGCACCCGGTCCAAAATTCTTATACTCTCCATAGAAAACCGTATTGAGAGCAAAATTGGATCCTCTTAACCAAGGAGACCATCCCAAGGGACTGATCGAATCATCTATATAGGTCTTCAATATCGTGACACGCGAATACGCTTGCCACGGTCGGCCTAAATAGGTCTTGTAAGCTCGAATCACAGGTCTCAGATCAGAAGCGGCGATTATCCTTGAGCTATGTATGGTTATGCCTGTGTTCTGAAAAGGGTCACCGCGACCTTGCGCGGTTATAACGTTGGCTTGGCCATGGAGAGGTTTTCGGACAAGAATCATGCAGTTCTGGAACACTACAGCTGCATTTCCGAAGATGAAGTCAATGGTTCCTGAAATGTAACATTCTCTAAAGAACTGACGTTGTGAGTGAATGTAGAGCGTGTCTTGGAATCCATGGATACCGACACGGTAGAAAACAGAGAGGTCAGAGGATGACCTAACCGCCACAGCTTGGCCGCGTAATGGCCCGGCCGTGTTGATGAATGTCAGGTCCTTTGCTACAAACCGTTGGCCTCCAAAGCCTTCAAAAAGAGTTAAAAAAATATACACTTATTAATTCATAAATAATACTCTAAAGTTGGATTTAGCTAAGATTTTAAGAAAGATTTATAACCGGCGGTTGCGGAGTTGTAGGTGGTGTAGCCATGCTGGACGCTTCGGCCACTGGTGATGATTGTTTTTCTTTCGCCGTCACCAACAAGCATGATGTTGTGGTTATCGTTGCCAACATCAATGTTCTCTCTGTAAACACCTTTCTTCACATAGATAACAAATCTTGACTTGACTCTTCGTCTAGCTGCGAAGTTTATTGCGGCTTGGATCGACCGGAAATGACCTGACCTGTCTAAAGCCACGACTAGATGGGATCTTGATTTCGCTAAAGAGGGGGATACGAGTAATCGTCTCTCGTTTCTTGAGACCCAGCTTGGGAAGTATTCTTTGTGGTTAGCTGAACAAACCAAACAAATTGAAATATAATATTTTTTAGTATTAGTTAACATGTAAAAAGGTATCTTCTGAAGAGAAAACAAAAAAAAAAGCAAAAGGGGTAACAAATGGTGCTAGTATACTTGAATAATCTGATTGCGTGTAAAATAAGATTATGATAGACGTAACACTTTCATTATTTAGACTTTTCTTTGCATCGAAATTTTACAAAAGCAAAAATTGTCAATTTAATGTATATATTGATATATATGTTCGCAGATGAGGAGGAATCTAATTAACGACTTCATGTAACGTACCAGTAGTCGTATGATTATGTTGCTTCATAAGAACTCCATTGACAGCCAAGCAGTTTCCAATCAAATCCGACAAGTTCTTGTCGGAGATCGCCGGCATGACGAAATCCGAGACGTTAAGATCCTCAGAGCCGGAACGGCACGTCTCGATGTTGGTCTGAGCCGTGCTAAGCCACGTCTGAGCGTCGAAGTTCGTACACTTTACATCATCCGAAGCCGAAGGGTTTAGTCCCTTGAGCGTTCTGTTCAGCTGAGCTACCGTGTTTTCGAAGAGCGCTACGCAGTCTGACCAAGCGGCTTTCCGTTGCTTGTTGGTGCAGCTTGGACCGAAATTTACGGTTTGGGTGTGTGTGATGACGGCTTGGTCTAGTGCTATGTGGACCAACATCCGTAGAAATTCGGACCGGAACCTTGGTGGTCGGTTAGTGTTGTTGTTTGGGCTCTTTCGGAAGTAGTAACTGCATGTCTCAGCGTGTGGAGTCATGTTGCACCACCATCTCATGTCGCCGGAGACGGAGCCGTTGTTGATCGGAGACTGTGCAGCCGCGGGAGCGGGAGATGGCGGTGAGGCGGTAGGAGGACTCGTGGTGGGGGTTGGGGACGGTGCGGTTTCCGGTGGTGTGGAAATATTGTGGTCCCACGGAGGAGGAGCATCGGCTCTGCCGGTTAAGCCACCATCAGATACGGCGGAGGAGAAAGATAGAAGAAGAAATGGTGCCAAGAGGCAAATGTGAAAGATGCCTCTAAGCATTTTTTTGAAGTTCTTGGCTATGAGTTTGTATGTGGAATTGAGAATTTTCAAGGTTTGATGTCTTAACTAATTAAAGGGATAATATTTTGTATATTAAATTAATTACTAAGTTGTGTTTAAAATTATAATTTTGAGTTTGTGTGGATGTACTTTGCAAGTGATCATTGTTATTGAGGGGAGAACATGATGATGTGTGTTGTCTTTGCTTGGGATTGTATACAAATGATATCATGATTCATATGACTCATATTCTTATTTAGTAACCTATAATTAACAAATCAAACCTCTATATAGATGCTATAATTGATTCCACTATACATATTAAAAAAAAAAAAAAAAAAAAAAAAATGTCAAATGAAAAAAGAGGAGGAAAAGTAACTTAAAAGGAAGATGAAGAAGAAGTAGTGTTTTTCCAGTGTTAAAGTAATCTTCCATGTGCTTTTAGCTCAGTTTCTACTCTTGTGGTTTCAAGCATACGCAAGCTCTTTCAATAATCTATGTTGCTAATAAAATTATATGATACATATTTTTATATTTGTGATAAATATCTGCGGTGAATATTTAACTCTAGATCATGTTTTTTCTTCTTCTAAAAACGTCGTCACTAAACTAGTATCTTCCCGAGGAAAGGTGTTCACATATATAGGGATACCCTGATCCGCATGTACCATTTTATCGGATAGTACATTCTTATAAAACCGAACAACCCAAAGTAAAAACTAAAGTTAGTTGAATTGAAAGAAGTAATTTAAAACAAACAAAAGAAATCCATAATACCAATGTGATGGAGTATGATATATTATGATATGATGATGTCTCCAACTTCTCCATACTACTTTGTAAACTTTGGTATCATAACACGGAGAATTTTCTTTAGTTCTAGCAGAGGTCATTCATTATGTATCAAGAGACAATGTTAAGACGCAAAGCAAATTATCATAGCCACAGTTGGATTGCATAATTCGTTTTTTTCTTTCTCATATTCCAGATATTGTTGCTTTTGATGATGCTTTGCATACCTACGTTATGTCACAAGAACGTTCACAACTATGGTGAAACTGTGGTGAAATGTTATTGCTTAAACAACTATACAACCAAAACATTTATGTAACACGACTCAAATAATCTGTCACAATTCACAAATGATCGTCTAGATTTTTTCTTGCAACATTATATTCTTTTAAATCTGCCATTTACTATTTAGACATACTCAGCAAATAATTAATGTGATATAAAAGCCACTAAAACTTTCAGAATGTTACAAAACTTACAAAATTTGTTACATGAGTTGAAGTAATACAGTAATGTATAATGTCAACATTGAAGAAAAACAAAAAACTCTATAGATGATTTCTTTTTTTGGTGATAAATACGAAAGACAACATCATCATCATCCACCGTCAAGCCAAAGAAGCATTTTCAGCTGAAACAGAGGATTCAGCTAAATACTCAGAACGAAGCTGCATAAGTGATCGACCAAGATAATTGAGCCCTTCTCCTTCTCGACCACCTCCCCAGAAAAGATCATGCGGCGAAGCCTCCACAAGAACCGATCCAGCAGTCGAGAGCAACATTGCTTTCAAATGAGGATATGTCGAGAACTTGCATTTCAGAGCCCTGTACATTACTTCTATCTTCGCTTCTTCCCAGTCACTCCGAACCTAAAAACAACCATTCAAACGAAAGAACAATCTTGAGAGATCAAGAACGAGTGAAAAAAACTGGTACAAATTAACTTTTAATTCATTACCAGTTCAGGTTGTTGTCTCTGCTTTGCTCTGCCTATCAGAGCAGCCTCCTCCGGACTCTTGGCCGTTCTTATTTTCTCAACGCAGTCATGTGCCATCGGATTGTCAACCCCAACAAACTTGTTTGCCTTCAAGGTTTTACGGTAAAAGGTTAAGAGATCATCTTGTTCTGAAAGATCAAAATACCATTTACAACAAAAGTTATGTGTTACCTGATAGTAATGCTCGACACTTGGCCATGTCACGTACTCATCATTCTCCTCACCACAAGGCATTCGAATTGCATGCGGCGAAAAATTAGAGAAGCTTCCATAAAGATCCCATGTCTTGTAGAAGAATATGATACTAGACTCAAAGGGGTTAACACTAGGGTCAATCTCGAAAGTTGCTTCCTCTGATGGGATTACAGGTAAAAGGTCTGGTACTGGCTGAAGAAATCCGCTGACAAGCATGTCTGGACCAACCTGTAGTTTCCAAGAATTTAGACTAAACCCTAGAGACTAAGAACATGTCTTAACTTGTCACAGTGAATGTTAATTACTTGCTCGTAGCAAACATCGATTAGATTCAATGCTTGTGACATCTCTACCATCCCAAGCTCACCAACAGGGGAAGGAGCTTTACTTCCACCGATGATCTTCGGGGCAACGAAAGCAACAACCTGAAAATATGAATTACATAAAGAGAAAAAAACAGTCTTAAGAATGAGATTTAGCTAAACAGAAGCATAACATGGTTGTACCTTGTGGATGACACCGGAGGATATAGCAGATGCAGCTAATGTACCACCACATTCCCATAAGATTGAGAGATGTCCACGGCGATGGAAATACTCCATGACTTCTCTCGGATTCAACATGTCAAACTCCACAACTTCAACACCCTTGGACGCAAGATACTTCTGGAAACTCCTTCTTGCACCTCTTTGTGTAGCAACGATGGTGGATACTTCCGAGACATCCCATAGATTAGCTTTCTCAGGAAGGTCAAGACTCTGACTCATCACAATCCGAGTAGGCGTGTGACCTTGTCCATGTCTCGCAGTCAATCTAGGATCTGCAGTTATTTTAACCTCAGTTAAGTTTGTAGACATCCATAAAAAAAGATGCAAGATTTGAGGTAACACATTTTTATTTACCATCTTGGCGTACAGTGTTTCCACCAACAATCACAGCATCACTTCTCCCTCGTAACTCAAACACTCTGGTTCTAGAGAGTTTACTACTTATCCACGCCGCATGTCCACTACTCGCTGCAATCTTACCATCAAGAGTCATCGCATACTTGAGAACAGAGAACGGTACTCGAGAACACGCTCTGTGAATCAGCGGAGCATTCACAAGCAGGCAAGACTTCCGAGCATCCTGTGACAAAAAAAAATCAGATATTTTTCTGATCATAATCAAGAAATGCGAAAGCTTGCACACATTAGTAAACAATTCACTCACTTACCTCAAGAACTTTACTTTGAAAGTCCTCTCCAAGAACATCCACTTCAATCCCTTGACCTCTCAACTCACGAATCGCAGAGCCTCTTAGATGTTGCAGAGGATGCCTAATTCCAACAACAGCTCGTCCAATTCCTGCCTAATCTATACAAACAATCTCAATCACCTATAAAGTGCAGCGAAATCCGAAATGTCACAATCGTTAGATTAATTTTGTGGAGAAAAGGAGCAAACCTGAACAAGAGCAGAGACGGCGGTGTGGTCGCCGTGGCAATCACCGGGCTCCATGTTTAAATAAGCCGTGGAGCCTATGGAAGACTCGCCGGCGGCTTCTACGGCGAGAGCTTCCGCCGGTTTAGTTCCCTCGGCGTATAGGTATCCTTCTCCGGCGACTTTTCCGGAGGAAGTGGCGATTACGCAGCCGAAATTAGGGTGAGGTGAGGTGAATCCGGCGGACGTGTCGGCCAAATCGGCGGCGCGTCGGATGAAGGCGGCATCGTTTGCGTGGCGGTTACGACCGTTGTCGCCGCTAGCGAGAGTTGCTCTGCAGATCAACGGAGGCGAACAAACTCGAAATGAAAGAGCCATTGGCGCAATCAGTCGCCTTTCCCAATCAGTGTGAAGATAAGGATTTTTATCAGAAATTTATATCAAATGCTTTAAGCATTTTTAATTAGCAGATTAAAATACTAATTATGAACAACAGTTTTCCATCAGAGGAGCCACGTCAGCGACTAATCCGACAAGAAAGCACAGTAACGGCGGAGATGGCGAATTACGGTGGCGATGGTCAGGAGAGAAACGTGAGAAGAGATTGAGAGTGGGACCGGTGGATTAGGGTTGGGTTGAAGCGTAATTTTGACATTTTGGGAAGGGCATATATGTATTTACGAAATTATAGAGTGAGATCTGAACTCAAAAGTCAAACGATCCAAACTTTAATGAGTGTCGGCGTCAACCACGGTCAACGAGGTTTTGTCGGTTAAGTTTTCGATCGTTAAATGACCCGTCCAACCGCTACAAATCTCGTCTAACGCAATTTTAGATCGCTTTACGCTAAAAGTATTGAAACGCATTTTAAAACTTTTCAAAATACAAAATTTTAACCAGGAAAAATTCGGAATTGCGTACAACAATTCAAGAATTAAGATTCCCTCAAGCTTCCACACATTCGTAGCTCAATTTTAAATAACTGAGAAAAAAAGAAATATATAGTATTAATTAATATTTTTTAGCAAAAGCATTGATCAAGGCTAAAGCGTTGCTAGTTCCTCTTCCCAAATTAACGATCCGTGCACGGACCGAGTCCTTGATCCGGCCATCCATGACCCGACCCGCAAACCCATCGGAGCAAGTGTTGGCATTAGTCAAAGCAGCGCTGGTCCAAGTCTGAGCATTGCTCATGTGGAACCAAAACTGGTCATGACCTTTAGCACTACCACACATCTTCACTTCACGGATCGACTTGGTCAAACGATCAACGGTGTCATTGATCTCCTCAGCGCAGTCCCTAATGGCTTGGACCTCTCGTTTCTTGAGACCCTTGAATCGGGCCAAACGCGAGACGAAGAGTTTCGTGGATTGGGCCTGGCTCACGGTCACGGTGAGTGCGGTTTCGGCTAGACGTCGAGGGCTTGTTTGGATGGAGTTGGCGTAACCGGAGAGAGAGCTGAAACATTCGGTTGGGTATGTGGTGGCTTTGCAAGATGCTTGAATGAAGTTTACTGCGCGTTTGGAAGTTCCGGTGGCCGCAGCGGAGGAGGCTGTGGTGAACTCCGTCGTAGATAAGAAGAATAGAAAGAGAACGTAGAATATTTGTTGCTTTGCCATTGCTTTGAAGTGTTTTGAAAGAAATGTTGTTGTGGAGAGGAAAGAAGTTGGTTGAGAGATTTTATAGTGAGCTTTGGTGTGTATGGTTTTGCTTAGGGTACTCTTTATAATAATAGATTAATTAATTTGGTTGACCTTTGACCCTTGGTTTGATTTTCTTTTCTTTTCCAAGTGGGGGTCGATTATTAGTTGGAAATAACCAGAATTGTTTGGTACTTAAGGATTTACTATGACATTAATTAAATTTATATTTCCTTTGTACCGAAAATGTAACATGGAATTGGAAAAATATATACATGTATCATGTATGTAGTAGGTTCTTGGTACATTTCATCAGAATCAAGTACAACTTTGTCGCATGAAATTGATTTATCTTTGATATTGTTGTTTGTTTTGTGGGAGAGCGAAAACTTTTTTCTTCCTACTATTGCTTCCATCACATGTGATACGCTCATTAACAAAAAAGAGAGGAATTGGATTGGCCGAACGAAGTTATAATAATTAAGATAAAGAAATGGAGAGTGGATTTGAACCTGATATCATTTAAATTCCAACAACAAGTACACTCCTAATTAATTTGTCCGGTCGACGTCAAAACAGATGCTATGTTAACCAAATTAAGATAACTATATTGCTCGGGGTGGGCTCAAAACTGCCGACCAACGAGTTATGTACTTGGTTAGATGGTTTCACACTAATTATCTCAGTGCTCTCTTTTCCTTATTTAAAATTTCTAATACTTTTCACATTTACCTGTTTAGGTCAACGCATACTTACTTTACCTCTCTTTCAATTTTCAAGTTTAAGAGTTAGTTTATCATGAGTATTCACACTTATCTCATTTCTCCCTTTCCAATCTTCAAATTTAAAGTGTTCACACTTGTCTGAAATTTAGACTGAAATTTTATACAGTGCACATATTTGTGATCAGTGGCGAATCCACGACCAAGGACATGGTAAAATATGCCTTATGAACCCATAAAACCTGTGTTCGAACCCTTTATGACCCCATATAACAAAAAAATTATATTTTAAATTATATATTGACCCCAGTTTCGTTAAATCCTGCATTCGCCACTGTTTGTGATTCATCGGGTCAAAGATATAAACACAATCACTAATTAAAAAATATATGTTTCTATTATTCATACGGCCGGAAATAATAGTAATGTACATAACTAGACTGAAAAGTAAAAGAAATTTTCTGGAACCCAAGTCTCTTGATACTTTTAGCATTGATATCTTTTTCTCCTTTTTCTTGGGGGTAAATCCGGATCAACATCGGACTGGGGTTCCAGAATTTTAGCATCGCTTTCCGTAAGAAATATTTCCTGAAAATAAAACACGTCAAATCGAAGAAGGCAACTATAATTATATCCACGTGATGGCTGATGCGTAAACGTGATTCATAAATTCTTGCGGTTACCATCCTACCATCATACGGCCCATACCCTGCTCTGTAAATTATGTTCGCACTTCAAAACGAATTCTAAAAATTGAATACAAATGGTTTCAAAATGAAAAGATTGGCAGGCTTTTTCGACTTAACTCAGTGAATTCTATGTCATGTGTCGTGTGTGATGACTTTCTGGGATTCAAGTTGGTGTAGGAGCCAAGGAATTTCTTAAGGGATAGAAAACATATTTTATAGAAAGGAATGCTCTATCTTGCAGTCAAATTTCTCTCTTGCAAACGCTTATTTCGTCGTGTTTTAGTACATATGGATGCGATTTTATTTTCCGTTTGATCAATAAAATACTCTTTATTTTTACAAGTGTATAGGTGGGTGGACCAGAAAATGCGAGTCCTAATTTACCACAAATATCTCCAAAATAAGGCATTTATAATATACGGAGACTTTCTTGTGCATGTGATTTATAGTTAGATGCATGTGATTGGTGAAAGTCATGGAGAGACTTTTTGGGGTCGACCGTCGACATGGAAAATATGTATTTCGTTACGTATTTTTCCACATAATTATAACCGCTCACTCATGTGTTATGCTATTCTGAACCCAACAAAAAAACTAGCATGTTGATAAATAGTATACTGTATAAGGCATACGAGTACGACTGCTAGTTGAGTTGATCTTATACGTTCATAGCAAGCAAGATATGGAAACTTAAATGTGGATAATTTTAGTTATCAAGAATGTCTTGTCCCATTAAGGTTGAGTTTCTAAGCTCAAGTCTCACGAGTACAAGAGATAGGCCACCTTCAGACCCAGCTCAGAACTACTTGCCGCAACGTTTACCATGATACAACAAATGCGGAGAAGACACTTGAAACAATGAAATGGAATAAAACTAACAAATGTTGCAGCAGTATGTAAATTAAACTTTCTGTTAGTACATAGTTGTATTATATATAGATGGGAGTACATGGTTAAGTCATGTAAGATACCTCCTTAATCCTTCTTTTAAAACAAAATTATAACGTCTCTCTGTCTTCGTCTGGTTCTTCTTCTTGGAGCTGACAAGAAAAAAGCGTGGACTAACGGACTCTTCTTGTATGTTTTTGGTTTGACGTATAGGTGACGAAATTTGTTCGTATATCAGTGAATATGGAGAACAACAAAGAGGTACAAAACATACTTGATGATCCGAAACAACATCCTATAGAAGCTCCTCCCCATCAAGGTTTCTTGTTTTAAATTTATTTCCTTAGTTTTTGAGTCTTGAGTTTATCTTCATCTTCGGTTGTGGTTTTTATTTTTCTGTTTTTTTTAAGGGTATCCTCATGAGGACAGTTTCGCTCCGGCTGATAACCCACTACAACCACCGAAGTTACAACAGCTACCAGCTGGTGGATCGGTGAACGGAGGAGAAGAAGAAAAGAGGAACGCAAGCACAGAGATGGGCAAAGCTTCCGGCGGGAAGTTCGAAGAATGGTGCGTTGATCCCATCTCTGTCTTCCTTTTTTTTTGTCTTTTCGTTTTTATACATTTATCTTAGTCAAAATTAATATGTCTCTCTGTTTATAAACATTACAGTTGTTGTGCCCATGGTTGTTTACGAGGATTGGTGCGTTGATCCCGTCTCTCCATCTTCTTTTTGTTCTCTTGCATGTCTTTTATTTTATCTTTTTCCAAAATTAATATGTCATTCTGTTTATAAACATCACAGCAATGTCCGCGAATGGATCCATGCGGCCCATGGTTCGTTGATCCAAAATCTCTCTCGCGCGCTCTGGTCTCTTCATTTTTATTTTGTTCTTAGTCCACGGTTAATATATCTCTCTGTTCATAAACATCACAGGTCTTGGGCTCTCACCGGCTTATGTATGGCTGCCATCATGGTGGTGACCTGTTGTTGTTGTTGTGGAAAGGCTTGTTGATAAGTCAACGGCTCTACTGTCTATATGTAATTCCCAAAAAAAAAACTTGTCTCTCGTTCATAATCTGGTTTTGTGTATGCTGTTGTCTTGTTTCACTTTGAAGAATGTCTTTAAATCTTGGTAACTTAATGGATAAGAGAAAGCAATGCTCAATCTTTTAGTTATACTTTTTCACTTGCAAACACTTATTTGTGCATGGTAGTGTGGATGTGGTTATATTTTTCGTATGATCAATGAAATACTTTTGTCTGTGACAAAAAAAAAATGTAGGAGTCAGTGGACCAGAAAATGCAGGTCTTATAATATACGTACGAGGACTTTCTTGTGTCTATAATTATATGCATGTGATTGGTGAAAGTCACCGAGAGACTTTTTGGGGTCGACCAAAAATAATGTAGATAATTGCTGGAGTCATAACTAGAATATATCAACATGCAAGTTGCGTGTGATGTCTAATACATGAGGTGCGTGAAACAATTTTTATTTAGAAGTCGTACTCGTCTGCCTTATACAAATTATCAACATGCAAGTTGAGTTGATCTTATACGTTCATAGGCCATAGCAAGCAAAAAATATGATAAATACACAGAGAAGTTTAAAAGTGGATAATTCTAGTTATCAAGGATGTATTGTCCCACTAAACCTCCAAAAGTAAGGGTGAGTTTAAGCGCAAGTCTCACGTGTGCAAGACCCAACTCAGAACTGTTTGCCGCAGCGTTTACCATATAACACAGATGTGGAGAAGACACTAATATTTACTCTTGAAAGAAGGAAATAAAATAATACTAACAAATGTTGTAGCAGTACTATGTAATTTAAACTCTTTTTTTTGGGGTAAAAATGTATGTAATTTAAATTTTTTGTTAGTATAGTTGTATTATATATAAATGGGAGAACATGGTTAAGTCACGCTCTCTTCTTTTGTTAGACCTCCTTAATCCTTCTTCTTTTTAAATTATAACGTCGCTGTCTTCGTCTGCTTCATCTTCTTGGAGCTCTTGTTGTATTTCTAGTTTTGACGTATAAATGACCGACTCTGGCCGTATATCTGCGAGTATGGAGAACAACAAAGAGGTAAAAAACATAGTTGATCATCAGAGGCAACATCCTGTACAAGCTCCTCTCCCTCAAGGTTATTGTTTTAAAATTATTCTTTAGTTTTTGACTTTTTTTATCTTCATCTTCTCTTTAGTTTCGTTTGTGATTTATCTTTCTCGCTGTTTAGGTAATTTAAGAGTACATTCATGAGGACAGATTCGCTCCGGCTGATAACCCACTGCAACCGCCGAGGTTACAACAGCTACCAGCAGGTGCATCAGTGGGCGGAGGAGGAGAGGAAGAGAGGGAAGCAAGCCCAGACCAAGCTTCCAGCGAAAAGCTCGAAGGATGGTGCGTTACTGCGTTGATCCCATCTCTTTCTTGCTGTTTTCTGTCGCTGTCTCTTCGTTTTTATATTTTTTTCTTACTTAAAAATCCCTTCGTTTTTATATGTTTTTCTTACTCAAAAATCAATAATATGTCTCTATGTTTATAAACATCACAGCTGTCATGCTCATGGTTGTTTACGAGGATTGGTGCGTTGATCTCATTAATTTATCTCTTTCCATCTTTGTTTTTGGTCTCTTGTCTTTTATTTTCTCTTTTTTCAAATTGATATGTCATTCTGTTTTTATAAACATCACATGCAGCGATGTCCGCTAATGGATCCATGCGGCCTATGGTGCGTTGATGCCATCTCTCTCTCTGGTCTCTTCATTATTATTTTGTTCTTAGTCCACAGTTAATATGTCTCTTTGTTCTTATACATCACAGCTCTTGGGCTTTCGTCATCTTATTGTTCACGGTGATGATCTGTCACCGTTGCTGCCATAATTGTGACTAACCCAACGGTTCAACTCCTACACTTCTACTGAGTTCTACATTTCTACTGTCTATATGTAATGCACAGAAAAGACTTTTCTCTCGTTCACAATATGGTTTTGTGTCTGTTGTTGTTTTGTCTAATGCTTTAGATATGTTTATGGAATGTAATTTTATTGAATATTCATCAAATCATATAAACTTTATTAAAAAAAAAAAAAAAAACTTTACAACGATGGAATACTAAAGAAGCTAAACAAGAGAAAGGGAGAGAGAAGAACACTCTAAAATAGATAAATCTCTCAATCCGAAAACGAATGGGTTAATGGTGGGGTTGGGGCCTAAAGGTATGTAACCAGTTTTTGAGGCGGTCCATCACTGACAAGTCCATCTTCTTGGGAGACTTTGGGTAAGTAACAGCTTTTGTTTGTGGTTGCACCACCACTCGAAGCTTAAGTCCAGCCGCACAGTGACCAGGCTCTGAGCTTATGAAATAATGAACTCCTGGTTCCGTTAGCCTAACGAGATTATGTCCTGTCTTGTGCACAGCTACAGGAGTGGTTGGGTCGCAGGATATGAACTCAAGATCACCCTTGATTTCAATAACGTCGTTGACTTCGTTGCCGTGTTCGAAAAGCAAAATATCTCCCACGTGAAACTGTTTCTCCTCACTCCACTTGGAATAGAAGTGACTGTTGTAGACGCTCCATCCTTGCAAATCTCCGACCTTGTAGATCTCTCCGAAAGGAAGGATCTTGCTCGGTGGTGGAGGAACCGGACGTGACGGGTCATGGACGACAAGAACGTCGAGTTTCTGTCCGGATGCGCACTGACCTTGATTTGAGGTGATGAAGTAGTAAAAACCCGGTTCCGTGAGAGTCACGACATCGTGTCCTGTGCTGTAGACGGCTTTAGGAGAAGAAGTGTCGCAGAATTCGTATTCCAAAGAGCCGGATACTTGAGTCACGTCGTTCATGTTGCGATCGTATTCGAAAACCAGAGAATCTCCCACGTGGAATTCTTTACGCTCGGCCCAATCGTAATAGACGTCGTCCTTGGCAGTCCATCCATCGGAGTCTCCAACTTTGTAGATCGTCGCCGAGCCGCAACCAAAGAGAATATTGTCATCATCACGAACACGAAGCAGCAGATTCTCCTTGTTGTCGCCATTATGGATCCAAGAAAGATTAGTAAGAAAGATCACAAAGAGTCAAAGACAATCGAAGAAGAAAGATTTAGGAAGCAAAGCTTGAAGTCGCTAAATCAGGAGCGTTTGATGAATGTGTTCAGATGAGGTAAAAGAGAGTCTCGTATGTCTCCTTTTATATGGCTTAAGGAAACCTAATTCTTGTCTACTTAGGATTATACTTTGAACTTTATTTCCTTTTTTTAAGACTTATAATCCGTTTGCAAAATATTAGATTCGTTTTCCTTTTTCCTTTTTTTTTTGTTTTCATTCTTTAAAGATTAATACGTTTGAAATATATACTGTTTATCTTTTTCTGAACTTGTTGGATCTTATCTTGAAAAAAATAAAAACATAAATAACGCTTAAAGATCCCTAATCATTTTTTGTTATGTTTGCTGTATGTTTCCTACTTATTTCCTTGGAGAATAAAAGTCGGTATAGTGGGCTTTTCAAAAAACTCTAATACTGTATCTCTCTGGCATGATTTTTCAATAACCGTTGTAGTAGTCTTTTACAAACCATAATGTCACATATAAAGGTACTCTCAGAGGCTCCGATACAACTATACAAGCAGGAACATGAAACAAAAATTGACAAGGAGGAAAGGTCCATTACAAGACATAATAATTCTCATATTTTTAGATAACCTTGACGAAAAGTTTAATGTATCATCGTTTTATCAAATCTCAACCCAATTTTTAACATCTCCGGAAAATTCTGTATTCCTTTAATAATGAAAAACATGGAGCAAATTCAAGCAATGCTTAAACTTCTCTTGACTGACTTTGGCCATAACCATACCAACTAAATTATCCATGTCTGCAAGCCCATAACATTTTTCATGCTCGCCTTAAGAAGAAAAGGTTTTAAAATCATTAGAATAACACCAACATTTCCATCATAAAAACGAATTACTCCCACTGGCCATTGATATGTATGATGTATCTGATGATAATTCTTGCCATTTGTAATTTTGTATTATTTTTTTTTTTTTTTGTGCATATTGTAATTTTGTATTAAGAAATCATTTTTACAAAACATTTACTAAAACCCCAAATTATAGTTGTCCACAGTTGAAAACGGGCCTACGAAGGAAGGTTTACCATTTTGACAGGCCTCGATGCAATAATGCAAAAACAAGGCCTTTTGATGTAATAGGGTGTTCCAGGAGAAAACGACGACGTTTAGGGCTCTGGAGACTAAAAACAAGAGGAAGACTTTAAAATAAACCCTAGAGACCAACCGCCTTCCGCATCTAACAATCCTCTCCGGCAAACTGTCCTGCGGCGCAAGAATCCTCCGAAGCTCAAAAGAAGAAAACTTGGTAAAGCCATTATACATTTTACATACCACTTCTAGTTTCATCTTCTTCTTTCTCTTAATGGAACCTCTGATTTTTGGGGATCTCAGAAACCAGAAACTATCTATGAAAGACGTACAATGTTATGTTTTACGGGAGATTTTTGTAGCTGTGTGTGACTGAGTGTATACATGTTCTGTTATGTTGCAGAAGAACAAAGAAAATGGCGTATCAAGCGATGAAACCTGGTAAAGCCGGTTTAGAGGAGCCCCTCGACCAAATCCATAAGATCAGGATCACTCTCTCTTCCAAGAATGTGTCGAACCTCGAGAAAGGTCAGATCTTGTTGAATCGTTTGATTAATCGACTGAACTAATAAGCTGTTTTAGTCTCAGAGAATTTTCGGTTTAGAAGAAATCTAGGAAAAATCCCAAAATGTTAGTATTTGGATCGCTTAGTCATTGTATTTGAGTGACATCTCATCAATCATGGACTCTCGTTAAAAAGTTTGATCTTTTGGTGCTGTTGAACTTTCTTGACATTATCAACCTCTCTTGAATTGATCAGCTGTCTAGTCCTAGAGATATTTGATGTTGAATAGATTCAATGAGACAAAGATGGTTGAATACTGAATAGTTTTTCTCTATGATGCTTTTGTTTTGAGTAGTGTGCACTGACTTGGTCCGTGGAGCTAAGGACAAGTCACTCAGAGTTAAAGGACCAGTGAGGATGCCCACCAAGGTTCTTAAGATCACCACCAGAAAGGCACCTTGTGGTGAAGGTACTCTCTCAGATCCTCTTCTCTTCTACTACATATTCTACATGTTCATTTGCACCTAATGTGTGTCTTCTCAGAATATATTCTACTTTTTGTGTCATACAAGCACTTTCTGAAGACCTTGACACTGTTTTTATGGTGTTTGTGTGAACAGGAACCAATACGTGGGACAGGTTTGAGCTTAGGGTTCACAAGCGAGTGATTGATCTCTTCAGCTCCCCTGAGGTGGTTAAGCAGATCACTTCAATCACCATTGAACCTGGTGTTGAGGTCGAGGTCACTATTGCCGACTCTTAGACAAAGTCTCTCTATGCTTCCAAAACCTCTTTTAAGGAAACAATGTCTTCAATCGTTTTTTGTTCCTTCATATTTTGTTTATGGTTAATGCAACCTTAGTTCTTGGGTTTTCATAGTACTTCAGATGGTTTTGTCGATCAGATATTTTATTTTCATCTACTTATAGACCTTAATGAACCATCCCTCGATCTTGATTTCATACAAATTCTCTGTTTGCGACACTATGGTAGAAAAAAATAGTACAAAAGTACAAGTTGTGAATCTACGACGCACGATATAAAAACAGTCAATCACGCTTAAAAGAAGGCTTGAGATAACGAAGAAATAAATAGCTGGCTAAATAGTCAACGATATCAGGACAAACATTTTTCATCAAAAACATCCATTTCAACCAAGATGGCTCTACTATGTATGACTCTCCTCTGCAAATACCTCTGAAGATTGCTTTTGCGCATTTACTCACTGATTCCGACATGATAAAATCTGAAGTATACTATGGAGTATATTTTTACAGTAAAACATTAAAAAAAACACATAAAAATTAGTAAATGCCGTATGTGAACAGTGTACAGTGTAGGTGTTATTTCTTTACCTTTTCTATGAAGTGAGGGGTGGTCATGTCTGTAGCTATGACTCCGGGTATAACAATTGTTATTTTGATATCCGGAGTTATCTCAACTCTTAATGTCTCAAAGAATCTTAACAATGCTGCTTTGCTTGCCTACAACAATAACCAAGATGCCTTTTGGTCAAAAAGAAAAAAAGAAAAAAAAAACAATAACCAAGAAATTAACATCAGTCTTATGTAAACATGCTGTTGAGTCCTATGCAAGTATGTAACCAAGATAACAGAGACTTGTTTATTCTTTCTAAAGAAGATCTTACTGCATAGATGCTTGCCAATGGCAAAGGTATATTTGCTGAACCAGAAGTAGTCACAATGATTTTTCCTTTGCTTTTTCGAAGATGAGGAATTGCAAAGTAAGTGATGTATGTTGATCCCCAAAAGTTGATATCCTTTAACAAAAAAGAAAGGAGTTTGATTGTTGATTTGAGTTTACATTTACATGTTAAAACATTAAGTATATTTCTAAATATAACTAGTAAATAGTTCTTAAGAGATATATTTACCATTATATGATTAGCGTCTTGAATTTGAGTGAAATCTTCGAAAAGAACGGTTTGAAATACTCCAGCATTGTTGATCAGGTGGTCTACTGTATAAAAATGATAAATCACAAATGAAGATTAAGATGTAGAGAATCTTTATTTTTCTTTTAAGTACCTACGTTTTCCGAAATGTCCAATCGTCTCATCGATGAACTTTTTGCAGTCCTCAACGTTAGCAACATCACCAGGTATGATGATGACATCAGAAGATCCTAATTGACGTGATGCTTCTGCTACTATCTCTAGACGATCCTTTCTTCTAGCAACGAGAGCCAAATATGCTCCTTTCTTTGCATACTCATATGCTAGATGCTTTATTTTTTCCAATCCAACAAAACAAGAACATAAACACTTTCAACCACCTAACTAAACCAATTTGTGTGGATCTATATATTTGGTTGTTCTAATAGTCTCCTATTTAAATCATTTTTTTTGTCGAAAATTTAAATCAACTATATTATGCTTTTTAATTTATATATTCTTACAAATTAAATATGATCCATAAATATACTCCACGACATGTTGGGATAGCTACAACTTGTAGCGTACAAGAGTCGACTTTATCCACGACATGTTGGGATCTCAAAAGCAAAATCATAAACCATATCAACCAAATCATGTGGGACATACATGTATGTTATTTCCTAACTTTATTTGTACCAATATAGCTATGGTTCATAACCGGTAAATTAATCTACATATCATGAAATATGATTAGCTAGCAGCACACAGGATGACAAAATATTAATTAATTCGTTACAACTTGCAATCATTTACAATGTCCAAGAAATCACTGATTAGATCTTAGTCAGACAATCTATTGAAGAGATACCAAAGGACTAGATTTACTTGGTGTTATTCGTCGTTAAATAATTATAGCTAAGGCGAAAATGAAACATGAAAAGAAAACGCATAGCATCCAGAGCTAGCTTACCTCTCCGATTCCGGAGGAAGCTCCGCTAATTAGAACTACTTTTCCGGCTACATTTTCGAAGCGAAAGTGCTTATAGAGACAAATCAAAAGTTTGATCGAAAGGTAAAATGGGTAAAAGAGAAAGAGAAAGATGATGGTAAGAGGAGGTAGAAGAACATTGAGAATGGTGTTAAGCATATCCATGTGGTTCGTTTGCCGAACCAACACCTCTACTTACCTCTATCTTTTTTTTCTTTAAAATGTTCAAACTTTATTACTTTACAAGAGAAGTCTATTTTAGTAGACACACATTAAAGCTAGAAGATGAAGTATTTAATATTGTAATTATTATCACCGAGTAAATGCTATGCAGAGCGTTTGTCGGCCCTCGTTAAGAAGTAGCAACTACCAAGTGGCAAACTGGCAATGGCTTCCCTCTTTAGTAACCTTCAATTACGTTTTTCTTTTTCAAATGCTTAGTGATTTTAAGGTCATCTAAATGATGAATGCTTTCACATGCATTGACCTAACCATGCATCTAAAATATTCAAATTCGTTATGTAATTTTTTTTTGTGTAAACATCAACCCCATTTAAAAAAAAAAAATAGTATCTAAATAAATAAAAAATCACTGCTTCGGTAACACCAAATCTTAAAAGAACTGTAATATCAATGATAACTAAAACAAAATGAATAACAAAAGATTTTGAAATGGAATTACAAATTACAACACCAGTGAAACATAATTTTATACTGTACATAAGAAATTACAAACCAACAACAGTAGAATCGTAAACATAAAAAAATAACATAATTTAGAAGTTGAGTTAACAATCCCCTTCAGTATTTCAATAACTAACAAAACACAAAGCAGTTCCATGTCCATGATGGGAACACGACCATTATTGAAGACTAGTAGAGAGATATTCGATAGATATGATCATTCACGCTTTTTTTTTGGTATGAATGTTAAATTGATCATTCACGCTTGAAATAAGGTTTGCCATAACGAACAAACAAACAGTTGGTTAAGTAGTCAACAATTTCAGGACACAGATTCTTCAACAGAAGCACCCATTTCTCTCTACTAGGTTCGTATATGTATGTCTCTCCTCTACCAATTCCTCTGAATATTCCTTTTGCGCATTTACTTACCGATTGCGACAGAATAAAATCCGAACCGTACTGTTTTTTTCGAGAAATTATATCCAAAAAAATAAAAATAAAAAGATGTCAGATGTAGTCGATCATGGTATAAAACTAGGTACAAGTACTTACCTGTTCTATAAAGCGAGGACTGCTCATATCTGTGGCTATGACTCCAGGGAATATAATTGTTATTTTGATATCTGGATTGAGCTCAACTCTTAATGTCTCAAAGAATCTTAATAAGGCTGCTTTGCTCGCCTACAAAAGTGATAAAGTAATATCCATTATTATAAAAATTTCTATTCACAAGTAGTTTTAAAAGAAATAAAAAAATATATAAAAGAGTTGCTTATCCAGTTATTTCAGGGGAAAAAAAAACACTTACTGAATAGACGCTATTCAATGGAAAAGGTAAATTTGCTGAAGCTGAAGTATTCACAATGATTTTGCCTTTGCTTTTCCGAAGATGAGGAATTGCAAAATAAGTGACCCCCAAAAGTTTATATCCTTAAAATACACATTAAACGAATATTCAAAACATGGTTTGATTGTTTGCAGATTTTTGTTAATGAATGTATGTATAAACTTACCATTATGGGATTAGCTTCTTGTATTTGAGTGTAATTTTCGAAAAGAAGAGTCTGAGTTATTCCAGCATTGTTGACCAGGTGGTCTACTGCCTAATTATGATAACTTGATTAGAAACCAGCTAAATATATTTCACTAAAAATAACAAAACTTATCGTGACAAAATGGTAGTGTGTATACGGACTTGTTCTAGATGACAGATGTCATGAGTTTTAATATCTCTATTGCATTATTTTGTTAAAACCCAAAAAAAAAAGACAAGACATCACTAAAACGTTGTCAATTTCATCACATCCATAGTAATATTATATATGATGTAGAAAAGTTTTCTTTAGTTTGAGCACTTACGTTTTCCAAAATGTTGAATGGTCTCATCGATGAATTTTTTGCAGTCTTCAACGTTAGCAACATCACCAGGTATGACAATGACATCACCAGATCCTAATTGGCGTGATTGTTCTGCTACTACCTCTAGACGATCCTTTCTTCGAGCAACCAGAACCAAATGTGCTCCTTTCTTTGCGTACTCATATGCGATATGCTTTTTAACACAACAAAAGCAAAACAAAAAGTACAGTATCAACCAAATATCTATCAACTAATGCTAATCTATATATTTAGTTCTTTTTAAAAAATTGTATTTAGATCAATAATAATATATATATGATGCACGATGCTTTATAAAATATAACAATCTTAATCAGACAGTATACTGAACAAAAGCCTAAAAGTAATTAACGAAACTGCTAGTCGCTATATACTTGGTTTTCGTCAATAAAAATTATACGGAAGACAAATAACGAAATGAAACAAATGAGTAAGAAAAAAAGCATAGACTAATTAAGTACCTCTCCAATGCCGGAGGAAGCTCCGGTGATTAGAACTACTTTTCCGGCTACATTTTCGAAACGAAGGTGCTTACTGATATAAATTATAAGTTTTAGCAAAAGATAAAATGGATAAAAGAGGACGAGAAAAATGATGGTAAAAGGAGGAAAAAGAAGATCGAGAATGGTGACAAGCATATCCATGTTATTCGTTAATTTGCGGAACCAACACCACAACTAACTTTTCTTGTTTTTTTTTTCTCTTAAAATGTTCAAACTTCCGTAGCTAAAAAAAGGTGAGGAGATTGAATTATCCCCGAGAAGATATAAATGCCGAGGGTTTGTTCGTCTTCATAAAGATGTTGTAGCATGTGGCAGTGGCGTATTTGTCTAGTTAACCTTCATTCTAATTTACGTTTATTTTTTTGAAAAACTATTTGAGTGATTTGAAGGTAATCTAAATGAATGCACGTCACGTGTGGAAGTGTCTATATGCATCAAATAGGTAGAGAAGCTCCAAAATCACGATTTCGGTTAATGCATGAGATGCATATAGACACTTCCACACGTTAAAAGCCTATCATTTAGATTAGCTTCAAATCACTCAATCTTTTGAGAGAGCATATGATGAAATAATGGATGAGATGGACATGAATCAAATAGTTAGAGAAGCAAGCTCCATGTGACCATAGTAATTGGAAACTGGAATACATGCAGTGAAGAAGAATTGAAAGCGATTTTGTTTATTTTACCACTTTTTTGATGTAAACAAACAATGGAAACTTTGCTGCATACAGTGCGTTACAAGTCAGGAGCATTGTCTTCATGAAGTCATAAGCAAGCCCAAGTCTCAAATCTCAATATTTTGTGGTTTCATCCACAATCTCAATATTTATACAAAGAATTTCAAATTTTTATCAACGCTTTAATGCCAAAAAAACATCAAATCACACTTAAAAACAATTATCAAACTTTGTTCTCTTAATAAAGCACTATAACCTCAGTTTTACCCCACAAGGTTAATTGAATCAACAGTTAACTTCTTCTCTCAACAATTCATTTTCTTTTTAGGCCAATACAAATGTCAGACTTGGCAATTCGCGATTCACAGAAATTGTCTCGAATTGCAATGTGCTTTCTCATCGGACTTGGGATGAAAAATAAGATATAAAAAAAAACAATAAAAATGCCCTTGTTTCTCGATTACACAAAAACCAAACGATAATCAAAGATTGCTTCACCAGGGGAAAATTGACGAAAATGATAGCAAGGGAAACTAAATTTTCTGTTGGCTAATGAATTTTTCAATGAATATATTCAAAGAATGAATCTTTAAATTATGTAAAAGCCACTAGTTTTTACAGAAAAAAAATGAAGAACTCAGTCCCTTAGATGTTCAAAATAATGCGATCATTACCGCAATCATTACAGGTCTGTAAATTGACTCATCACAGTTCTTCCCACAATCAATTAACAAACAAACAAGAAGATATGTAGTAGCTCAAGTTACGCTCCCGAATCGGCATAATACTAGAATTAACAGTATGATGCTGTATGATGATTAGGGAGAAATTTAAAAGAACAAGAGCAACACGATCATTATTGCTTCAAGGGAACGAGTCTTATGGGAACGGTATATCCACATCGACTAGATGATGAAGCCCACAAACTATCCTAAAGAACTCGATGATGTGGAAAAAAAAAAAATGTATAACGTGTCAGATTACAAAAGACTCAGCATCGACTTTCAATAGCCTAAGCCAGGGATAACTGTGTTTTGATTTTTGTTTCTCATCATACACAACAAAACCATGTAAACTTTGTCACAAGTTTTCAATTTCTGTTTAAATATGCTACAATCTTGTAATGATCGGTAGTCACTAATATAATTCTGTTCATTACTGCAAGTCTTATCTCTTGCACATGGACAATCGGTACAAATTTACATCACTTCGCCACACTACGATATCAAACTTGCAAAATAGATTCAAAACCAAAACAACATTAAAGATGACAAATTTCTAAAGTGAAATAATCCAACCAAGGCAAAGAGAAAAGGAAACAAAAAACGAACATATAAGGTGTGTTGTGTCAGATTACAAAAGACTCAGCACCGGCTTAAAAGCCTAAGCCAGGGATAACTGTATTTTGATTTTTGTTTCTCATCATCCACAACCAATACAAAACAAATTTTTTAAAGAAAGCCTCAGACCGTCCTAGTCAAGTTAGATGCTTTTCAACACTTAGTTTTCAGCAACCATTCAATCTAATCATCACCGGCTTCGCGTTCGTTTAAAAAAACGAAATTTAAAACTAGCAAAACAAATCATCAGATCTTCCTATCAAGTGAATTGAATCATAACACTCAGAGAAACTCTGAGCATTCAACAACTTGGCAAAAGTTTTCCTCATTTGATCAATCTTAACAAACACAAAAAAAGCAAGTCCAATAACAAAAACAGATATTGTTACCCGACGTCCTAAGTAACATCATCGGAATTGACGAACAGGATAGCGAGGGAAACTAAATTTTCTGTAGGCTAATACATTCAATAAACAAGCTTCACATGAAAATTTATTCAAAGCATGAATTTTTATATCATGTAAAAGCCACAAATCTTTTATAAAAAAAAAAGAACT